TATTGACCATTTAGAAATTTGATTTCTATAACGCACCGCACTTAACACGATGTGACGTGGTTACCGACTGGCGACTAGGTAAATGTGTAACGTACTACGGGGATAGTTAATATAAGATATCTTATCTTATGATACAACACAAACGTATAGATGCTATGTAACGATTGTAAAGCCGTTTTACGTTACATAAATGTTACTATAATAGTTAGGAATACCCTTCACTTCCATGTCCTCCTAGCGAAGCCCCCCACTTCCATGTATACGATTAAATGTCTTATTCCCTCCCGTGAACAATTCCTAAATACGCCACTGCTACCGTATGACACAAGCAACATTTTATAATTCAATTCATTGTCCGCAACACATTACACCAGAATTGTGTCAACAAGATTTTATTGGTGGAAACGCACCCATTTCATAAAATAAAAACTTCTAATAGCTCTTCGGTATTTCGTAAAGAAAGGGCCAATGCAAGGAATAAGTGACCACTATAACGTCAGTATACTACACTGTAAACGATTTGATGGGTTGAACTTATTTTCATAATAATTAGTATATAAACTTTGAATAACACCAAAAACGAGAATTAAAATTCGAATTTATAAATTCACAAATATCACGTGTGTTATGTAGTCGTGTTTATCGAGGTTAATTTTTAGTAACCAAACATCAGTAAACACTCTTACCAAATCTAAATAGACGGTTACATAATTAAGTAAACAGTTTACTAGAAAGAGTAACCAGTTTGCAGTAACCAACTCGCGAAAATGTTATTAGTAAACAGTTTGCTCACGGTTACAAGTTACAACGCCAAAACATGCCGACATGACTTATATGCGACGGACCTCGTTATCAATGGGTAGCGGCATCTAGTGGTAATAAATACAGAAAAGTTATCGGGTTCCGCACAGAAACGTTGACGTCTAACCGCGATGCAAACGCTCACTAATGTTCACACTTGCATTTGTGTACAGTTCAATATATACGAGGAAGGGATTACAACTGGTCCCGAAGTCTCGCTTGCTTCAACCGTCCAATTGCCGTATGGTGTACCACATGGTATCTACAATGGGTCTCTTTTCTAAAATCGTACGATTTCGTACGTATGACTGTATATAATAAAGCGGGAAGGACTGTCGATGCCCGGGCCGACGGTGCCCATTTTCGAGCTTTATTTGCTCATGTGCGTCCACCCCTCGTTAGTCTCACTCGTCACCATGAGTACGATTTAATAAAACAAAAATGATTGAGAAAATTCGGGGAAAAAAACTATCCGGCGCGATTCTGTAATCCGTTCACATCATAGCTGTCGCTCGCAAAATATCCCGACCTCGGCCACAAAGATTTTGTCGATTTCCAAGTATTATCAGTACACCACAGATCACCAGGATCTTTTTCCCAATCCACCTAGTCAAAACTTTAAACCCCCCACATCCCATATTGTCTTTCCGTTTTTGTCAGCCGCCGAAATTGTTTCTCGTTGTCCAGGTCACCAACGTCAGCATGTCCGAACAAATTTCAATCTTTCCGATCAATTGCATTGCCTAGTCAGAATTAGTCCGGCGAGGGATCAGTAAATTGCCTATCTGTAACGGGACCAGCGAATAGACCAGTTTCTACTTTAGTTGCCTATACTATACAATTTTGGGGTAAAGAAAGATGTGAACATTTGGTTACCTACCCACGTAGAACCAAAACAAACCAAGTCTAACCTAACTAGCAAATAATGTGTATACAAAATATTTTATAATTTTTTTTTTTTATTATTGTTCAATATCGGCTTTTTAATTACAAAATTAATAAACTTATTAATGCATGAATAATGAATATGCTTTAACGAGTTATAGTATTCATAGTATTAAATATACAACAAAATAATATGATAATGATAATACAATAGTCATTGAATTTTGAATAATTTCTATTTATGAAAATAGAGATTGAATTTTATAATTAATATTCCAGAATTTCAAACAAATTTCCAAATTTTTTTAGGTTTTTCATGGTTTCAAATACTGCGGCAACCATGAAATGGTATTATTGATGATCTTAAATTATAAGTTAATTGAATGTTGGAAGATGGAAATTTAAAAATTTGAATATTTCGTTATTACATAGTTGATAGAATGCAATTTTAATATTTTTTTTACAAAATAACAACATTATCCCCTTTAGTTATTGTAAATCGAAATCCATAAGAATCGGCTTCCAAAGTACCTACATAATTGTGTTACTTGGAATTTACTATTAAATTGTTGTATTTATTAATCATTTTTACCAGTCATTCTTTTATTTTCCATGCTTGGTCTAACGTATTTCTTGGATTATCCTTTTCTTGAGTTGAAGAATCCGTCTAACATTTTTTTTTATAAACAAAACACAAGTCTATAAAATAATATGTACATTATAAGTTAGTAACTCTAAATTTTGCCCTCGTATTGCACTTCCAACAACTTGTTCTTGCATTGTTCTCTCATCTTCCTTGTGATATATCACAAGGTTTTTAAATTTTTTACTTAATGAAGTATTTGGAGTATCCTTTTATTATGCCCCAGCTTTTAAATTGTAATTTATATATTATGATTAACAAATAATTCCACAATAAACAACAATATGTTGATTATAGATTATATAGAGAACAAAATGTAGTTTGTGGGGTAGTGTAAATATTTAAAAAATGCAAGAATTATTTTATTTTATATGGTTATAAACCAATTTTTCTGTAATAAACAAATAGAATATATATATTAATAGGCAGCCTGTAAATTAAGTTTTATATTTCATTTATAAAGTACAGGTCACGGGTTGAATAATATCAATATAGAATATACACAATATATACATAATTTACATTCAAAATAGAATGACCAAATTAATATTACAAGTGTTAATTTATACAATTTCAATAATTTACTGTTATAAACATTAAATATTATTTATCTAATTTATAACAAGAAAAGGAGGTGATTGAAATTTGACATATACTTCCATTTAGCTTACTTAACACAGATAGATTTAACTACAGAGCTATTATTCAATAGCATCTATACTCAAGAACATTAATAAATCATTTTACAATGAAATAGCATATCACAGATATAGGAAATAGATAGATATCTAAAGTGTGTTTTATGATTATTACATTTAAATATATCTTTAGTATTTTTATTTATACATTTTAAATTTAAAATACAATTAGAATTTTAAGAAAACATATCAAATTATCTTTGCAATATCACATACTAACTTCATTTACTAAATTCAAATCAAATAATTAAAAACAATTGAATAACTCACTCAAAATCATTTGCTAAAAAAGCTACAAGACTTGGATTTTTTTCCTCAGTGTACTTGACACCATAGTTATAAATATCGCATAATGTATTAACACATTTTAATTTTGATACTAAGATATTTTAAAATTCAATAAAAATTCATAATTTCTTTAAGAAAAGTATTAGGAAGTTTGAAACGTTTTTGTAACTGTTACGAAGAAAAATTTGAATGTACCATTTATTTTAACCAAATGTTTTCTGATAAAAAAAATATATATATTGATTTGTACGAGTACATATATAGCAAAACATCCAAACAAAACTAATTAATTCTTCATTATACTCCAAATTTTATATTAATAAATTTATATTATGGTTGTCACAAAATCCCATTTTGAATTTTCCCCAACTACCAAATAATATGCATTAAATATATTTTTTTAAATTTTTCTTTATTGTTCAATACCGGATTTTTATTTGCAAAATTAATAACCTTATCAATGCATTTTAAATGCGTCTAAAATGGACACGTAATAAATACGCCGTGTGCGCGACCGCTGTGATCGCTGTGTCCATCAATTTAATATTACGCCGTGCCAAGCAGTTGAAATCTTCCTATCAATGTTGGCAACACTGGGGAGACATACGCCCACCACTCTGGTCGGACTTGGTGTTTGCCAGCAAACCCTCTACCGTACCTGTTATAAAGCAGTGGTGCGTAACCTTTTTTGATTCACCCTCCCCCAAATTAATTTATTTCGATGAAGCGACCCCCCTTCCTACTAACATTACATAAGTATATAATACATACATTTACTTAATGTACACAATAATTATAGTCGTAAATATTAAATCGTTAATTTTGGGCAATTTTAATGTTTGTTTAATTTAATTTATCTAAGTTTTTGATTCTAAAACATACAAAGAAAAAATTACCGAAATTGTTATATTTTTACCTAATCAACATTTTAATGGTTTAGATTTTTACAGTACTACGCAAATATATAATAATTTTATTGATCGTGCGTGCGTTAAAAACCAGTTCGATCGTCAGTGGGAGTAAATTCTTTTAGCCCGCAAAATACGTAAGAATGTATATTCATATATATATATATATGCCGTTGCCGGGGTGCACCCATGTCTAGGAGGTTGTCATTACGTCGCACCCATATATCGCACTATAACTGCCATACGATAAATAAATAAATAGAATTTTAATAATTTAAAAAATCATAAAATAACATGATTTAAAGAGACCTTTGTGTTTGTATTGTAGACATGATTGAATTTAAATTGGGTATGATATTTGAGACTGCCACTTTTAAATGTGCTTCGATATTTAATCTGGAGCGATATTTGTTTTTTTTATTACCGCTAGTGTTAAACTGCTGTTTCGCATAAATAAGTTGAAGCAAAAGGAAGTAATATTTTCAAAATAAATTTTATACTGCGTGATTAAATAAAACTTATCATTGCAATATTAAGATAATAATATGAAATATTACAATTGACATGGCCACCGACCGTCGCAACGGTACAAGAAATATTACGTTATTTAAAATAATATGTGCACATACTTTCATTTGGTGTAAAAATATTGACGACTACCTGTTAAAATTTTGTGACCCCCAGGTTGCGCACCACTGTTGTAAAGAACAGATAATCTAACCTAACAACCTAATCTAACCTAATAGATAATCTGTGTTCTCGGCTAATCAAAACGTGTCATAATTTCTCCGATAAATCCTCATCCGTCGGGTACACGTTTCCGCATGGTCGTCGGAATGATCCCTTTTTTTCCAACCGTCCCACCAAAGGTACCTTCAACAAAATATCAAATTTTTCACCCGGTGTGCTGACGATCAAACCACATGGCTGAGTAACATAATTATGCAATACCCCGTGTTCGGAATTCGTCAACGTTTCGACTAGTTTTGGTAAGCATAAAATGTCTCATATTATCTCCGTTTAATTTAATGCCTTGGCCGTCAATCTAGGTTATTTCGTTTAAAAAATAAAGAAAAATATTTCGTACAGTTTCTCTTATAACATTACCAATATTTAATGTTTATATCTCTATATGTATTACTTAGCGATTCATATCGTATTATTTTATTGTTTCATTTATATATGAAATTGCCCTCGATTACTCATTTCCAGGACTGGAAGTAATTCACTTTTAGTCACTTATTTTGAAATTAAGTTACTTCAGTCACTTTATATCCATATTTGCCTAAATGTAAATTATTTGTTACTTCTTGCATATTCATAAATAAGTATGTTTGTAATTTTTTTTCTATATAAAGTAAAAAAGATTATCTGTATTTTAATAATACCTACAGGATTAATAAATATTGTCTGACCAAATATCATCAAGATCGATAAGAATATATTGTCCGTATAGACTATAAAGTAACTGTATAGTAGTGTTACTCTCTCTATAAACCAATCCCCCCAAAAACGTTATCAGTATTGCTGTGAATTTATTGGAAAGAGTATTTTTTTTAAGCTGATTGTATACGTAGTGTTCTTCATCTATGCATATAAAAAAAATTGTCAGTATTAAAAGGTATTAACTCCATATGTGAATAAACCCGATATAGATACCATAATCAAGCACGTTCCTCTTCATGTACTCCTTTGTTATATAGTTATAAAAAAATATTCAAGTTCTTTGTATTATGCATATTGACATTGCGATTTGTTTTATATAACTATGTAATTTATGTATGAATGTGTAAAACGCTCCCTCTCATTTAGTGTGAAGGTTTTATGCCTTGTGCTTTTCTTCGCGTTAACTTAACAAATATATATATATATATATATATACATCGATTTCTGAATTTTACAAAATAACCTAATATATTAACGTTTATTTTTCTCTAAAATCAAACTTGTTATTTCTTATTTGATCATTATAGTTATATTTTTTGAATTTTTCAAATTTCAATTCTTCATTGTTTAGCAGAAGACTATACATAAAGAATATTATACAATGGCTGGAGAGTTGCGACAAATACTTTAAGAGTATCTTTTGGCAAGTTTATTAGAGTATCTAATACTTGATAAAATTGTTTCCGGTAATAATATACAAATAAATCAATAGTTGCACAGTTGTCAGTATTATTATCAATTATTTTTGGAATCTTTCTATATTCTGTTTCACGAGAGAACGGGCCGTTCTCCGACCAAACCGAATCGCCACAGCGCATCCCCACGCCGCAACACTATCCATTTATCCCCTCCCGGATCTATCGACAGCGCTGCAACGACGACCGCAGAAGTGGTGCAGGTGTTGTACACTGCGTTTCAAATAATGCACTGTTGACTGTCGATAGTCCACTGTTTATCGCCAATTGCCGTGGTGTACGCACACGTCATTTTTACAGCGTTTACTTTTNTTAAAAAAATTATGTAAATATGACGAATAATTAGTATTATAAATTTGTAATTTTATCAAAAATAAAATAAAATGTAAATATGACAAAAATGATAAATTGTAATTTTAACGAAAAAAAAATGAAATGTTTTAATATAATTATTTATTATTTATTAAATATATAACTCTGTATTATACCTACAGTGTTCAATAAAATATTAAATAAATAAATATGTATACAAAAAAAACAAAGTCTGGATTATTATAGAAGGTGCTTGTATATACAATAGTTTACGATTTGAAAAATCATCAACAGGTTATAAAACAGCAAAGGTAAAAAAACGTGCGATGCGCAATGTCTGATAATAATAACAATTGAATTTCTACAAAATATCTTAACGGTGTATAGTCAAAAACCGACGACGGAAGAAATGACAATCGGCTGCCTTCGCTGAAATCAAGTCATGTGGAGGGGTAAACATGCGCACAAGCGGCCCGTTCTCTCCTGAAACAGACTATAGTTCGATGGTAGTGTTTTAAATCTCGCTCTGGGTAAATTCCAAAAGATTTTTAGGTTATTTTGGAACTTTCATTTAAGCTATCCATATTTTTAGTTTTGGTCTTATGTTTTCCACTGATTTTATAATAGTGTTAATTAATACATAGGCATCACATATATTCAGTTCTTTAGCTTCTAACTGTTTTGTTAAATTTTTAAGTGTATACATTTTGTTTTTCATAAACATTAATGATACTCAAAAATAGAAATACAATTTTCTTTTAAACCAACTTTTGTCTTAATTAAACTATCAAAATTGTTTGATGCAATTATATTTTCTAACGTTTCAATAATTATATCTAATGATATCCTAACAGATTTAATGATTTCTAATCTAGTCCATCTGGTTTTTGAGAGATTCCTAAGCTGTAGACTCCCCTCAATTTCTTTCATATGTTTAGTTAAATCTTTAGATCTCTTTGTACTATCTGAAAAGAATGCATAAATATTTTCAAGTACAAAAATTAAATCACCAATTATAGTACTATCATCATAACTGTGTTTTAGAAAAGAATTCATCTTATGCGTGTTTGACATAGAATGTATGGTACTGAATGGTCTACAAATTCATTTAAGAAACGCTGAACTCCTTTGTTGATCCCACTTTTATGACTTAATATAATATAATATAATCATATAATTGAAAAGCTACAATATCAGTGTTAATTTCATATTTAATGAGATAGTTATAAATACATTTTGCTGTTCCATATTCAGTTTTATCCGTAGATTCAATTACATTTAGTAAATGTTCATTTGTTATTCCATTTTGATCAATATATCTTAAACATACAGCTAATTGATCTTTCAGTAATATGTCTGGTGTAGTATCAGCCATAACTGCAAACAATTCTGTCTTATGAATTTCTTGTATGACAGTTTTAAGATTTTCAGAAACAAGTAGTTCAATAAATTCATTTTGTGACATTGATCCAAGGTATGATGTTACATTATAAGGATGCATAGATTTATAAATTAACCATCTTTCCATTATTGGATTATGTCTGAAGAGTAATAAAACTATTTAATAGAAATTTGTATTTTGAGTCTCATTTTCTTTTTCATTATGGCTGTGAAAAGCTAAACCTTGTCTTGCTAGTGTACAAACCACATCAACCAACATTCCTACTTCTTGTCTATTAAACTCTAGTTCACTGTTTTGATGTATTATTAATTGTCCAGCAGATTTATTGAAACAAAATCAATATGACTTGACTGACTAACAAATTCACAATAATCCAACATAACCTGTTTTAATACATTATTGCTAGCTCTTAACTTATAAATACTATTTGTGAAATAACAACACTATGTTAATTTATAAGAAACTGTTGTTTTATTTATTATATTAATTTATTAAAGGCATACTTATATTTTAATTAATACTGACACTATCTGCTGTACACATGTAATTAATTATGGTTGTGTATCAGGTAACAACTTAAATGTATATCAATGTAAGACTAAATTTTAGGTTATATCATAATGCAGTGTTACCCTATATAAAATTTCCTTCTTTTAGCTGTTAAAATTAACATTTTAAAAATTCTAATATATTATATTATATAACAAAAAAAAAAAAAACATTAAAAATTAAAATTCTTAAAATTAAAATAATTTTAATTTTAATAACATTATGTATATAATGAATAATCAAATAATAATATAACAACAATAATATAACAACAGTATATTAATTTATTATTTAAAATAAACACTTTAACAAGATTAACTTAAATCATAATCACCTAATTTGATCTGGTTTCTAATAACTCTTCCTACCCTTGTCCTTTCTAGTGTCTCATCAGCATCATCATTCTTCTCATTAACTTTTCTTTTCACCACTGAATTTTTGTCATTATCCTAACCAAGCAGAATATCATCATTATCTACATAGTATTCATTAAACTTTTGACTGGTTGTATTACGCAAATGATAAGATGTTCGTCTGACCACTATACCACTCTGTAACTTTATCTTATATGATCTGGGACAGTCTTTTATCTTTTCTATAATTTTACAGGGTGTATATTACCATATATTACCCTCTTTTACTAATACTACTACTACTACTACTACATTATCACCTACGATTAATTCATCATTTATTTTAGTTCTTCTATCATAATATTCTTTATAAGTTTTTTTATAATTAGATTTAGAATCCAATATGGTACAAATTAGAATAATATTAGGCGTAATGACATTGATCTTCAAGAAGGGATCTTAAGACTACCAAATTAAGTCTTACTAAAACTATTAAACATTGTATGTCTGCAGAAGTGGCACATTATTAATAACAGTTGTTAATCGGTAATGGAAAGTTAGTCAAGGAGAAAAATGTGCACACAATTTTTCGTGAAAAAACTAAAACTCAAAGTAACTAGAAGAAACTGAATACAGAGATGACAGAGGAGAAGGATAAGCGGTCCAATGGGCAAGTCCATTCAACATTACAAGTTACTGAACCTTATGACTACAAGAAGTGCAGTATATAAACGTGGTCCAAGGAGCTGTCATGCGTTTGGAAAGAAATGTACCAGTTTTGAAAAACTAAATCATTTCAAAGTTGAGTGCAGAACTTATAGCCAGCAAAGGGAAATTAATTTAAAGATAAATAATAATAATGAAAATAATGTTTCTTATAGTGATTCTGAGTATAACTTATTTGATATTTATGCTTTGGTATTATCAAATGTAATATCATAATAAATGATGGTTTAATAATATACAAATTAATGAATGTATTGTTGCATTTAAGTTAGACAAAGGCTCCACAGGCTCGGATATTCACATGTTGCTCCGAATCATTTTCATAGAGTAAAAACTAATGAAATTATTAAAAAAATTAATAACATGGTACAAGCATATGGTGGATATGTTCTAAAGCTGGTTAGGACTGTAAAAATGAATTTTATTATTTCCAACACAAATGTTATACTCAGGTTCATAATCGTAAATGACGAATTACAAAATAAATGTGTTCCTCTTATTGAATTAGATACATATGTAAAACTTAATTTGATTGTTAAAAGAGAAATAAATAGTATTGAAAGTAATGATAAAGCAAAACAAATAATTGATAAATATAAGGAAGTTTCCCAGAAATATATAATATTGAAATGAATGAAAATAATGAGAGGGGGGCATTAATCCGCCAAAAAGAGTTCCAAAGTCTATCAAAATTGAGTTAAAAAGAACATTAGAAGAAATGACTAGAAATACTGTGATAGTACCAATAGATAGGCCTGGCAAATGGTGCAATAATATTGTAATAGTTGGGAAACCCAACAAGAAATTGCGTATATGTCTGGATCCATTAGAAATGAATAAAATTATTATTGGAGAACATCATTTAATACCTACTATAGATGAGGTTAGAATAAGTCTTAGTAATAAAGTGGTATTCATTACTAGATCTTAAAAATGGATTTTGGCAAAGCTAACTCGAGGATTCAAGTAATATTTGTACTTTTAGTACACTTTTTGGTTACTTTAGATTCACAAGGCTTCCATTTAGACTATCCAGTGCCCTTGAGGAGTTCCAAAAACAGAATCAGAAATGTTTTGGTGATATTCAAAATGTTAAAATGTATTATGATGATATACTAATTGCTGATGATGATAAGGAATCACATGATGTAGCAGTGAGTATTGAAAAGGTATTTGAATATAAAATTGAATCCTGACAAGTTCGTTTTTAAACAGAAAGAAATTATTTATCTGGGAATGTTATTTAGTAAAAATGGAATGAAAGTAGACCCTGATAGAATTGAAGTTATAAACAAATGTGTCTCAGTTTAATGTGATAGTTCCAGCACAGGATTATGATGCTGTTTGTTGCAGGAAGGAAAGCCAGTGGCTTTTGTAATAAATAATATCATTATCCACTATGTGGAGATATCAACTGAGACATATTAGGTATAAATTTTCTGATAAAATTAAACATTCCAATGATCCTTTGCAACTCTAGTTTATTTTTAGGCTCTTTCAATTTTTTTATAACTTCAATTCTATCAGGATCTACTTTCACTCAATTTTTACTAAATACAATTCCCAGATAAATAATTTCTTTCTGTTTAAAAACGAACTTTTCAGGATTAAATTTTATATTCAAATACCTTTCCAATACTCACTGCTACATCATGTGATTTCTTATCATCATCAGCAATTAGTATATCATCAAAATAAATTTTAACATTTTGAATATCACCAAAACATTTCTGATTCTGTTTTTGAAACTCCTCAAGGGCACTGGACAGTCTAAATGGAAGCCTTGTGAATCTAAAGTAACCAAAAAGTGTACTAAAAGTACAAATATTACTTGAATCCTCGAGTTAGCTTTGCCAAAATCCATTTTTAAGATCTAATAATGAATACCACTTTATTACTAAGACTTATTCTAATCTCATCCATGGTAGGTATTAAATTATGTTCTCCAATAATAATTTTATTCATTTCTAATGGATCCAGACATATACGCAATTTCTTGTTGGGTTTCCCAACTATTACAATATTATTGCACCATTTGCCAGGCCTATCTATTGGTACTATCACATTATTTCTAGTCATTTCTTCTAATGTTCTCTTTAACTTAATTTTTATAGACTTTGGAACTCTTCTTGGCGCTACTTATTGTCATTGCTGTTCGTTCTGCAGATCTCATTGTTAAGTTGTTGTTGTTATTCATTTTATTTAGTCTGTTATCTCTAGTCAATGTTAAGCGTAATCGAAGGTATTTTCATGGATGAGCCACCCATGTCTCGCCCTCGGTGGAAATACCTATAGTCGTGAGTTATTACATATAATCACATATATATCTCTTATCTTAATATATAAAATTATAGTTTTAAGTATTATCATTATTATAATTTATGAGGTTACTGTAATGTGTGATAAAATTACATTTTAAATTTGTTTAACTATTGTTTTGTTATATTATTTATTGTACATTCAAATTTTTTTTCTACGATTGTAAAAGTAACAATCAAAATATTTACATTATCAATATAGATCATAAAATTAATTTATCCAAAGTAACGCTACATGTTTTTATTTTATAAAATACCCGATACCATCTCATTGGTGAGCAGCCCATTGAGTTGCATGGCTACGAGTTTTGAAGGCGTTCTCTTACCAGACAGGTGGTGTACAGTCAATTTTTATAGTATGTAGCACAATACGTTGTACATAATAATTAGTTGGATATGTAATTTATATTACTCATATCTAAAATAATTTATCCAGAACAGTATAAAATGAACCATTTGATTAAAGTAGTCATGGTGTGATAAAATGAAGATATGTATTAATAAATCAGAAAATAAAACTAGTAGGTATATAATTGAAAAATATGTCTACAAAACACAAACGATTGTATTGAAGCATTAATTTATTTTTATATTCAAAACCAAAAATTAAAATTATGAAATAAAATCAGAAAATACTGTTCTCATTAGTAATTGTTTTATCTGAAAAAATTGCTAACCGCACTTATTTATACTGCAGCATCGCTAGATTATATCTCAATTTGTGTGAAAATTTAATAATAGATAAGTACATAATATAAATTAATATAACATAAAATAATGAATGTGGTGAAATAAATAAAAAATAATTGTACGTTTCATATTAAAGTAAAAATAAATTTGTGTAGTAAGTATGTACTATGTACATGGTTAAATGTAATATAATGTAATGTAAACTTTGAAACCTTTTTTTGATCATATTTTCTTCTTTGGTTTTAGTATTACATTTTTGAAAAATTTGAGAATATAAGAATATAATACCTAATGACAAAGGCAACTTTTTTGTGATTTTCGTGTGAAACTAATTTCAAAACGGCGTATTAAAAAAAAGAAGTCCGATTCATATAATCCGATAATCATTCAAGATTAGACCATATTTTTATTAATAGTAATGAAAACGTAACGAGTAAAATTAGTGCTGGAGTAATACTTACTGATATACCGAACTACTGTATAATTTGTGTGTCAATTCCAATTGTTGTCATTTTTTTTAATTGTAAAAAAATGATTAGTAAAATTGTTTATAATTTAATTACATCAACATTAGCCAATGAAAACTGGACTGAAGTGTATGATGGCAGTAGTGATGTTAATCGCTGTTACGATGTATTTGATAAAATAATTAAAAAAGCAATTGATAAATCTACAACTCGTATATTATTAAAATCAAAAAATAAATGCTTAAAATAAAAGAATGGATGACCATTAGTCAATGGTTTATTAACCTCGGCCCGCCGAAAACAATTTCTTTCAATGAAATACAAAAAACATCCAAATAATTTATCGTTAGATTTTCACTATAAAAAATATAACAACTTCACAAAAACTATAAGGCTATAAGGCTATAATAGCTAAATTTAATTTTTCTGAACAAAAGTTCAAAAATGTAAGTTCTAATCCAAAAATGACATGGAAATTAATAAGTGAAATTACCGGTTCTAAATTGAGTTCTAATGATAATATTATCAAACTAAAAAATAATGACTGTGAAATAAATGCAAAAAATGATCCAATAACTGCATCTAATATGTTGAATAATTTCTTTATAAATATCGCACTGAATAGTTTAAATAAACCAACCAATCACTTCAGGATTAAACCACGTTCATAAAAACGTTTAATGATGTATACCAAAAAAAAAAAATGATTCGTCGGACTTACTTGATATGATTAATAGTCAAGGACAATACAGCTGCAGGTTTGGATAAGGTGTCCGTCAATATTTTAAAACGTATTAGTAAATTTGTGGTGCATCCTCTTGCCTATATATATAACTTAAGTATTGTTAAAAATATTTTTCCTGAAACCTTAAAAGTAGCAGATGTTAAACCCTTACTTAAAGGTGGTAATAAATCAAATATGAACAACTATAGGCCGGTATCCATGATGAGCATTTTTTCAAAAATATTTGAAAAAATTATCAAAGCTAGACTGATAGAGTTTTTAGAAAAAAATAAATTATCAAAAAACCAGTTTGGCTTTAGACCAGGTTTAAGCACTGATAATGCTCTTTATAAAGTTGCTCAATTTTTATATAGTAATTTAGATAACAGCAATAAATCAATATCAATTTTTTTAGACCTAGCCAAGGCTTTTGATTTTGTGAATCATGAAATTTTATTAAATTTATTACCAAGTTTTGGAATAAATAACTCGAGCCTAAACTCTAAACGTTTCATTACTTTTAAAACGGTTAAACTCAAAAACTTAGTACCAAATCAAACAATAAAAATAATTTACTTTGCACTTTATTAATCAAACTTTCAATATGGCATATTAGTATGGGGAGGCCTTCGAGATAAAATCTTAAATGCATTATTAGTTAATCAAAATAATATAGTTACGATTTGTTTTAAAAAATTACTCTGCAAGGATCTACGAATGCTAACTATAAAGAATTTGGTGCATTGCACCAAACCTATAAGGTGCAAAACCTATAAGGTTTTTATATAAAAAAAAATTGTAATTATGTAATTGGTTAAGAAATTTAATTTAAATAACGATCAAAAGGAGGTAAGCAACAAAAGGGAAATGAAAAAGTATGATTTGACTGTTAAATATGCGAGTACTTCCTTCGGTCAGCGTTTTGTAGACTATCAGGATTCAATTTCTTTCAACTCTATGCCCTTTGACTTCAAAAAAAATTTGGTGGTTTCAATTTTCAAACCAATTTAGTCATGGTTGAAACTATCTATTGACCATATGGCCTATCAAATTGACATTCTTTATTTGTATTTTGTTAACTTACTGTTATCAGTGTTATCGACGGTTCAAAATATCGACTTCTAGTCCACATTTTTAAAGTATTAATCATAAAATTACAAGAAGAATATTATAGCTTTGTTGGTAGATATTATAATAGGTACTAAAATTGTATAAATTTGTTCACTCAATGACAAATGTGATCACCTCTACCTATTAAATTCAACTATGATAATTGTCATTGTTATTTCATTGATAACTTAAATCAAATTGAATTTATCGGTTTACAAAAAAATTTGACTTGTGGGAGAAAACTCAACTTTTTCTGTATTTAAGATCTACTAAAAATTATAATTATATAGAGAAAAATTTGATTTGTGTTCAAGCTTGCTTATTTCTTTAATAACATTATTTTAAAGAAATTTATTGATTAACAAATATTTGATTGTTTCGCGGAAGATATTTCAACTTTTTTTTCGTATTTAGAGTAGAGGTACCAAAATGTTAAATCATAAAGCGAAGATTTTATCTATGTTCCAGCGTGCTTATTTTATTAATAACCTAAATATAAGTAATTCAATTTATCGGTTGATTTATTATTTCTAAATCGTGAACACAAGATTTGGTTTACTATAGTTTTCCCTTGTATATAGATATTTACTTTTAAGAAAAATAAATGCTGTGGTTGCCTACAAAATAAATATTAAGAGTAACCGAAAGTCCACAACTCGTCTGCTTTTGTTCAAGACTTTGACGATCTCGAAACAACTTCAAAAAAAGTGACGTTAAAGATTTTGCAATTTAATGGAATAACTGCCCCAAATAATAGCTCAATTATTTTAATTTATTTATGTTCAAAATTTTGTCCGTTCAATGATTTTCTTGATCTTGAAATTATTTTTTTTATTCAAAAATTTCGGTTTACAAGTTAATGCCGGTTCAAAATATCAATGTTTAAAATGTTAAAAACACATTTTGTACGCATCGTGAATTTTCTGTGTGTACAGTAACTCATATTTTTATTCTGTGTCACGATAATAATTATCACAACATTTAAGTCTAGTGTGAGTAATAAAAAAGTATTATAAAAGATATTTCAAATAATTTAAATTTGGGAATAATTCTAGCTTAGCAACTGAGTGATTTTTTTTTTACTTTAAAATCTGTATTTTTGTAGGTACAAATATACCTAGTAAATATAGTATATATATATATAATACCTAGTAAAACTAATATAGACACCTATCTCTCCCTTTGTTCAAAACTTAAAATTAGTTTCTTGGATAAATAATAAAAACAACATCGTTAATAATAATAATAATAATAATAATTACATTGTTTCTATTTATTTACATGTTGAGAAAAATTGAAGGCAGAAGAGGTAACTAATAATGCTTAAAAAATAAATTATAATCAATGTAACATAATATGCATACAAATTTTAATGTATTTAAACCATAACAAAATAATTCATGTAATGGCATTACTTATAATTTCTCCGTATTATATTTATTGTATATGTGTATCAATATAGAATTTTAGAAAATTATAAATTGTAGTCACACATAATTTGTAAAACTATAAAATATTATTTAGGTATAGTTAGATGTTATTATATATTCTCTAAAAATCAATAATAGGAAGTTAATTTATTACATTATTAAAATAAAATTTAGGTATATAGTAACTATTAATAATTAAAGTTATACACATTAAATTATTATTAATATATATAAATATATATAATAATATATAATGCAAAATTAATTATTGGAAATAGAAAAATACAATGGCAACTAAGTTCCTGAGAGACTATAAAATATATTTCTCTTTAAAATTAAGTATTATGCAATATATTATATGTACACTAGTATAAATATCTTTTTTCAAAATAGGTAAAATTATTTAAATTAGCTACTTGAAATATGATCATTTAACTAAATAATATAGTATGGGGTATACATTTAGGAATGTACCTAATATATTATGATATTTACAATTTTCCTGAGTAATGTGATCCAATATTTGATGGGGGTCCTCTCATGTGTGGTTGTTGGTGTTTGGCGGTGCCCGAGTACCGGCTACCGGGTCGAGAGTGTACTATCGCATAATGGTCGCTGTTGGTCGACATGGACCGAGTAGAATTCATTGTAGAACCACCTGATACGTATCCCGGTTTGCCATTCAACGAATACCTTTATTGAAAAAAAGACAACAAACAATATCGTTATACACAGAGTATGACATTCATTTGAATTATTAATAAACAGTCATATTATTTAACATTTGATCATTAATCGTGGTTTCAGGGTTGGATATGAGAGGGGGTGAGAGGGGCGATCGTCCCGGTCACTGTTTGTTCTCCAGTATACTCTTACCTGCATTATACCTACTCTTAGCTTGATTCATCATTAAGCTCGTCATAAATGCGTACCTTAAATAAATTTTCAACCCCGCCCCCCTCCGTTATCTTGTTCTGATCCGCTCCTAGGTCGTTTATTTCCTATGAAATCGTACATATTTTAGATTTCGAGTGGAGCGAGAAATGTATTGCTTTTACAATGTTAATTTTTTCTTTTTTATCTGCAAATAAATTTTCTGACAGCAATTATCAGATTTTCAATTATAGCACTTTTTCTGGAAGAAAATCTGACTGGAATGGTAATTTAGGTAAGTCATCTTTTGATTTTTTCAGCTATTTTCATAATAAACGGGAAAAACTAGAAAAAAATATGAAAAAAAAAAACGGGAAATAGGTACAATACTAAACAGATATTATTAAAGAAAATATATAATACATATGTAATTATTTTACCATATCATATTATGACATGTATAATGTAGACAAAGCGCAACACTAATAACCGAACTCCGCTCAAAATCATTTTTCGATAACAATGGTTAAACTTTGTGTACAGATGTACATTAATTTTCCCCTCTACCTTTCCAACTTCTCACCTACCAACCCATCATAATATTCGCAGCGAAGTACCTAATCATAAAACCGATAAAAATTATTTCCATTTTTTTTATAATTGTTTGGTCACGGTTATTATGCGTATGTTCCTACGAATATTATTATTATTATTAATTTATTCTGATTGTGATTCCAGATGATGTAAAGTGATAGTTTGTTAAATATGATTGTTTTCAAACTCCTTATCTAGAAATTAAAATGGCTATTAATAAGAAACTATTGATTTGATAGGTAAGTATGATACATTCAAAGTTTTAGAATAATATCTATTACAAAGCATCCAAATTTTTGAAAAATGAACAGATAAAGTTATTTATTTTTTTTTTTTTGTGAGTACAGGATAAAATACAAATTCGTTTTTTTTTTTTTTAAATATATGTCCCTCTGAATAAAAATCTGATTAAAAAAATTAATTATTAACAGAAGCATAGAAATGTGTCGAATACACATGGTAGGACATTGTGTACAAAATTCAATAGCACAATAATATTTCGAGATATTATTGTAGTTGTTAGCCCCGTTGTTTACCTGGATCCATATTGCGAACCGTGCCAGCTACGGTAAGGGTCGTAGTCCTCGATGATGCTGGGCTCCTTTTCGACGATGTCGGTGCGGGCACACGAACACGTCATCGCCGAGCACAGGAACACGTTGATGACGAGCATGATGAGAAACATAAGCCCGAATGCGATGCACAGATACAGCATCCACGACGGTCGTACAGTTCCCTCCGAGGGGTTATCGCATATCGCTTGGCTGCGGGCCATCTCGCCCGGTTGGAGCACGAAAACGGTGGTGCTGGCCATTAAACTGCCGTTTTCCGACTGCGAATCCATCGCAAATTGGTCTTTGACCCGTTGCTGTTGCTGCAGCAGCTGCAAGGCCGACGGATCGTCGCAATCAGCTTCCGTGCACGCTCCCCGGCACACCTCGATGTCGCACTGGAAGTACAATTCTTGGCTGTCCGGGTCGAACCGGAACATCGACGAGAGCGTCGCGTCCGCGTGTGCAAACTTTGGATCATACTTGAACGGCGTTATCACCTTCGTGTTGGCTGGGCATCTGAAAATATACGATTAAAAAATAACAATAATAATCATCAAATTATAATGTACAATTTATTCGGAGTACGGCCCTACCTAGTCCGTAAAGGAACGAAAGAAAGGTAAACGAAAACACGGGACTATAGGTAAAAACAGGCGAGGGTTTCTTTTCTATGTGGATTTAGAATCATTCAAGAACGTCATTCGAATATACTTCCGGTTTTGATGTTAAATTGTTAACTTCAGACTAATCAATTTTTTTTTTAAGAAAAAACATCTTCTCTTCCCGGATAGCTAATGACTAATAATAGATATTATACCTATTTATAAGTTGAAAAACGAAATGATACGTACAAATAAGAGAAAGTCACTTCGAATCGTCATTATCTTAGAAAAAACATTCAACGAGACGTAGGGAAATAAAAAAAACGAAATAAAACGATCGTAGTTTAGTTTAAACCGCTAATTCCAGTGTCTTTGGAAGTTGTAACTAGAAAAACCACATAATTGTGCAACGCGGTGCAGCGGGAGATCCATTGTATAGTAGTGTCAGGGTTCACTTACCCGAGCTCATTGATGAGGTTGACGCTGCTGTTCCTCTTGTTGAACGCAAAACAGTTCTTAACGCGTATTCCATAGACACCTGTAACGTTAAAAACAATTTTTGTTTTGAATTGTATAACAAACACGCAAAACGTGTATATTCAATAATATTATTATTGATATTTGCAAACAATAAAATACCGTCTTTAATTTAATTCAAAATTCAGTTTTAATACATTTAAGTATTTGCTGTTATTTGTAATTCATAATAAATCACAAATTGAGAGTAGATATTGAATGTAGGTAAACAGCTGAAGCGTATAGTGCGGTATTTTTATTTTTTATATAATTTTGTGTAATACCGTAAATATGATTTATAATATTAATTTTTATAAGTGGTGAAGATAGTTTTTTAGGAAACAACTATCCGTTCATAATAAACAGCAAAATCATAAATGAAGTAGATACCATTTTTAAAATTAAATTCCCCATTTCTAATGAAACGTTAAAACTTATTTGTAAACCGTTTTTTTCAACCTATTATCTCTTATATGCAGGTACCTACATTATTTTTTAAAATAAAAATATGATGTAATTTAATTTGAAAAATATACATATGAGGTATGAAAATATTAAGTGAAATTGTGCAAATCGTAATTATAAATAAATTTTAGTCATCTATGTTGTTTAAATAGTTTAAACAAAAAAAATTGATTTTACCATCGTGTCGTGATATCTCGGCTCTTAATGTGTACGGATGACTATAAACAACATCTTGAATTCTTTTGCCGTTCTCGAGGAATTTTAACGATACCAACGACGTTTCATTTCTGAAAAACAAAATGTAATGTTTTAATCGTGGCTTTAATCTTGTTGGTTTTTTCTTAAACATTTATAGAATTTTATCGCCTAGTTCGAGTCTAGACGTTGTATTTACTTGGAATTCTTAAATCCTGCTTTGCCACACGTGATGACATAGTACTTATCGTCGGCAAGTTCTAAAGTTCGATGTTTTCTTATAACTATCGATACTGATCTTTCATCGCTTTTCTATGGAAACAAAATAAAATCATCATGATAGTAATGACATAATTTTAATCTATAATCTTAAAAAAAATATATTTAGTCATCATGGAAATAACTATATTATTTTCATTATTATTCTATTTAATCTCTTAATAGATACCACCTCAATGGGCGGTATGAAAACTAAAATATTATAGAGGGGGAGAATGGTATGCGAGGAGACTACTCTCCTCTCAGGTAGGTGTCATTATTTTTCTAACGAATATAACAAAATAAAAAAAAATAAAATATACATAGTACAATTAAATTATAGGATTTAAAAAAAAAAAAACACAGCTAAAAAATAAAATAAAAACAAATTAAAAGAAACAGTTTGACAAAAGTGTACCTGCTAATTTCATTGGACTTTTTTTTATAATTACAGTCCGATATTTCAAAAGGGTCCAAAAATGTTAAACCAAAAGTGTGTTTTAACCAGTAATTATTTTTATACTCAAATGTTAAACCTAATTCTTGTATTTTTTGATACCAACTATGATTTACCTATCGCTATATTTACGGTTTATCGATTATTTGATGCTGTTTATATTTTCGTTATCGACGATTATCTATCGTTGTATGCAATATATACATTAACACTATTGGTTCCCAAATTATATTTGTTAAAAACGGAAATCATATCTTTTTCGGTTTTGGCAGAAACCGATAACACCCATTTCATTAACTGTTTTATGAAGCATATGGGACTAGCTGATAAATGGTATTGTCAAAATATGATTTTAAAAGTATAATCGTATCACGAACCCACAAAAATTTCTATTATCTTTCAATAAACTTAAAACTATACACATTCTTAAAAAAACCGGTTGTCCCAGAAAAACTTTTAGCACCCTATAGGTTACAATGTGCTGCACCTATGAGCACGCTTATGTCGGTTTCGATTTAAAAAAAAAAATCATCGGGTACTAAAACAAGCGTAACATTAATACGCAAGTGAATATAAAACACAAATTAGGAATACCTACATAGTTAAATGGAATTACTAATTTTTACACAGAGAATAAACCAATTATATTAAAAGAGTTTGTTAAACCTTAGACAGTAAATTACGCAATACGTCCCGGGGCGCAAGTCTACTATACTACGTCTCGGGCTACGGCTACAATTAAGTCGTTTCCGATCCAATTCGACCGACCCGACCACCATCCTACTCATCCGATATTTGTGGCTACGTTATATCCGATTCCGTACAGACTTCGTGTACTTATTATCTACTCTGACATTCATATATTAGTATATACCTACTACGTATTGATAGAGTTCACATATGCATTGGTGATTTTTATTCAAAATGTATTTAAGTTCTAGCAGCTCAGAATGGGATGATTTACCGGATAGTAAAATATTATATTTAAATAATACAAGGTCCTGTTGGACGCATAATTTATTAAACGACTTTAAAAACGAGAAATATTTTAAGACGTGTATTAAACTTCAAGAATATTCTGATAAGTTTAAAAAATATTTTCGAATTAGCATAGAAACGTATGATTATTGATTATAAATTGTCGATTATTTAACCCAAATAATCTAATTTTGTCCGACTTTTGTCGGAAGAAAATCATATCGATTTGTTTCTCTTCCGACGTATCTGACTAGTCGGTACATCGGAAACGGACAGGTCGTATAAATATAGCCATTACCGATAATGTTCACGATTTTGTTTTTTTTCCGACTAGTCGGATTGTCGGATCGGATCGGAAACGGCTCTAATGTAACCGTAGCTTTAGGCGATTGGTTTACATTTTGCGGCTGAACCGTGATAACGTTGTATCTAAACAATTACAATGATTATTTTCGTCTATTAATATTATATGAACGGAATTGTATATTATATATTATAGATTACCTATTATTTCAACCTTGTTTAATTATACTATATTTGGGTAAATAATAATAATTATAAACTTCTCCTTGTGGAAGACGACAAATAGGGTTACATCAGGTCGTCAGCCTATGTGGAATTCTGCAAAACAGTATAAATTCTAAACAAGACATTGGTGCATTGTACCATCTCGGATATGCGCGGGTATTTAAGAAGTATCCTGTGGGATACCAACTTTGGTTTTTCAAATAAAAACTTATATTGAAAATTCTATAAATAGATGGAGTGAAGTATCATTTGTGTGGTGGCACGGCGCGCGGCGTTTTATTAGTGCTTCACTACTCTCCTCCTACCTAAAATTAAAAGTAAAATATCTCGTAAACGGGTTGACAATTAAACATTTTAACACCAACATTTATTTAAAGTTATATTCGGTTTAAAAAACCAAAGTTGGTATCGCCACGGGATACTCTTTAAATGTTGTGAAAAATCTAAATATTCAAAAATATCGTTTTGAACTACGCTTAAAAATTCCAAAATACAGAATTTGAATACATGTACAATTTAACCAAAATAATAGGGTGAGCATGCTTAGTGAATCACCTTGTATAACAAGAGAATTCCAATGAGACTTAAAGTTAATTATTACCAAAAGGTGGTGAGACTAACTATGTTGTATGGTTTGGAGTGTTGGGCCATAGACAGAGAATGAGTGTGACAGAGATCAGAATGGTTAATAAATAAGTGAAATAACGAGAGAAGATGGGATATATAAGAGATGGGAAGATGAGTACATAAGAGGTAGCTTAGGCGTGGTTTCGATAGTAGAAAAAATTAGAGAATATAGACAGATGATTCAGACATGTCACAGGGTGAAAGGAATTAGAAGCAGTAAGAAATGTAATGAAAATAAAAATAAAAGGAAATAGGTGGAGAAGAAGACTACACAGGAAGTGGTTATATGTAATTGAGAATGATAAGAGGACAGTCGGTATATGCAAGGTAGAAGATCGGGTCTAGTAGAAGTTTAGAACGAGGATCGCTAACCATCAAAATAATTGAGATGAAGGTGAATAAAAAGGAGAAGAAGAATAAATTATGAACTTGAAATTGCTAATACAGTTTTAATAAAGAAATGGGCAGTTATCAAGGCATATAATACTAGAATTGTTTAATGATAAAATTATTTGCTATTCACTTTACCAATAGTTATTACGATTTCTTATCATGTAAAATAGTGTAAAAAGTCACCTGTTCACCATAATTCGGGAACAAAAATTTGTACAGGTCTAGCTTATCTATTCTTTATTATATTTTTGTAAAACGCAAATGAGTAAAATGAGATAACATAGATTTAAAAAGTTTTATTTACTGTCTATACAATATTGAAGTATAATATTATTTTTAAAATCTGTCTGAACATTTAAGATGTTATTGAACTAATTCAACTAATTTCTTAATTTCATTATAAGTAAATGTTTAACACGCACACACACACACACACACACACACACCACACATACAAATAGTTCATTGCCAGTTTATGTGATAATATAACGAATTGGAAAAACCGTTTACAAATCATAATATTTTATTAGGTCAAAAATAATTATTTATAACATTTTAATATTTTTTCAAATATTTATTTTATATGGTTAAAAGTATCAATAAACTCGATGTTTTTAAACTGAATATTGTTTATGAATATAAAAACGTTTTGTTGGTTTACATACCCAAACCTAACTAGAACCATTTTTATGGATTTGATTTGGTATTTACGAACGTCATAAATCGTGATTATCGTGTGATTACTAATTTTATCTAAAGAACATAATCCAGAATTATGTGACCATTTATTTTTTAATAACCTGTATAAAAAAAAAGATTAATATTTATAAATGCACATAGGTATTACGTATATAATACTCGTATTATAGGTAATGCAACGTGCAGACGCACTAACGCAGACTGCATATATTGCAGTGCTGACTATACACCCGGATTTATATAAAAACATTATAACATTTTGTTGTCAACTTAATAAATAATTATATAAATCAGTATAATATTATCCTACTTCCACTTTGCGTGCGATGGTTTAGCCGTATAGTAGGTACCTAATATAAAACTATCATGAGAAAAAAATGTAGGTATATAATAACACGTTAATGTTATTCGTCACTATTCTTAAGCCAGATTATAATAATGTTGTACCTATAATTTTCGTATTAAATTTTTATGGGCACCTAACCTAACTTAACCTATTTAGGTATTTTTATTAAGGAATCCGTTATGTATATGTTGCGGTTTAATTATATAACTATACAGGTATATATTATATAGGTAATAATAAATTGTCCACCGCGAGAAAAAAAAAAGAAAACAATTTGGTCATTCCTAATTTAAAAAAAAATAGTATGTACCTATATAACGTGTTTCAATCGCGTTTATTAGACATGCTCGCGTAATAAATAATTTTTTCGTCACCTCCACGAATCATCTGTCCCCACCGTTCCTGCACTTTCCCCGTTTGTTTGGTGGCTTCGGTGTACGACTCCACTACCGTGGTCAACTACTCTACCATAACCAACACTAGGTACTTATGGTTATTTACACAATTTTCGCGAAAAAAAAAACCAACCATAATAAATAAAAAAATATATATCCAATTATTTATAGGAAAACTATATATATTATTTTTATATACAAAAAGATATTATATTATATATCACAATATGTAAATTGAATTAATATTATTTTGTTGGAAATATACTCGAGAAAATCGACTAGGCTATAATAAACAGAGCTGGAATTTTTTTAATGCCCTGAAAAATCTAAAAAAAAAAAATGCAAAAATGACTTAAAAACCTCAAAAAGGCATTGTGAAAATTACTTTAAATTTATTAAAAAAAGCTTAAAAACAAAAAAAAAAAAATCGATTTTACCTTTTAAGATTTAGTGATTCTAAATATACCACGTTACTTTTATCGTAAACGCTTCCACTCGTTATCTATGTTTCAACATTCCAACTATTGTCCTCCGATAACATAGCAGGAGTGACGAGTACCTATACTATATAGTTTGTTAAATTTTTATAAAAATCCTTTCTGTGTGTAAAAATCTTAAAATACAATTTCAAATTCATAGTTTGTATCCAAAAAATTCTAAAAATACTCTAAAAACTCTAAAAATTCGATAAAAAATAATAATTGTTAAAAATTGCAAATAAATTCTTTTATTCTCATTCAAAAGCGCATGGTACAGATTTTTGACTGGACGAGCAACCTTTGGAAAATAACGCAAAGTGCATTGAAATCCCTGCCCTATTAATAAGTTATTGTTATATCTTATATATATCTTATCTTGTATATATATCTTTGATTCCAAGGAAAGATAGCTTAAGTCAATTTTTGTTATGTTTTTTCATAACTTTATCTAACGTAATTTTAAATTCTGAGTGGAGCGAAGCTTATGGTTTTACAAAGATGTTAATTTTTTTTTTTCTGTGGACAATTTTTCTACTAAAAGACTTGCTCCGATTTTTACGTGTAGCAACTTTTCTGAAAGGAAATTAGTGCGTGGAGGTATCTTAAAAAGGTCATTTTTCGATTTTATCAAGAATTTTCTCAACAAATGCGAAAAACCAAAAAAAAAAAAAAAAGGAAAACCGAAGAAATCGGTACAACATTAAATAAATATTATTAGAAAAAATATATAGAGCCTATTTAATCATTTTACTATAATATGACATTTATATTGTTGACAAAGCGTCACTATCAATTGAACTCCGTTCAGAATCGTTCTTTCATTAGCAATGGTTTATCGCTACTTACAGGTGCACATTAAATTATCTATAACAGTGGCTGCACCCGTCCTCATTATTCTAGGGCGTCTTTTTTTTTTTTTTTTTGAACGTTGTAATTAAATACTATATTTGTCTGAAATGTACCTATACCCTGATATACCAATTTAAAAATGTAGGCCAATTTGTACCAGTACCTATACATTATTATTTTACAATAAACTTATAAATAGACGTATTTACTATTTATATATATATATACGAAAAAAAATACCGCCGAATACGTGTTTCAATTTTTTATTGAAAAGAGCATAATGTGTAATGTGGTAGGTAATAGGTATATAACAGTAGTACAGGCGTACCTGTTTCTATTCGTCACCGGAATTGGAAATGACAAGGTAATGTCATTTTTGCGGAAGAATGAATGCGTATATATCTATATATTATTATATACTTACTTATAGTACCGTCTTAATAGTATATTTATTGGTCATGCTCGTAGAATTAACATTAACGCGATGATGACGATTGAAACGTGCGGCAATACGATAGAATTCTATTATTTATACCTCACAATCAAAAAATGTCAAAAAACTGTTATAATAATAATACAGTGTATAGGTACCGTAAAAGAATTATTACAATTTTAAACGCGCGTAAAAATATATTATTATACGCCTATAATATATATAATAGGTAAATGATTTTCATATTTCATTTCATCGTGAGCATGACAGATTACAACGGGTATCTTTTGAAAACTTTATGAAATATTACAACTGTTAACAGTAAATATAAATAATTAGTAATTTCCCCTAAATGGTGCCAATATAGGTATATTGGCATATTTGATACCTATATTTGATGGTTGTTATAAGTACGGTATGAGTATACATAATATACAAATATGCAATTCAAAATCATTAAAACGTTTTCAAGGTATATTCACGATCCTGAATTCGAATCAAAATTAGTGGGTAAACCTAGATTTACGCAATAATAATTCAGACATTATTATGAGTTTTAGATTCTGAGCATAGCGAGTATTAGTTTGAAGAGATAATTTTTTGATTTTTCAAGAGGTTTTCAAAGTAATTTATAAATAACTTTATGTATCCTACCTATCTACCCAACTTCCCGTCTATAACAAGCACATCATCAGCTTTTATTATTATTATTTTAGCACGAATATCATTTTTTTTTTCAAGTTCAACCAGAAAGCACTTTATTGTTCAAAAACTATTATTACGTTTAAAGATTGTAATTTGTGAATAAAATGGATGAATTCATGAAAATATAGTGAGTTTTCTGCCACTTTTTAGCAAATATTCCCTATGTGTCCATTTCTCCTAATTTTTTAAAAAAAAGGCCAACACTATGAAAAGCCCAATCTTCCCCATAGTTGTACGATCATATCTGTTTGTAACCTCTTATCCTTTATTATTCAGTTTTACCTTGTATCCCCGCTCCCCTCATATTAGTGAAAGCATTCTCGACACGGCCGCCGAGCATGTCGTCGTCCCCTCAACCGTGCACACGACTACTCCACCAACCGCTCAAACCCGGGACGTTAGATCGATTAAATCCAGTTGAAATAGTGTCAGAACTCAATTGTACGAAAAATGAAAGACCCTGATTCAATTCTCGGCCCGGCCGTATAATTTTTAACACTATTTTCCGGACGAGAACAGCTGCTTTTTTTTCACTTACAATATAGTAAATTTATCTATAGATAAGGTTGATAAAATTTATTTTACGTATAAAATCAAGGTATACAAAGTGTCGCACCAAGATATACCCATTGCAATATCTCTTGAGATAATAAAAACAATCAAATTCTGTTTTTTTTTTTTTTTTTTATATCACTCCCAAGGATAAAGACTACAGAAATATATATATTTTGAATTAAATTTTATTTTATTATTTTCAAAAAATTTGAAGATAGTAATTTTATAGAGTTTATACATCTGACAGTTTTGATGTTTAAATTTTTTATATTTATTTAATTTATGATATTTGATAATTTTTTCAATTTATGTTATGCAACAAATTGTAATAACATTCGATAATTGATTATTATTATAATGGCTAATTTACTATACACACATTTTTTATAAGAGTTTTATAATCAAACTTTGACAAAAATCGTAAATATTAGGGCATTTCAAAAAAAGTATAACTGAACTTAACCCAGAATTGTATTTCGTTACCAATGGTTTATCATTACTTACAGATAAAAATTAAACTAATTTATGTATTCTACCTTCCCAACTTTTCACTCACAATAGTAAGGTATGTGGCTTCTGGGGATAGGTTCAGAATCATCCCTTTTTTGTTTTTTGTAAATAATAATTAATAACTATATTTATCTGAAATGTACCTATACCTGTTGCTATGCCAATTTAAAAATTTAGATCAATTATTATTATCATGGCTAATTGATTATACACATTTTTCTCTGGACGAATATAATGAAAGTAAAAAAATCGATACGTTTAAATTTTTAGAAGAATAAACTCTATAGAATAGCCATCTTCAAATATTTCAAAAAATATAAAATACAAATTTATATTTTTAAGTTTTTTACCAAAACAAAAAATTAATTAAAATATAAATTTTCGTAATCCATGTTTTAGTGAGTAATGTAGCAAAAACAGAATTTGATCATCTTTATTATTTCTGGAGATATAACGACGGGTATATTATCTTTGTAGGATATTTGTATACCTGCATGTATATCAGTTTATCTTGTACTATTTAGTAGCTATTTATATATAACTATTAGCCAGTAGCCGTGATCAGTAAATCTATTGAATCCATAACAATATTTAGAAATATTTTGAAACGTCTACTGTAGTTTTAAAAATGAGGTACAACACTGTACAACAAATAAAATCAAGAAAAGTACTACAGCATTTTGATTCGGATTTTGGTTAATTTTCCGTAATTCTAAAAGCATTAAGATTCGAAATATTTTAAACGAAAGACTATTCTCTTACCGTCATTTTACTCTACACTTAATAATTTATAATATTATAAAACGTAAACAATTTTTAAGTCAAATTTTTAAAATGTCGATTCCATATTTTTTTTTTAATGAAAACTACATAATGTTATGATAATAAATCAATATGATAGTTGATACATTGAAACTGAAATAATATATTTGAACATGGTTCATTTATTCAATCATTGATAAAAAAATAATAATAATAATAATACCCATCACCTATTATAATTTATAATAATATATTATGGTAAATATTATAAATTATTGCAGTGTGCTATAGTTATTGCTGTACATAGACGATAATATTAAGCAGGTAAATTCTGCAATTTATATTACAGTAACGTTTGAGATTATCTGATAATTTTTGTTGTTGGTTTAATGCCAAATGTAATTTTTTATTTTTAATTAGAAATATTATTCTATAGTTAACACTGTGTTGTAGCATCATAAACTTCCGTTATAATGTGCAACTTTATAATATGAAGGTATATACTAAATGAAATAGATTAAAGTACAAAAGGTAAATTCGTAGAATAACTTGTTTTAAATGTTTATATTTAACTTTTTTATCAACATAAATTATCTAGGATTCTCGAGCATACATTAATTCTATCCAAAACAAATGTTCATTTCCGTCAACTATATTATATAGTTTCCTCAAAAAAAACAAAAAAAAAAAACGAGTTTACCTCTTTATACACTCTTCAGTCTTGACTTTATGTATTTGTATAAATTATGCTAATCTCTAAATTTGGTTTTGTAAGAAAAAAAATGTTGTACTGTGGCCGAACGAAAAATTCTCAAGAATAGCTTGAATATTTCAAGCTAAACAATACAAAAGTGTCGCATTGATTTTCGAGACAGTTTAAGAATATATACGTACATAATAATTATAGACGAGTGGTATATCAATGAGAAGTATAAAAAAAAAAAAAATGCTTTCAATATTGAAGGTGCGCGCATTGATGTTACAAGTCGAATGCCTGTATTATTATACGAAAACGACTTATACCTGCGCGACACCTACGACAATAATATAAGAGATGCATCTCATTTGGCTATACACTGTATATAATGTTCTTTAATAGCTGGATATTATAATACGCCACGATGATCAACATAATATTCTATATTGTATTAGGCGTACGTTCGCGAAATTGACGGGCGGAAATACAATTGACTTTTCGGTTTCACACATATTTTAATGTACCGGCGCAAGTATGCGTTCTAAACATAATAATAATACGATTTTATAAAAATATGTGCGATGACGGTTCGTCCGTTGTATAAGAAAAAAAAAAAATGTGTTTGTATTATTGTATAATATGTGACACACGAATATGCCATCGTGTAGCAAAAATTATATTATTATATATTATCATTATATCGCGCGCATACTCCCGAGATAGGTATAAGGTACCTACACCATGAAATTGGGCATAACGATTTTTTTTTTTTTCCCATGTGATCGTGTATGTGCCCGCACAATACACAATACTATAATACACGTGTGGAACCCGAAATATTATATATTATGTTTTTTAATGTCATGTGGACGGCGGTCATCCGCTGTCTCGCCGCGACGACAACGACACCGTGATGCCGAAATAATAACGCGACAGTGTACCTTATAACATAATAGTAATGTGTATTATAACGACTACCTATCTACAGACAAACGGTACAAATTATTACACTATTTTTATTATTATTGCAGTACAAAGCGCAATCGCAAAACGCCAAGGTATTCATATATTATCGTCGTTGTTATTGTTACTAGGTATGTACAATATACATACATATATATAGTGAGAGAGAGAGAGAGAGAGTGTGTATACGTACGTTGTTGGTGGATATACCGCAGTAATCGGACGATCCCTGGGTGGCCAGTAGATTGATGCCGAGAGTGGTGAGCTTGGTACCGTTACCGTAACTCAAACAACTGGACGAACGATAGTCTTTGGCGTGTATGGCCCCTGCGGGAAAAAAAAACCATCAAGACCGCGTGTATAATAATAGTTAAGCATTTTATTATGAACAAAACGAAAAAAAAAAAAAATCGTTTTGTAACGGTTATAAGAGGGCGTGGTACCACCCGTTATTGACTGTATAAAAATAGGTTCGTCGCGGGGAAAAATTACGCGGTCAGTAGACTTAATCAAGAAACCAAATTTTAAAAAAAAGAAGGTCTTGCACTGTGAAACGTCAGTTTATTGTTTCGATATTACAAATACAAAAAAAAAAGCCATTATTGTTTAAAAATCTGATAGTTTTAAGTTTTTCAAACTCGAGTAACATATTTTGTAATAGTGACATCGAAAAACTAAAACCAACGTTGCACAGTGCATGTTTATTTTAATTTAAGTTGAAAATTCGGTATACATTCACCAAGTACATAGCCCGTGTAATTTTGATAGCGAGAAACAGTTTTTTGTGAACATTTATGTTAATTTCACAATTAAACAATAAATGCTTGTGATAATATGCATGGGACTATTTGTAAATGTATTTGAAAGTGAATTTGAATATTTACGAATTGATGATATTTCATATTTTCAGAAATATTGAGAAAATTGCCTATACGAAACACCTTAAATAAGGGAGGCAACACGTTCTCTTAGAATACCTAGTTACTTATTGAAAAATGAAAAATAAAATAAGTAACAGTATAAAATATCATACAAGAAAAAAATCGTCTTGCAAGTGTGTGCAGTTATTGGTTGCATATTATTTATACGACTGGTTTCGATTTTAAAAATCAACATCGTGTTATTGTCACTACCATCATTCTAATAGTATATACCACTATAATACCAGCATATTACCACAAAATCATCATAGTATAATACCGGTTGGTGATGATGGTATTGTTAAAATTGAAACTGGTCGTACAAATAAAACGCAGCCAATAACAATATATCAGCTAAGTTTTCTCTTGTACATACTTTTACTTATTTATTTTTATTTTTAGATTTTGAAGAAGAGCGAAGAAGTTATATTACTACGTTTTTTTTTTTTTTTCTGAAAACACATTTTGGGTTAGTAAAAATGTTCTCGTGTTTTCAAGCCGCGCCTTAAAAAATGTTCATTATTTTATTTGATTAAAAATATGTCCATATTACATACGATTTATATTCCTCTCAGAATAGATTACAAATAGACACGAATTGTGAACAAATTAACATGACGTAGACAATGATTAAATTTACTTGTACAACATTTTATTTTTAAAAATAATTGAAAATATTTTATTAATATACCTATATCTGTATTAGTTTTTTTTTACGTCAGTCTATTGCTAATTATTTAAAGTCTAAACCCCCTCCATTAACAATCTTTACCTACGACCCTAGTGAGAAGTACTTTTTTATTGTCTGTTTTATATTATAGGTATTAATTTTTTAAATTAGGTATATACATGTATTCATTTGATCGTAGGCATTTTAATTTTATCCGGTTAGAAATGATTGATGAATGAACATATTTTCTTTTACCATGTGCAATGTGCATTATAATACACATACTACCTACATTAATACGCAGACATAATATGTTATTTGTGCACCATAGAGTAATAAAAAAAAGTAGTTTTTCACTTTTCATAATGTACACATCATATTATTATTATGTATATCCCGAGTGCACATTAAACAATTGTTTCGTATATTAGACGCGCGTAATAATTCACATTTTTAGCGCATAAAATATTATGTAAACAATAATAATATACCTATAACATCACAATCGCGCTACAGTGTTGACATTAGTAATATAATTATAAAATCATTACTTTTCAAAAATGATTACACAAACTTTCTTCGATTCGAATTATACGTAGGTATAGAAAGTCAAATAATAAAAAAAATATTTAAATTACACGAGTTACAGCGTATATTTTTTATCTGAAGATACTAAAAAAATAATATAAAGGTATCCTGAACTATAAAAATAAATTAAGAGAAGCGGATAAAATAACTTAAAAAATATAATGCAATTGAAATTTCTTCAAACAGAATATCTGATTTCGATCGTATAATGTATGGTCGTTCAATGTAATTGCAATGTACATCATGAATACGGAAATTACATAAAATATAAGTTTGATAAATCCCATGAAAAGGTGAGGTAAATAGACCTTGGTGAAATTTGTTAATGTTACTTTATAAACTAGAATTATTGACTTCGAAAAACAATGGAATTATTGATTATATTGGTTCACACCTCTTTTTGTGAAATTGTATATAATTTGAGTTCTAATTATGTTTCCGTCGGTGCGTAGCTAATAATTTGACCAAGTAACACAAATTAAAATAATAATTTAAAATTGTTTGTCTTATTAAATCATACATAATATTTTTTTGTAAAAACGTAAGTTTGACAAATCATGATACATTACTATACGAATAGGTAAGTATTAAAATATATATTCGTGTATTTAAGATCAATATTTTTGGATATATTTACAATAATTTATGTACGTATAATAATATATAATATGGTAGCTATAAATATATTATGTATTTATGTTAATATCACATGTCTAAAAGATATTTTAACGAAAAATAGTTGAGGAATTAAAATTGTTCCCAATAGATTATAAACTAATTAAAATGCACCTACGTTTTATTCTTAAATTTATGTAATCGGTTATATTATATTTAAATTCAAAATATGTACCTAAACTAGACGTATAATAGTAACTCTTCATCTACGTGGGTCGTTGAAATAGTTAATAGGTTATAAATTTAAAAAAAAAAAATCTCTGATACCTGTTCTTATAATATATTCTCGAAAAAACCAGTTTAATTATATGTATATATAACATTAGTTTTAATTAATAAAATCAGGGTGATTTTAAAATATTATACTCACGTTTAATAGAAAAATCTCATTGGCGATAATTTCATTTGTTCTATTTGCTTTATGTATAATGGTGTGTTGTTATACTTGGACGCATTTGTGTAATAAAACATTTTGAAAATCATTATTTTTTCATTTTTGCAGAGGCCACAAAACAAAATATACGATAATAATGGGTGGCCTCGTCAGGGATTTTAAAAAGAAATTAAATTTTAAAAGAAAAGACTATTGTTCAGCTTATATATTGGTAGGTAGGTTGTGTTTCTATTATTCATTGTCGAGTATTGACTATACATACAGAAGGTTTACGCTGACGGCCTTTGGTCAAAACGTCGTTTTAGGCGTTTAGATAGGGTACAATAAAAAATAAAATTTCGAATTACATCGAACCGACGACGATTGCGGTTTTACAATAGTTCCATATCGCATTTCTGATTGTAAAGGCTACATCATATTACATAGCTAGGTGTGTACTGCATTCCGGCGTGCCATGTTAAAACAATTTTTATGACCAGTTGTTTATACTAACTGTTCATAGTAATAGAAAACGTGGGATTCGAAGGATAGCCAAGCAGTCAACCAAAAAAAAAAAAAAAAAACCACATTCTTAATATGTTACCACATGTAAAATATAGTTACAAAACGTTTGATAATAATGGTGACTACTTATTTTAATATACCTGCCTAATACCTATATTGTATTTAAATTACGTGCCAAGTGAATATTATAACAACAGTATTTATCAATCAAACTCGAATGATTTTAATATTTTATTTTTACTTTTGTACTTCTCTATTTGTCTATACTCTTTAAATATTAGTATATATTAATTGAATAATGTTATTTTCATGAACGGTATTTACTTGTATAATTTATTAGTTGCCTATGTGTGCAGTATGCATTTATTTTAGTTGCACATAGAAAATGTGACACAATGTATAAATATATTTTTTTTTTTAAATAACGTACCATATGTTTTGTTCAAAAACAAATTATTTACATTACAATAGAGTACAGTAATACTTGTGCCCTTAATAATCATTATCGTGTAATTGGCTTATTAAAACGATTGCGACACGCAATTATTATAATTAACAATAAAATAAAATTTAAAAAACAATGTTAACTAACCAGTAAAAGGCTCGTTGGTGGTGACTTTAATCGTCATGTATCCAGCTTTGCATGTCGCAGTAACGGAAGGTACGAACTCTTCCTCCACGAGATTTTTTTGCGCATAGTTGACACGCTGTAAACAAACAAAATATAGAATATATTATAAGGTTATAACTGCCAGATAAAATAATACATTTGATTCTACTATTGTCTATGCGCATATAATACTTGCACAATACATATATAATACGGGTAGACATTTATTTCGATTATTTTAATTTAGTGCTCAAATGTTATCATTATTTGCATAACCGTGTATAATTCATAATACCTCGATATAGTGTCTATTTGGTACACTGTGTTCATAATTCTAAGGTCGACTTTATTGCTATACCTGCATGCATTATATTATATTCGTTAAACGATTCAGATAGGTTTGTTTGGTATTGTCAAGTCGGTTAAAAGAAATTATAATATAAATATTATTTCGGACCTCATTATTTTTTAAGTAATGGTGATGAGGGCGTACTAAATTTTATTGATGAACCTCTGATGGCCGATGCCCTGATGCGATAAGAGATAATAATATTTTGTGTATTACCTATGCATATCTATTATAATATAATATAAAGATAGGCACCGCACTTTGAGGTCAAGGACCCATGTGCAAGACGTCGATATAAAGCACGATTATATTATATAGTTATATAGGTACAGTATATACAAACAAAAGGTAATACGGTGATTTTCGTGTGTGTTTCGACGATCATAGACGAAAAATCGTGTTGGCCGTTAGCGCGTACACACGTACTACATAAAATTATGTGTGTTTGTATACAGGGTACACACTATTAACAGTTTATCATGAGATAATATTTACAATGAACGTACGCGCTGAGAGCGGCCGCGAGCAATTATTATAGTCGATCGATATATTATTCCCTGATGGTAGATGCGGGGCTCTGTTCCCCGGGATAAACTTTCAAAATATAAGCGGGAAGTTCAGAAGGTATAAGATGTACGTTAGGTTATGTGTTCTGTTCGTTCGCAACGATAAATCGTTACAAAGGAAAAACGATTCTGAACGCGAAGTTCGGCGATTGAACACGGTTTGGTGTGTTTAAATCAATAATATTGTATTATTACCTATTTTCCACTCCAAAACAAATGACAATTATCGTAATTCGTGTTTTTAACGAATTTTAACATCATTTTTATCCACATTATCTCTAGGTCGGAAAAAAAAAAAAACTCTAGAATATTTCATTGAATATTATTATTACGTCGGCATTTTCGGTCCTGAAATTTTCGGATTTCATTACGGGGACATTACTTTATAATGTACAACAATTGCGATTATTATCGAGCCGACACTCGGCCGAAGATGCCGCCTCGCCGGTCAGCGCATTACAATATTACCGCGGTGGCGGCGGTGGCGGCGGCGGCCTTGGTGCCTACGGCCGCGGCCTACGCCACGCCCGCGGCCCGGCGTTTTTAATACAAAACGAGACGCGCAAACTCGCGCAGCGGCGACGACGGACGCGGCCGACCGGCCATTTAAGGTTTGTCCGCGGCGCACTCGCGTAGGCGCGCAGACTCGTTTCAATCATTACAATACTCGCTGCTGCATCAATGACGCGGTCGCCGAGTATTACCCCATCGTCGCGGAAACGGGCGATGCCGCCGCGCCTATGTGTGCCCCGTAACGTGGTGCGAGTGGAGCGAGATACGCTGTCGCCGAGTGGCATTATGGGGCTCGCCGTGTCGGTTTTCCGAATTTCCTCGGGTTTTGTAAAATTGTAAAATTTTTCGTAACGATAGCCTTAATTGCCGCCATGAAAAGGAGGGAGGGGACAGCAATGGGATGCGGCAAGTATGAATATTCAAATAAATGTAGGAGCAAATAAGGGGAAGGGGAAAATCCGAAAAAGAGGCGATCGGGTGCGATTTAGAACGCATCCAACGATGTGGAGGGATCGAGTCAAATGGAAGTGGAAGGACGACGGTGGCCGATTCCAAATGGTCGGGATGAAATCAAAGGAGGAGAAGACAATGACCGCCTAAACGATGATAACACTTTTCCACTAATCCGCTGCCCAATTATTTTCGTTTTTTACAGACGGATATGACTTCGCGGGAATATAAGGATACCTAACACTATCATTGCAAATTTAATATATTATGTATTTTTTTTTTTTTTTTACCATTTGTTATTTTTAAAATGAAACAAGAACGTTTTATAACCATCGTTTACTCCGATTTTTTTTTTTTTTTCGGAAATCGGATTATCAAGTTAAATGACTGCATTGTTGTCTGCTGGTGATACATACTTTTACCCTGCGCCGCACGTTAGGAATGGGTTAATATAAAAACCTCCAAATATAATATCGTGAGAAAAAATATATTATTATAATATTAACGTAATTAGTATTGTTAAATTTTTTAAATTCTGGCCGTAGCGAGGAATGTATTGGTTTTACAATGTATGTTTTTTTTAAAAGCTTTTTATTTTTTGTGTCTGTGAACAATTTTTCTACTGGGAATCTTGCTCCAATTAAATATTATAATAAGTGAACTTTTCGTATAGCATTTTGGATCTAGTTGGACATTTGAGAATGTTATTTTTTTAATTTTTCGTGTAGTTTTTTTAATGATTGAGATAAAACGTTAAAATTTACGGCATTAACGGTTTCATTCAATCCTTTTTATATTGTGATTGGGTTTGGTAAGATTTGGGGAGTAGAATATTTTCTGATATGATTTATTAAATATAAAATAAACCCGAGATAAAACCACAATATAATATTCAAATCTGATAATATGGCAAAAATAAATAGGTGTTTGTGTGTTATACCATCACCTAAACAAACAAGCACATCGCGAGAATTGAAGATTAAAGACCTGTGTGTATAGGTAATAATTATCGAGTGGCCAGTGACCACCCGACATTTTAACTTAGTCCCTATACATAGAGGGACCCACGAATATTTAATACAACACTGATGGCCCCTTACATATGTATTTCTATAATGTATACGTATACCCTTTAAAAATTAAAAACACATAATACATGGTGAGCACCCTGTATTATAATATGTACACAGCAGCTCGACAACGGTCCGTACGGTTTATTTTTTTCAAAACGCGCACGTCTCGTACTTAATAAACCGGGCTAATTACGAAACTTATACGTACACGCGGTGCGTATACTTATAAAATGAAAACGCGAACGCGCATTATAAATATATAGATCCCCGTCGCGATTGTTAATTAAAATCGTCTTATAGACGCGCTTAATTAGATGGATATTATAATTTATACGTTAAGAGGAGCTGGTACGCAGGCAACATATTAAGCGATGTCGTGAATCTCAAAATCGTACGCTGCAGCAACACTGCTGTCCGTACCTAATATATACATGCATATAATATATACCTACGTATACACGCCGTACATATTATAATATTGCATGTATATATATATATAGTTATCTTTAGTCGATAATAGCCGGGCAATCAGTAACCGATAGGCGGTCCGGAATGATTTTTTTTTTTTTATTTTTTTTTTTTTAATGTACATCGATCACGGATATTATACACACGCCGAGCTCATTATCGAAAATCTCGCGGCTTGTCAATACGACGCGTACATGACGTATAATATGTAGGATATGATGCAGCGACCGTAGTCTCAATCGCAGAGCATTCCATCAGTAACATCACTAATAAGGCACACGATACTATTATTATAATATACGACGGCGAGCCCATTGTGAAATTACCGGTGAGCCGAACTTAACCACACGTATTATACATGGGGTCGCAGCGGACGGACAGGATGGGACAGGATAAGAGTAATGGTCAACGATGGAATTCTCAGAGTCACGATAGTTAATTGATATAAGTTGTCTGTGGCTAATATATATGATAATAATATTATCCTTTGTTCTGTACCTGTATGGCTGTATAGGATACTATAATATAGTACAAGCATGTTATCAAACATAATTGTATTTTGTATATTATAAAGACTCGCGCCGGAAATTTGTCGAACCGTTACCGGTTATACCAAACCAAAACGATGACGCGTTAAAGTCTCCAATGACGATAAAATAGAAATCGATCAAACGTGTTTTCATATCTTTGATGCATTTTTTTCTTTTAATTTTCACAAACATATAATTATATAACAGAAACATTTATAACTTCGATCAATATCGGTAACACTATACGAGTACTAGTATTATTTAATATAAAACGAATAAATTATTGTAAACTTATGTGTATTCGATGCATATAATAGATAATTGAACTAGGGAGTTCAGATTTTGTTTTTACATTATTATTCAATCATTTAATACCTACCCATATACTTTATGGGTACAGTAATTTCGTGCGCGCATATAAAATAATAATGTATTATAATATATGATATACCTATAGCTATTACCTAATAATATAATACTAAACGAACCCGAGATTATTATAACACGGCGGTATTAAAAAAAAAAAAAAAAAAGACAAACATATAAAAGACATTAGCGGAATAGATTAAAAAAAAAAATAGTCTATAAAACGCGCGATAAAAATAAAATTGTTTTACAGAAACTGCTGCGAGGTGTTTAGAAATCGCCTAGTGTCACTGGACTATTGATGCAGAAGCACTAATCTGCGGTGATTTATGAATAAATATTTGTATACGCGATAATATTATCGCGTTTAAAAACCATCGCAAGGGTACGATACAAATGCAAATGTAAATACGTGCGATCATCTTTTCGTGTGCGATGAATGTATAATCATAACACGAGTAGAATATAATGTATATTGTATACCTATATGTTACGTTAAATATTTAAATATTATACATATTCTATATTAAAAATTGGTGTGCTATTTGTTAAGCATTGAAATACCTATACTTATCTATAATAGGCTTACATTTTTCTGAATATTGTTATGTTATACAGTTATATCTTAATAATATTGTATGGTATAATAATGATCAATCGGCGGCGGCGGCGGCGGCTACAACTACCGAGCATTGTGATTGTATAACGTAATAAAATATTTTATTCGTTATCTCGATATAATATAAGAATGCGTATCGCGAAATAGTCCGCCATTACTATAGTAATGTCATTCTCGCCGCAATTATTGCTCTTCGGTCTCTAGTCGGTGAACACAATATTGCATAAAGCATCCTGTATAGTGTATACACACAATGCCTCCTTAAACGGAAAGTCCAAAAACGACTGCCATCAGCTGTTACCGTTGCCCGGGACTTCTCTCTCTATGTATACCCATAATATAACCTTGGAAAAATGAATGAAAAACACCTTCCACACGACCATCATGCATAATTATTATAAACCATCTGATAGACGTATAAGTATTATTCAATATTCGATCGGTACTTCGATGTTCTTTAATCGGAATGCGATCGCGCACACAACTGTAATAATACAGTCTACCATATAGGTATTATGGCCAGTACGCTTTATATCGTGTGTATATTGGTACATCATTAATATTATAATATAATGCATAAAGAACGCATTGTCACGTGAAATCGATCATTGATGGAGATTATAATTTTTCCTCCTATAATATAATTGAATTATTATTAATATTATAATATAATATACCCTGTGGTAAACACACAAGCATAATAATAAGCATACTGAATTGTACCTTTAATGGGAATATCTAATAACATATGGTTAATATACATAACAAACAATTTGTATTCACGGTACATTTTTACACTAATAAAATAACTAAAATAATAATAGTGACTAAGCGAAAGAAAAAAAGCAAATACTGCAGACGGACTTACTACTGTTATAGGAGGGAAGTTGAGAAGGTAATAATAGGATAATTTTAATTTAATTAGTGTGATTTAATGTATATCTATGTACGCAACGATTAATCATTATGTTGGTAACAAAAAACGATTCAGAGCGTGGTTCATTTAAATTATATGTTTTGAAAAATGCTGTGATTTTTGATTTTAGCCTTACCCTACGAAAAATATTAATTAAAATTATACATGATTAATTACATATGATAATACATTTTAAGATATAAAATTTAAATTATTATTGTTATTACGTATGGATAATTTATTTGCGACAAAAATCGTAAATATATTTTTCACACAAATATAATTAACGAATAACAATATATTCATGCATTTTAAAATCTATATGAAAACGGAGGACTGTCGCGTTGTTTAGTAGTAAGAAGCTGTAGGTATATGTATGTATGAAAAAAACTACTTTACGAATGACAACCGAACGGAGCGTACCGACAGAATTGATTTATATTCCTTTAGTTTTAAAATATGTACATTTTTAGAGGCTGAAATTATGCGCGTGCAGTATCATCATACTACAGTTAAAAACTTTACTTTGTTTATAGCGCGATAGCAGACATCGGGATCAAAAACCTTTGTGGAATTATTTATAATTTAAAAAAAATGCCATATGAGGTAAATGGTCATATACATTTATTTTACTACAGAAATAATTTCTATATATTTATTTTGTACTATAACATTAAATCAATAATTTTTCTTGAATATTTCTAATACTAGAAATAACGAACTAGAAATTTTCATTTTGAACTACTTTTAGACAACAAAAACACGGATTTTATGTTATTTTACATTTGAAACACCAATAATTTTTTTTAAGTAATTTTTGAGATTATCTCCAACCCATTTGTTTAGTACTTTTTCGGCGAGTAATTATCAATATGTTATAACTATTATTAAAATATCAGAAACAATTTTTATAAAATAATTTGAATTTTTGGATCTTATACCCCATTTTTTTTTTTTTTTTTTGTCATTCGTTTACTACTATTATTAATTATTTATTAGTTTTCTCATTAACCATGTACACGAATAATTAAATAAACATAATTTTAAGGAACTTAAAGATCATCAAAAAAAAACAATGTTATAATATTCTTATAAAACTAAAAAAATTAAATAAGCTATAATAAGTTTAACTTGACCTGTGTATACCTAAACAAAAAAAAATATATCTATGTAATAAACTTCGATGTTTAGTTTTGAAAAAATTGATTTGATTTTGTCAGTAATAACTAATAATCATTATCACTTATTTTTGTTAATATATAATCACTATAATATCAATCTATAATCACTATAATAATCAATATAATCACTTATTTTTGTTTATATTGTGTATACTATTGTCAAATACCTATGGTAAGTACGATAAATAGTAGTGCTACGTAAAAGTACTAAGGTAAGTAATACGATGCTATAACAATGTCACTTAAGTCTCCATACATGTTATTCTATTGGCGTTCAATCCCCACACATTTTATTCCGTTAGTGTGTTTAGTCCATAAACACAAAACACCAAACGATGTCTATGTCTCACTTATCCGATAATATATGAATTGTCACCTAGGTCCTTTTTCTTAAACACCATCGATAATAGGTATAGTCGTATATTTATTATGAATTTTGCGTAAAAAAAAGTAAAAGTTTTCGAACTGTTTCATTTAATTTATTAATACTAGGCATTTGTATAACTCGTGGTGAGGCTTAAATTTTATAAATATTGTCTTATTGTCATATTTTTTTTTTTTTTGAATTTAAAAAAAAGTAACATATCTATCTAATATGAAACCCATTAATTTCGCAATCATAAATAATTTGATTTTACATATATATTTTTGATAGTTTTTAAGTGCAAATTAGACAGTTTTAAACCGTTTATATAATTGTATTCAGAGGCATTTTAATAATGTTGACATTTTGGTGAAGATTTTTGGCGTCCCCATCACAAAAACTCAATAAATGAAGTCATCTACAAAAATATATACTTAACTTACATTAAAAATGTAGTTAGTTAATTGAAGTTAATTATTAGTTTGAACTCCAGCCGTATCAATAAATGGCCTTTAAAGCTATAAACAAAATTATAATCGTATAAAAACCAAGTAAAAATATGTTTTTACACACAATTTTGGAATTTACATTAACAAAAAATGAAATATTACATACTACTCTTATAAATTTATTTCAAAATTAAAACGTTCATATTCATTATCCATAAATATATATATACTGTATTAAACGTGCTTTAAAACATTATGTTTAACACTATTAAACATAATATTTTATTTTGAGTAAAATTGTATGTAAAATCGAATATCATAAGAACCAATAATTATTGTAGTCGTCTTTTCATAAAACAATACGCGTTAAACGTGTGAATAAAACTGCGTTTGTTTTGACATTTATGACTATATTATTATAGTGATGTTTTATAGGTACGTATAATATATATGTATACTTAATGTTGACCTTCATTCAACTGATACATTTGATCAGCATGATTTTAGAATAATGTATGTGTGATATTTCCTATTTCCATGGCCATTAGACCCACACATGTACCTCAAATTGTATGCTAGTAAAGTATTCATGAAAAAAAAAAATATCGTAGCTAACTAAGACCAACATTTTAGTTTTAGTTGATAACAAACATTTCATAATAAAGGTAAAAAACAATAAATGTAAATAATTTAATGACCAAAACTACACTTTAGTAATAAATATACAAATAAATAGATAATAAATATACTATAGTTCTACAGATAACCGATCTTTTTTTTAACTTTTAAATCGATTTCGTTTTAACTTCAACAGTTAATTCGAAATAGAATTGTTATATTTAATATATCTTGAATTTTAATTAACGCTATTCCAAAATGCAAAAGGTTGTGATGGTCACTATCAGTAATCAAATAGGTAAGCAGTAAATTAAATAGCCAAAGTCACCTATGATAATAACCAGAGCTTGGATTTTATGGCATTTGCTAATTATTATAAGATATAGATGAAAATAGCAGAGTGAACTATACATTAATTTATTGTTTTATGCACCACGGATTTCAAATATGAAATTTTATATTGCTTTTTTTATATAATTATTTTAGATTTTTAGTGCTACTTTTCATGTTTTGGTGCTATAATATTGCTAATATGCATAATATAATGATTTATCCTATATTTTTCATAAATATCATTTACATTATATACAAAAAATAGGAGAAAATATTTGTCATTTATGTGAACCCATAAGAAAAATACCCATGTTGTCGTTTTATATTATTATCTATTTTTTAGTAACCCGGCGTATTGGCCCCCCATCAAACAGTGTACATTTCTAAGCTTATAACTTCATATAAATTATAGTTATATTTTGTTTTTACTAGAATATTCTGTCGTATGTATTCATGTTTTTTTGAGTCGTTAACAGAAAAAAAAAATACAAATAAATACACACATCTTGCTATTTTTTATGTTTTTATGGCATATTACAGCACTATATTTTAAAGATTTTTATAGGTCATAGTATAGCGCATATTCCAGTTATTTTTAATACCATAAAATCCAAGCTCTGGTAATAATAATAAAAAAAAAGATGATACAGCTGATTGGTGCACCACTGTTGTAGGTGAGTAGTTTATATCTTTAAGCAACGATAAACCATTGCAATAAAGAAAAATAATTCTGAGCGAAGTTCGTTTACACGTGATTTGAAAGGCCGTAATATTTACGATTTTCATGAAAATTTGATCTAAAAAAATTACTAGATAACACTATTTTTTTTAACCACTGTAATTACAACTTATAATAAAACCTCCTGTTAAATTTTCAAGTATTTCTGTTTAGTCAAACAATTATATCCACATAATACTTAACAAATAAAAACTACGTACAAAAATATAAAATCCCTATAAATAGCTCAAAAATCGTTAAAATATTTTACCAATTTTTAAATGATACCATACCTAAAAAAGTTAAATATTAATTTTTTTAGATTTTTTTTATCAAAATTTTAAGTCTACGAATATGTTTAAATAAATTATAACAAAAAAACAAAATTCGAAATAATGGAAATATTATATTTTCTTAAAATTTCGTTTGTTGTGCGGCAAGATGAACATGCGTTAAATTTACGATTATTATAACGATTATAATATATGTATGCATTCATTTTTCTAAGCTATATATTATAGCAAAGGATACATCTGCGACAATAATTTTTTTTCCCCACCGCATACATTATATAAAATCTCGTCCGTAAAAACCCACGCAGGAAATTTTTTTTTATACAATTTTGTATGGCCATACCAAAGGCCGCTGTCGTAGATTTTTTATCATCACCCTTGTCATAGGTCTACACCACGAATTTACACATGCTCAAATAGTTTTCGAATATTTGCATATATTTTCGGATATTTATAATATTGCTAGAAACGTTATACTGTTACACTTAACATTTGCGTCACTCGGATAATAATATTGAATATTTCATTTATTTTTATTTTTATTCTGAGTAGAGAAGAAACCGTCATTTTTACTAAGTTGCGTGTTTTTATATTACATTGTATCTTATTTTCTATACTCCAAACTTGCCATCTACAACTATTGTGGCCTACAAGGTGCAAAAATATGTCCGACTTTATTTCTTTTTTTCTCGAGTTTTTATTAACATTATTATTTTATTAGTTTTTTTTTTTTTTTTTTACCACAGACCCCGGCGAGACCAATGCGCAGGTTATAACGCAACGAACCGTGTCATTATATTATCGGTGTGTTCTTATATTATTGTTGTTGTTGTTATTGTTGCTACTATAATATTATAGGCGCACAGGTATACGACGTGTGTGTATATTAAACGTGACATGTGCGTGTGTGCGTGCACAATTGCGTGTGGACAACAGATATATTTATTCAGACAGAGGTACATAGGTACACACGAAGATATGTAGGTACCTAAAAAATAAAATACAAAAAAAAAAAAACCATCTGCGGCGCGCGCTCGCTGGCATACATTCATTTCACTCATTATGCAACGTGCGCGCAGCGGCATTTCTCTCTTGCCACCACCATCCATCGCCACCTCCACCTCGTCGTGTCCTGCGGGGGCATTCCTTTTTCTTATAACATTATTACAAATAACATTATTATTATTATTATTATTTGTCCACCGTCACCACACATAAACCGAACCAGACGCACGTGTTTTCTACCGTACTATAGGTATTTATTATTGTCATTATATATACTGGTATAGTATTATTATTATTGAAGGTACCTTCCTACTCGTATTATACATACGTCATATTACGAAGATAATATAATGAAGTAAGTACCAAAGTATAATATAGAATATCGATGAATCGTGTAAAAAAACTATCACGTCATCTCTTATAAACATACGTGGAATTCAAATAAGGAGGTTACGCGCACGCGAATAGACGGCTAGTGAATAACAACAGCTACATTATTACGTAGTTACACGGGTTAATTTAATGGCGATCGATTTGCTATACTAGAATATTTCAATAACAATTGCAAATGCATTAATTACTGTAAAATTCAATAGTAGCTATATATGATGTCTCGGGATATTTCATAGAATAGAATACCTAACGATATTATACACGGTGCGCGTCCGATCGAGAAAAAAAATAAGAGTAGGTCTACATTAATATAGATCAGTTTTTTAGTTATATACTCCTAAATTTACATTAGTTAGGATTTTAGTCATAACAGTACATTTTACGAGAAGAACCGTTCGGGAATCACATCGTACGAATTTCTCGAGAAAAAAACCGGGTTAATCAATTTATTTCGGTTCTCATCACATTACATACCACATTATATAATATAGGTATACAATATACACCTAATATACATATGATTAAGTAACAATTTATTTTTATATATTGTAAACAAATTTCAAAATGTCAAATGCAATAGAATTAATGGTAAAAATATAATACCTAATTTGTGTAACGACTTGGAATACCGCCAAGTGCAATAGGCACCTACTACCTATTTATTTTGCGGCATAATATTTTGGCTCTGTTATATAGACTATAGAGCAATATTATTGTTTTGATGACTGTTATCAATTAAATATTTAAAATTATTCTCAGATTGAACTGAACTAAATGTGAATAATTTAACTCGTACCCGTTTATACCATAATCAGGAATAGTTGCAGGAATATTCATGATTCGTCTCTGCAAGACCTATAGACAATTCGAAGGTCGAAATGTACACTAGGTAGTACTAAAATATCTAATTTGAAAAAAAAAAATCTATCAGCATAGGTAGCTAATTTTTTAAAAATCTAATAAAAATTGAATAGGAAAAATATTAAAAAATTATCCTTATACACAGTGGCGTGCGCAGAGAGAGGATGATTTTTTTGTTTAGATGGGTTTATTATTAGATTTATACAATATAATATACATAATACAAAGTATTAATAATTATCTACAACTTTAAGCTAAGCTTCTGGTGGTGTAGGGAGTTTTAAAACATAATATCATTAAACTAAATTACATAACATAATAAATAATAAATAATTACAATTAATAAATATTAATAATTTTTAAAATAGACTTAGTAATAACATATCATAAATATAGACTTAATTCATTAAACAAAACATCAATTTTACAATTTTTGATGTTAGTATTACTATTGATAATATTTTTTTTCACATCGATTGGCAAAGAGTTTAATCTAACAGGACCCAAATAATTTATGAACTTTTGACCAAAGCTTGTATTAGTATATATAACTTTAGTATTAAATAATCTTTCTTCCCTAATGGACTTATCATTCTGTTTAATAAAGAAAAACTAGATTTTTATACACAAACAATATAGCGTTTTTTTTATGGATCAATTCAAGAGGAAGCCCGTTAAAATCTTTATAGTTTGAATAAGCAGACCCAGCTAGATTGTTCTTTTTTAAACATGTACGAATTATAATTATACCTAATACCTAATACGGTACCGATTGTAATAATAGGGGCTATATCCACCGCATTGGCTTAAAAATATGAGTTATATACCTAATATTAAATGCATACATTTCAACTAAGTTACGAGAAAAAGCTGGATTGATTAGAAATTGGCTTTATTTTCAGGATCCGACTTTTAAATTACCAATTCCCATAGTTGAGTTCGGTAGAGCAGACGATTTTACTCTTTATTCGCGATTTTTTTTGTGACATCCCCTCCCAATGGAAATTCCTGGGCATGCCACTGCTTGTACATACAAATTGAATTTTATTTAGTTGTTATATATATATATAAATATATATTATACATAGAAGTAACAGTTCATACACCTACGACTAATGGAATCATACCTATTATATAGTAGTTTCCTCTATACTAATACTAAGGTATTTGCACTAACAAAATTTTATTTAATTTATAAATTATATGCACTTACACGGTTTGAAAAAAAAATTGACTTATAAGTAAGCGATAAGTAACAATTGTCTAAATGAATTGAATATTCATTACGGGTAGTTTTGAAATTCTATACAATTATTAAAATCCGCGATGTACTATTTTCAATAGTAGTGTATTTAGTAAATAATAGTGATAAATTATCGTAGTAGAATTGTTTTTCTATCTACCTACATAACCCAGAATTTAAAAGTTGGATCCAACCAAATTTTTTTTTTATACAATTAATGAAGTTTTCCCTTTTAATTTAACTGAAATATATACATTTCAAGATTAAATTACTAAATACATATTCATAATTTTTTAATGTTTAAGCCCATAAGAGGAGATACGACTCCCAATCATGGGGATTCCCGTGCACACCGTTTATCTATCAAGTCTATCATAATATATTAGTTCTTGATGTTGGGTTAGCAATGGTAATAATAGTAAACATGATACATGCGGGAAAAATTGTAGGATATCGACTGCGGATAGTCGAGTAATTTTTGTATTATATTTTGTCATTTTAATATTATAGGTATAGGTAAGGTATTACTCCAAAGCGAGCATAAAGAATGATTCATAATACACGTTACTCGCAGGCAGGTGAGAAGTAGTTATTATATTTATAGATGTCACGTCATCCGCCGGAGGAGTGTACCTTTATACACTTCGGGATACCTTAACGTGAGTATAAGTATTAGGTGTACTTATAGGAATACGTATCATCATTCCCTCAACCTATATAATATAATAATAGGTAACTAGTTTTTCATAATAATAGTAGACATTCCGTCGATGCCACCATGTATATGAGGTGCACAAAAGGATTTTTTCACTCCAGTAGAACCGTAAATGATTTTGTTTTTTTTGTTTTTGTTAAAGTTTTTTTTCATATGACGTGATATCGATATATACGTATATATACGTGCGGTGATGCAAGTTAAACTAGTTTTGTATTATTTACACGTGCCGTACATGCATACAATTTGTAAAAATACATATATTTATTTCGGTTGAATGTTTATCTGTTCAAAAAGTGTACACGTATATTATATAGAGAAAGAGGTACGGTATGCGAGCTATTACGCGGCTTCCGCTATGTGCAGTTTCCTGTTTTGGAGCATCGGATTTTCGAACCGGTAATAATATAATAATATTATCCCGGTGGTCATTATAATATCGTGGAACACTGTGACATAATATAATATGCGTCGTTATACCTATATGGGAACACGTGTAGTAGTGTCTTACCTATACACGAAAAACGTATATTTTATGCAACCGTTCGTTCGCACCAGATGTTCTCTACAACAGTCCATTTCGCATTTAAGATTTCGTCTAGTAAATTTTAAATTAGCCAAGAAATTATGCAAATAAACATCATTTCGAATTTTAAACAAAATATCATTATCCAAATCAAAGTATATTCTCGATGAAAATTCCGACATTTTTCGAAAGCGAATGGACGTGGCCGAAACAAGTCGTCATCACGTCCACATCTCTACGAACTTTAAAGAACTTTATGAAGATAACCCAAAATCTTATATTTTATTGATACTTATAATTATACAGGTATACCTAACTAAGCAGCTGATATCACTTGAGGCGTAGATAACATACAACGCGAGTTCCCCTATAATGTAGAATGTGTACGATGTGCCGATGTATTATGCGCTAAACAAATATAATAATTAAACTAATACGATAATTAGCCCTTATAAACAAATAAACATTTAATTTTTAAATTAAATATTATTGAAATAATTTATGTAATTACGTGTGTAATTAATAAATTACACGCACGTTGTCGCGTTAACAAAAAACAAATGAACGCGAATCTCGGGATCCACGCCTTTTTTTCATACTTAATTTCATAAATTTCCCACTTTTAAACATGGATGAACATAACGTTCAAAAGAAACAAAATTCGACTGCGAGTGATAATAAAGGAATTTAACAAGAGAATGTATACGAGTGTAGTGTGGAATTTATATTATTATATTCCGATATCCGATGTAGGTACAATGGATTTGTGCACTGGAATATTGTGTAACGCACTACATATTGGTGTGTGTATGTATATAATATATATTATAAAAAAAATACGTACACACTGTACAGTACATTTATCAAGATACCTAAGGTACCTACAGGTACCTGATGCCTACATATTATTATCAACCACTAAATTCTCAATGAATATTCCAATCATTTACGAGATTACATAGCGTGTTTCATTAATTTATAGAATCTATTATCAACAATATTCATGCTTAATTAATAATAATAACTGCAAATAGTAAGACTAATCTTAGCTGCAGATATAACGAGATCGATAAAACGTTAAAACAAATTAATATCAGATTAAATTTCCATTGTTTGGTTGTACCTAAGTACATTATTCTAAAACATATTACCTAAACAATCCCCAACGAACCCAACCATCGCCAAACATCAGTTTCTTTGGTTATATATATATATATATATATATATTTCTCGGATGTGTACAGTTAAATAAATAAATAATATAATATAATATTAAAAGAATACCTATTTAAACTATTCTAAATAAATTAATATTGTTTCTTTTGTTTTAATGCGGATAGGTACTTTATTGTAAACCGTAATTAAAACAAAAACTAGAACATGAAATTAACAGTATCTTTATGGAAAAAAATGATCTGTATTGAAATATAAAGGAAACATAAAAAGAAAACAAAAAGATTGCGTGTCATTATAATAGTTTTTATTTCTTTTTTTACGGAAGATGATTTTAAATAGGTACAAGACATTCGTACAAATAGAATCTGAAAAGCTATCTACTACTACTACCAATAATTTAATGTTCACCAACTGAATTGTATTATTTGCGTAGACAAAAACATATCTACGAATATGATATAATATAAAAAAAAAAAAAACACGTTGGCTGTAAAATATAATATTTTACTGATTTTAATAATAATGCAGTTAGACATAGTAGTAATCTATAAAATGAAATAAATCATAATACAATATGAAATTGCCTACGCACTATTAATATTGTAATATGAGTTATAACACTATAAAAACACTATAAATTATAATTTATAATAAATACAATAGGTATAATGCAATGGCAAGTAAATGCTTTTTAGATTCTAAGATTATTTTTGATATTAAAGGATTTAAGAAACTTTTATTTGGTGTATTTATTTGTACGTATTACAAATACGTTAATATATTACCTATTATATCCTATTATCTAATATATAATTCTCTGAATAATTCTATGTTTACCATATTAACTTGAAAATAATAACTGATGGTTCATTCATATTTAAACGAATAAATACATAGATTTGTCTACGATTCATATGTTTATTATTTTATAGATCCGTCATGCTACATGTACTCTTGTACAGGGTCATTTAAAAAAATATATTTATATACGTATTAGCTGTGTAATACTCCTTTTAAAAAAGCGCATTTTTTTATATATATATACTATACGTATTATATTACAATAGATAATTGAGTTTAAAATACCTACACGTTGTATTATTTGAATTTTTTATTAATACATTTTTAAAGATATTTGTTGTATTCGTGTAGACTATAGTACCAACAAATAATATATATTATACTTTTTTGTTACCTACTGCATTTTTTTTAAAAATATTCTACCTATCGATATTACGCTTCTTTTTATAAAGGTAACCTAAAAGAAGAATTTAAAAATTTAAAGAATGTAATTTGTTTTAATAAAAGGTAGAGTCCTAAAACAAAATTCAATTGTTATATACTTGTTATATATTGTTAAATACTACAATTTATTATTAAAAATTGTATTATATACTACATCCAAAAAATGGTGAAATTTGATTTTAAAAATGGGACATACGTAAACTGTGCCAAAGATCTTTTTTTTGTAAACTGCGCCTCAGTGTTTAACCAAGTTAAAAAGATATAATCTAAACTGTTTATTATTATACCATATTTTATATTTTCTACAACTTAAGTTAATTTTCTATCCAAATTCATTGAACACTCACAAAATTATTAAAATATACAGCATATGACGCATTCAGTAAAGCCATAATATTTGTAAAAATACCAACCCATTATAGAATAAAATATGACTGTTGACTATTGACTATATTTACTATAACTAGGTAAATTACCCGGCTTCACTCATGTGTAGTTTTGGTTGGTTTATTTGTTTTAGCTTATTTTTTCCATCCTTATCACCAAGGTAACCCATAAATAAACTATTTGATATTCAAAAATAAAAATAAATAAAACCCATTTTTAACCCCCTAAGGGGTTAAATTTTAAAAAAATTGCCAACAACTCTACTAAAAAAAAATTGTAAAAAAGTTAGTTAGTGTCATCATAAAATTGGAATATTAAAAAGGCCTGTTCTAATTTTACTCGGGCGCAGTTTACATGCTGGATTTTGTGTTTACCTGTACCTAGGATGCAGTTTAAAATCCTCGTAAAAATGGTAGGGATGAGGGTTTAAAGTTAAAACCTGCAAATGGCATATCCTTGAATCTAAAGCCACGCGTATACAAAATTTGATACCCCAATTTTAAAAATGTTAATTATGTAGACCACCCACTAAGTCACCACTATTAGTTATTAATTTATAACTTAAATATTACTATTATTTTTTTTTTTTTAATTTAAAAATAAAATAAGAATAAATAAATATTGATAATATGTACCTTTTTTTAAAGAGATTTTTAATTTTTAATTATTTTAATATGTATTCTACGTATATTTTAGTTATAAAAAGCTTTACATCCATTAGAAATAAATTTAGATCCAAATAAAGAATTTGTTTAGGAATTAAATAATGTGTAGACCTATAGGTAAATATAACCGAGTAAATCATTTTAATACTATTTTATCATATTTTAATATTATTCTGAGCAAAACTAAAGACCTATTTTTTTTTTTTTTTTTAATGGTTGTATTTTAATTTTGTTTTAACACTTTTTAGAGTAATATTAATATATAGGCTATGAGTACAGTGTATCTTATGGTTAGAAAATGGATAATACCAGATAAATGTATAATAAATATGTTTAAAATTTAAAAATGACTGATGGATGTACCACTGTTTTAGGAGGATAATATAAAGAGTAATTTAATATATATCAATACATAACGATGAACAATTTCTAGAGAAAAACAAAAATGAGCAGAGTATTATAAGTCGTATTTTTTCTTTTGTGGCCAAGGTAACCCAGAAATCAGTCAGCAAAAATTATACTAAAAGGTACTATTTTTTCTGACTAATTAAGAAAACTACAAGGAAAATCAAAAAATTACCTCCCCAATGTACCAATAGATCAAAAATTCAAATACTACAAGAAAGTTCTTATACATTTTATGGTTGAGGCAAAATTTCTGATAGAAATGAAGTTTACAGACACAAAACACATCCTAGTAAAATCTTTAGTAAAATCAATGCATTCCTCGCTCCGTTCAGGATCTAATAATGATATATCGCGGAGGTTGTATTTATCCGGAAGTTTATAACCAGAATATAAAATTGTCTTAATATATTTGTTCGAAAATGTGTTGACCGGAATCTTAAACCTCAAAGCCTTTCAATATTACTTGCATGAGTGCAAAACAATAACTAAATAAAATATAGATAAATATACTATTGATCGATAGCACTAGGTATGTATACTATTTTAGTCGGCATTATAGTATACATATAACAACTTTGACGCCTGCCAAAAAAATAAATTTCTAAAACCACCACTGATACTTTATAAACACAATAGTGATTTAAATATCTTTTCCTGAAACGAAAATAATAATTTTAGCATCGAATATAGGTAAATAACTGATTGATAAGTTTAATATATGATTTGTTATGGCCATATGACATATGACACTTACCTAATAAAAACGTATAAATAAACTGTACCGTATACACCAGATAATATACATTACATTCTAACATGGCATTGAACAGTTGAATTTATAGAACACAATTGACTCCGGATTAATAAATCGAAAGTTAAATATTTTATTTTATTTATAAAAAAACTCTAATTTATTATTGGACTGACAAATTAAAATATTACCTATATTAGAGTATAATGTATATTATATACCAATTATGTATAATTTTTAATCTAAAAATCATAAAACAAAATCAAATTGGTCCTAACATAAGGTTATTACATAGGTACCTATCAAAATGTAAAACTTAGGTAGGTACCTAATGAAAGTTTTTCGTAAAACAAATATGTATATAATATATTCTATTCTATACCTAAATCGGCATAATTAGAGGTCTTGGGTGACCCACTGCATATCAAGTCCTCATCAAGTAAGTAACAAATAGTCTATATACTTATTCATATTCAAATATATTATGCCTTGTAATTTATCAATAAAATAGAGGCTTAAACTTCCTCCCAATATTTGGGCTGTTTGCGTCTATATTACAGGCATATTATAGTTCAGTATAAGGTAATACGATAGCATATATGGTACACCATATTATTATGCTGTAGCTGTATCAAAATTAAATATTTTTAGAAAGGTAAGGACCAATACTGTCAATTGACATTGTAAAACTAATAGTCGTACATTTTACTGGTTACCTATTTAAGTAGTTAGTTCATTAGGTAGATAGACAATGAGTAATGACTATAATTTAGTATCTATATGAGTCACGAAATTGTATAAATATTTCACAGTGCCGATTGTAGATCATATTATACCAACTATAGGGTCGTAAAAAGAAAACACTTTTTTTTTTTTGGAACATAACTAACATAGCATGTATTAATTATAATATTCAAATAATATGTAAAATATCACGACTCACCGTTACGCATAATCCTATCAACAGGATCAGGTAAACAGAAGTCGGATGCATGACTTCGACGCGGAAACTTTAACGAACGGTTTTTCTCTTCCGATATGTCCAATGTTGATGATCAACAATGTATACAATATATATGTATATATATTGTATTGTTCACATAATGATATTCTGATCGTTGTATATCGTTAGCAATACGTGTGTTTTACATATGTACGAACACATTATTAACGTCACGTCAAAAATACAAAATTATTTCATTTGATAATAAAAACACTGATCTATTTGATTACGCACGGAACTCGCGATACGACGAACCTAAACAACACAGACTGCTGTGAAACACTGCGGGTCTGTGGACAACGACAAACAAAACCAGCCCGACACGGCAACGTGAGTAGGCGAGTGTTGTACTGAGTTTGCGGTGTGGTAACTGGTAAGCAGTAGTATGGTGAGCGGTAGAGTAGAACCTTGGAACGGGTAGAGGTGTGTGTAGAAAAGGTGCGTCGAGCGCATGCGCCACTTTATACTGCAGTACCTATAATAGTTGGGTTTGGGTAATATACCAAATATACCAATTATTGTTATTTTTTACTCTTTTTATTTGTGGGTTTCCCCTTTTACCTGTAAAATCTTTAAAAACAATAATATCAAGTAATTCAATAATAGATCCAGAACAATCCAAGATATAAACATACTAATATAGTTTATAAGCTAGCACGTAATTCGGCATTAGACTAGATAAACTAGTATATTAGTATATTACTAAAGAATAATAAATAGAGAGCTACCTATCAGCTAGGTACCTATTAAATAATAAATAGGTGTATACTGTATACCAACCCTAAGTTAAATAATATATTATAGGTACAATATTTTAATATTTTTGTAGGTACCTACCTATATTTATTTAAAGTTCGGTTCCTAATATAGTAATATATATATATATAACTACTAAACGTATTGATTAGGCTAGAACTTTAGAAGTTATAAAAGAGAAAATGTGTTTACTTAAAGAGAGACTTAACGAGGTGACTTGATCTGACATAAAAAATTATTAAAAATTATTCTATGTGCACTTAATCATTGAGAATTATTATTTTAGCTTGTTAGTTATGCATGTAAATTATTGTAAGAAAAGTAATACCTTATAAAAAAAATGTTTTTCCTTCTTTAATCTTTGAAAAAAACTTACTAGTTATATTGGCAGATTAATAATTAGAAATACAGTATATGTATATCTACAAGAGCAGATTGAATACAAAATACGTAAATTCCTATATAATATATTAGGTATTCTTAAGATTTTGTTAAACCATCTATAGTTGGTGAGCTGATTTGTTTGTACTTAAAGTAAAAGTATTTTAAATGACCAAATGTGGAAACATATTTAAGTATAAAGTACCAATATATTACATAAAATATGCTGGTGCCGTAAATAAATTCTAGGATAAAAGCACATTAAAGCACATCATTCCTACAATAGGTGGGCCACTGTTGAAGGTAAGAAGTTGGGACCTAACCTAACCCAACTTCTTGTTAGGAAGGTAGGGCATAGAGGGGAATTTAATGTATATCTGTACGCAACGATTAATCATTGTTGACTGGAGTTCGGTTATATATATAAATTTTTTTACCACAAAGTACGAAGTTAAAGCATTTCTGTTTGGTCTAACAATTTTATCCACAGACAACCTACCGAATTACATAAAAAGCTCGCAAATCTATAAATAGCTCATAAATGACTAAAGTGTTTTTAAATTTTAAAACATTTAGAAAAGACAAACATAAGTTTTCTATCAAAAATTAAAGTCTATGAATATTACTCGTGTACAAATATTATCAAATATTATCAAATATTATTTTAAGTGAATTAATTTTAAAAAACAAAACTTAAAATAATAGAAGAATTATTTTCGTAAATTTTCATGTTCTTTCTACATATTTTTCAGTTTTGCTCAATTATTACAAATACAACAAAAAAAATCTGTTGTCCCATTTTAGATTACGAGCGTAGCGTAGCTATTGGTTTTACTAAGATGTTTATTTTTTTTTTTCTTTGTTCTTTTTTCTATTCTGTGGACACCGATTTTTACGTGTAGCAACTTTTCTGAAATCTCAAGTTGTCTAGATTGTACTTTGAAAGATCATTTTTTTTTGATTTTCGACATTATTTTTTAAATAAAAGCACTTAAGTGAGAAAAGCATAGGAAAACGTATAAATTCAGAATTTCATTATTTTATAAAAACACGGACGACGTTTTCTACCAGAAAAAATGATTTAATCGAAAAATGACAAGATATTTTATTTGTTACCTGTTTGATTTCCTTCCTATGGTACCATCTTCAAAACTTTTGGGTTTTTCAGGAATTTTAATTTTTGGGAGTTTTTTGCTGTAATTCGGTTATAAGTACACGTAGAGACTTGAAACTTGGTAATAATACTTATAATGGATTTACCTAACGTGGTGAAATTTCCAAAATCATCGGACGACTGTTTCAATAAGCGTTTTTAAATTAAATTTAAACAAAAATCGCAAAAAAAATGACGACAATTCAAATTGTATAATACCGAACTGCGCTCGGATTCGTCTTTCGTCAAGCAATGGTTTATCATTGCTTACAGATATAAATGAAATAATCTTATGTATTCTACCTTCTCAATTTCGCACCTACAACAGTGGCCACTCCCATCCCCAGTATCAGCTCTTTTTTGTTTTTTTATTTTCCCAATTATTATGAAAACTACTTTAGAATTTAGATATCAAAAAATGATTTTCTCTGTTAGTGACTGTAAATTAAATTGATATCCTGTCATTTTTCGAAAAGAGCAAAATTTATGATTGAAAAGTTGTTTACAGATAAAAAAAAAATACACATAGTAAAACCAAAACATCCCCCTCTATGCTTCGAATCTAAAATATTATAAAATAATAAATTTCGTACAATTTTCTGTTTTCATTAATTTTTTTCCCAATTGTTAGGAAAACCGCTTAGAAAATCAAAAAGTGACATGAGGTACCACCCAGATAAAATTTCCTTACAGATAAAATACTACACTTGAAATCGAAGGAAGATTTCTGGTAGTAAAGTCGTTAACTGATAAAAATAAACGATATTTTAAAATCGATACATTCCTCGCTTCGCTCAGAATCTAAAATTAATATGTTTTTCGCCTGATTTAATACTGATCTATGTACCTCCATATATAGATAGACGTTTTTTTTAGAGAAATTAATCCATCAACTGTTGAAAAATAAGATATCATGAGAAAAAATTCTAACTTTTTTTACTAACTCAAAAAATTACTTAAAATCTAAAATTAATATTATCCCTAATTATAACATAAATATACAAACATATTAATATTTTGTAATAACCATGTCACGTTTATTATATTTTTGAAAGTTACATTTTTTAGCATTTACTAAAGATATATATTTAAACACATATTATAAAAATAATTAATCGACTGTTTATATTAAACTGTAGTTATTCAACATTTTATATTGACCATTTATGACTTTGTGGTATACTTGTCCATCTTTTCCTAGTACTAAATTTATCATTTGAGAATTGATTAAATCTCTTAATAGATTTATGTCTTTATTAGATGAATCACGATTAATAAACTTAAAAAAATGTTTCCAACAAGAAGTTTTTACCCTTCTGTATTTAACTGAAGGAAAACCAATAGTATTTAAATTATGGTTGGAAGAAAAATGTTGTCCTTCATTTTTTGAGCGTTGTTGAAGTTTCGATTTCAAACAATATTGGTTGCAAGTTTGCTTATTAGTATTACGCCGGATATTTTGTGATTTCTCAGCATATATTGATGATTTTATTAATTTCTTGAAGGATTTATTTTTGGATTTACGACTAACTTTATCCAAATAATTATTATTATTATTGTTTAAAATTGTAAAAACACTTGACACATTTTGTTTTTTATCTCTGCGTCCATCATAATTTGTTGAAGAAGTAGTATCTCCATCTTTTTTTTGTGAAGACTTTGAGTAATTTGAATAATCTAAAACTAATAATAATATGTTTTTTTTTTTCTAATTTTCGGTAAGTAAATAATTTCTAACAAATAATATTAGTAATAATACAAAAGTAGGTAGGTAGTTTAAATATTTTTAATGACATACCATTTTATATGTTTGAACTATGGACAGCAGAAAACTATCACATAATATATATATATATATATCACATGTTTGTTTTTCCCTAAATCATCGACCCAAGGGAAAATTGCCTGTGCTTTGCTTCCCTGGATCAAACTACTAGGATACTAATAACATAAAAAAATCCACTTAATAGGTGCTAAACAATTCTTTGAATATTACATTTTACGGGTTAAGTACTTTTAAAGCTCTTTTTAAGTCCTACCTGTATTTATATAATAAGTTAATGTTTGTATAATCTAAATTCTACATAAATTTAAAACGATCTGCAAATAGAAGAAATACAATATATTACTACAAATGATATCCACCAGGTGCTAGCTTTGGCAACATTTATATAGATAATAGATAGGTATTAATTATATTTAGCTCCTCAAATATTCCTAGACTGGTTTAATGATTTTATTTTGTTAAAATAAAACTTATTTAAATCTAATTAAGTTTATATGATTATAAATTATAAATTAGTTTAATTTCAAATACATACCTGCTGTTGAGGTTTTTGATTTTCTTGAAGAAGACAATGATTTTAGAGAAGATGATATTGTTGAATTTGAATATGCCAGTGATATTGAAGGTAACATAATTGGTTTAGAGCTTTTAGTTTCTTCAGCTACAAATATTTTTTAAACTAATGAATATAAATTTATATTAAGGATTACTTCTTCCCCCTTAAAGGAGGCATATGATACTACGGGTTTATTGAACCTGGAATCCCGAGCTCCAACTTGTGGGAAGCCCAGGTGGATGATTTCAATAGTCATATGATATTGTTTTTGTAAGGTGAAATAATTCACTTTATAATTGGCTATACCATTCTCCTTGTGAAATAGTATCTGAGTACTCCCACGATTCCTCTATATATTATAAGAGGCGACAAATGGGGTTGCATCAGATCGACAGTCGGTATGAAATTCTACCAAACAGTATGAGGAGTTCTAAATAACACTTTGGCGGATTTTCCATACCTTAGATTTGTGCGGGAAAAAGAGATGATAGGAGATACCATGGTGCATATGATATAGCTTTGATAGCGGAATGTCTGTACGAAGTTAATAATATGCTTGAGGAATGGAGAGTAGAACTTGAAGAAAAGAGACTAAGGATAGGTAAAAGTAAAACAAAATAAGTTTGGAAGAACAGGACAAGACAGCTAACGATAATAAGCAGTTATAGGCGAAGTTGAGAATATTAATTACCTAGCTAGGATATTTTGTACAAAAAAAATGTGGCTTTTATAAAGATATGGAACATAGGATTAAATATGATTGGATAAAATGGTAAGATGTGTCAGCTATTTTATATTATAAGAGAATTTCAATGATTCTTAGAGAATAAGAGCTAAGTTCTACAAAAGTGCGATAAGACTAATTATTATGTTGTTTGGATTAGAATGTTGGGCAAGATAGAGAATGAGTGTAGCATTGATGGAATGCTTAGTTGAATAAATGGAGTAACAGGAGAAGATTGGTTAAGGAATGAGTACATAAGAGGTAACTTAGGCATAACTTTGATAGTAGAGAAAATGTTTAAAAACAGACTAAAATAGCTTGGAAAAGCCAAGGGGAGAGAGGAATCGAAAGCAGAAACAATTGTAATGGAAATAAATGTAGGAGGAAAAAGTTGGAAAGGAATACGAAAAAAGATAAATTGATATGATTGAAAATAATATGAGGACAGCTGATATAAGCGAGGTTGGAGATCAGATCAAATGAAAGTTTAAAATGAGGATGGCCAAAACCAAATATTTATGATGAAGAAGAATGAGAAGATTACTCACTAAATATTATTCATATATTTTTCAAAATTACTCTTAATATACATACTAGATTTTTTTTAACAAAATAATTTGTATAGAAAATACATAGTATGATTTTTACATGTTTAAATAATGGACCGTATAAAACTAGCACATATACCTAATTCTTAAGCTTTTTATTATCCTAAATTGCTGTACCCGGCGGAGAATTGTCTGTGCTTTACTTTTATTTTAGGGATTGAATACTCTGAAAGGCCTTTTAAGCAGAGCTTCAAACTAAAGTTATTTTTTGTGGTAAATAGTTTTAGTTATTTTTCCATTTTTTTCGGTTTAAAAAACCGGTTTACAAATTAATGAAACCGGTTAATTTTGTTATTTTTAAAACAATAATATGTAACTTTGAAACTACTAAGTATACTATATAATATTTATCTATTACTATAAGGAAACAATTCGGAGCGTATCGAGGGATCTATTAGATTTACTATTATGTGTATTTTTTTTTTCTGTAAACGATTCTTCTTCCAAAATTTGTATGCCTAAGTACATAGTACCTATTCGGAATGAAATTTTCTCTAACTGGTACATTAAAGATTATATATTTTATTTTCCAATGAGTTTTTAAAATAATTGGGACAAACCCAAAAGAAAATTATAGGTAAAATGGCAAATATTTACGGCAATCCGCGGCGTTACCGTTTCATTGTTTTTAACTTTTGTTCACGATGTTTTCTACCAGGACTACTATATGATATAAGCGCCAAAGGTTCAAAAATGATATACCAAAGTTAATATTTTATATATTTTATATAAATGGGTATTTAAAAATATTTAAAATTTTCAATAATCGACAAAATATACATACAAATATCAGTTAATAAATTTGTCGATTAAGATTAAACGTTTGAAGAACGTTTTTTAGAACGATAGTAAATTTCTAAATTTAATATCACACAAACACGGTTAATAAATATATATATATATATATATATATCAATTAACCGTGACACACAGGTACCTAGGATTTTGGCGCTTTTGTACGATACGATTTTTTTCTTCTTATCTCATTTTGACGCTTATGTCTTTCACCGTCTACCAGAAATATTGCTCCAATTGAAAATAAAAAGAAATCGATTTTGTTAATTTTAATATATAGCCAATCTCAGAGATAGGGATCCCAGATTTATTTATTATAAATACGGGGCATTTTAAATCGTGCTTAAAATTTACATATACTGTAATAAACCATCATGTGGTAGGAGGAGAGGGGGGCGATGGAATGGACGTAGCTCTCAAAACTAGTCCGTAACTCAAAATAAAAATGTTTACTTTTTACGTCATTTTGTGTACGAAATATAATGCTGAAATCAAATTAACGTACTAATACTAAAATAATTCAAAAATGTTATTTGTCATACAGTGATACAGTGATACTATCCAATCTCATTATGCCACTGCAAGACAAAGAAACAAAAAGAATCTAAAATTCTGATCTTCTTAGTAATTGTAACAATCAATCTTAATTTATTTAATCAAAATATATTTTGCAGATAAAATTATTTGAAATCACTGTCATAACTAGATATTATTAGTTTAAAAAATGTTAACTATATAATTTAAGTAATAAGGAAAATTAAGGGTCATGCGGAATGGGTGATTTAAAATAAATTTGACAGGAGGTTCATTATAGTCGTACTTGGTGAACATAAAAAAATTTAATGTTATGTAGTATTTTTTTTTACGAAAATTTTAAAATCATACTTAGACGAAAATTGTAAATATTACGGTCTTTCAAAACACGCTGAACTTCGCTCCGAATTGTTTTTCATTAGCAATGTTTTACCGATGGTTACAAGTATAAATTAAATCCCTCCTTCTCAATTACCTACTACAGTGACTCCACCCGTTCCCTGTGTCAGCTATTTTTCATATTACGTGTAGAAACAGAGTAACCAACATACAAACAATTATTACTATCATTAATTTGAAATATAAAAATTATTTATATAATAATTCTGGTTAAACATTTAATTTTCTTTCTATAAAATAAATAATATTCCAATCCGTTTTCGTTCATATTAATTTTCCAATATAACTGGTTAATAACAAAACTGATTTGAAGCCCTGCTTTGTAGATTATATATTTGTATGTAATATGTATGTCTTAATATAAATATATTTGTATAGAATATGCATTCTGTAACTACATACATAATTATAAAACGATCTACAAATAGAACAAATAAACCATTTGTTAGCTTTAACAAAATGTTTATTTAGTTATTTATTTATTGAAAATTTAAATACTAATGATCTAATTACTAATCATATTTAGTTTCACAGACATGTCTATGTTTAAGAAATATGTTCTATTAAAAAAAAAACCCATAATTTAAATTTTGTTTAGTTTATAAAATTTAAAATTAGGTAGTTTGATTTCAGATACATACTAGTAGTGGAGATTTTCGATTTTGTTGAAAAATTCAATGGTTTTAGTAAAGACGACTTTGTTGAATTTGAATATGTCATCAATATTGACGGTGAAATACCTAATTTGTTTAGAGTTTTTACAACATCAAAGTTTTTAATAATTGAATGAATATAAATATATATTAAGGATTACTTACTGTTCATATTACAGTTTTCAATACTATTCATACTGTTCATACTGGATTTTTCTAACAAAAGAAATTGTGTAGATGATACATGGTATGATTTTGGTTTAACTTTGGTTTTTTTGGTTTGTTCACTTTTACTTAAACTACTTTTTCTCTTTTGTGCTATACATCCGTTGATTTTATGTTTCATTTTACAACTATTCGAACAGAATAGTGCAAAATAACAACTTGAGCAAGTTTTAATTTCTTTTTTCAAATGTTTTAAACACTCATAACATACTTGAATTTCTTCCTATAAAATTAGAAAATTGTAAATAGAAATAAAAATTCATAAAAGAGACCAGGGTAAGTTGATGACCTTAAGATTAAAATCATTCTTGAGTAATAACTATATATTAATATAGGTAAAACCTTGAAATAATAAATAACTAAATTATAAGTAGGTAGTCCTAAAAAATTTCCTAAATTTATAATATTAAATATACAACTATCTAATATAATTTGGCCGTAGGTTTTTTTTCATGATATATTTTTAGTATGACCAATTAATAAAAATAACTAAATAATTGAAAATTAATCTTAAACCTTTTTTTGACTAGGTATGCTACTACAAGTTATAACGATTGGTAATGAATAAAAAAAAGTTAATAGAAAAAACAGACAAGATTATAAACTTAGTGAGTTAAGCTAATTGCTATTTTTTTTTTTTTTGTCTCAGTATGTATAGAAAATTAATTTCTGATTTATTGATTTTCATTAATCGATTTACTAATTAATACAAATAATCGAAAATATATAACCTACATCAAAACTTACTTCAGTAAGATTAATTTGATTATGAACTGTTGAGTTGTCTTGTAATAATTGTTCAATGGTTTTATTTTGAATTTTTTTTTTAGTATTCTAAAAAAGAAATATTATTTATGTTATTTATACCTAAAAATAACATATAATACAAACAGTTTTGGTTTTTTCAACATTTTTAATAGGAAATGACTCAGAAGTTAACTTTTTTTCTGCTTTAACTTGTTGAATGATAAACTTTAAATCGGAATTCAACCAAAATATCATTGATTTCTTATCTTCTGGTAATGTCAAAATCTTGTGTTTTTTATAATTATTTCTAAAATAATTTTTTACAATAATTATTGTATTCATTTTTTTAATAATTTTTAAATATTTTTTTTTGTTAATGCAGTTAACAATACTTATGTAAATTATAGGTAAATTAATATTATAATTAATGAAGTAGAGAATTTTTTTTAAATTTAAGATTAGAAAAACACCTTTACTTAATACCTACTTTAATATTGTAATACCTATAATGGCTATATTATAGTTATATAAATTATAGGTGGATAAATATTTTGATTTTACTAAATATCTACCTAAGTAAGTAACTCTAGTAACACTTAAAAATAAAGTATTGTGTATAATTAATAATAATTATATTTTGTAGTCAGACTAGTTAACCAATTTTTTCCAACTAATTTAAGTTAAATTAGCACAACAAAAATGTATAAATTGGTTAGCTGAGTTACAATTTAAATGAATTTGAATAGGTACCTAGGCAACTAAGTTCGATAGGACTCATTTTCAGGAAAATAATAACTTAAGTTTTTTCAATTATTCTTAACTACACTCATAATGCATAGTATAGCACTATAGTATAATCAATTATTAATGAACATACTAGACTTGTTATATATATATATCTGACCATGTAATATAAATTGTAAATGCACAGTATATTATTTAATTTTCATCAAAAGATTCAATACAAAAACATAATATAGTTATTATAAAAAAAATTAAAAATAGCTTTTTAGAAATAACTCAAATTTTTAAAAAAATAACTAAGTTATAGTCTAACACTAAGAATCTATATTTTTGTTTACTAGTCAAGCTAAATAAGTTATCAAAAAGTCACTTATAACTTAACTTTTAACTTTTTAATTATTGATATTTTGTTATAATACAATATACCATGTACAATAATATACTCAAATAGTTTAATAAGTAACTTACATGAACACATCTTTAGCTTGTTTTGAATAGTTTAAATTCAATATTGCTCTACCAGCATTTTTTAATTTTTCAACTATTCCTCTCAAGTTAGTTTTATATTTACCTTGGTCCGAACTAAATAAAAATACACAACACATTACATAGGTATATTGTTAGTTTAACAGAACAATACATTTAATACCTACATTTTAGATTCAGATATCATAAAACAATAATCATAAACATTGCCACTAAATTTCTTGTCGGAAACTTCAACTATTTTAAAAGGATTTGAATTAGCTCCTAACAACATATCCAAAAGTTCATTTAGAGTTTGATTTGATAAGTTGACATTATAATTAGGGTTGAGTAATAATGTTAATAATGTTCCGAAATTAGAGATAATTTCATTTACAACTGTTATATTTTTTTTTAAAAGTGTTTCAGTTAAATTTAATTTCCCTGTCAACATAGCTAATGCTATAGAATTGAATCCACAATAAGTATGATTTTTGTCTGTGACATCATAAAGTATAGAGACCAGTTTTGCTTCTGATTGATCGTCAACCATTAAGCTATCATTAAGAACATTTTTATTTTCTTTTAAACAATAAATGTCTAAAGGTGTCATAGTAGCCTGTTGATTTGTAATCAGTTGCCATGGTATTTGATAACGAAATACATTTAATATCGGCTATAAATAAATATAATGTTTTACAAACAATTATTGAATAATAATAGATATAAATAGGTTATTACTAATGCTTTTGAATTTGGGTCGACACAATGCATAATTAAAATTTTAACGCATTCGACAACATTATAATTTGTTGGCATCAAAGCAGCCACATGTAACAAATTCAATTTATAATCCTTATTATTCATAAGATTATCACTAATTATATCTGTACACTTTGGTATTCGAATCAATTGAAACTAATCAATAGATACTTACTTCATTATATAAAGTATAAGGTGGAGATCCTCCAGCGTCGAAAACAGCGCTTAAAATTGCTGGATTTGTAGTCAATAAGGCTAAATGAAATGAAGTTTTTGGTGTGAAGCAAGTAGTAGGTTTAGCACCCATATTAATTAAAAGTATTATTGTATCTTCAACTGAGTCTATTAATGTTTGTCTGAAATACAAATTTGAATATTTATTATGAGGCAATAGATACTTCATTATAGTACCATAGCCAGAAAAAAATTCCCAGGGAGGGGAAGGCACGAATAATTTGTATTATCATGTGTACCTACCTATCATTTACTATTTTTTAGAATGATAAAATGTACAAAAATAATCAAAATTTAGGAATAAATGATATAAATATATATTTATATTATACAATATACATAGGGTATATACATCATTTAATTTACTGGAAATCACATTGAAATAATAGAAACCGTTATTACTAGGGTTCGGGACTTCTTGCATTTGCATGTTCTTTTGTAGCGTTCATAGATTATTCAAGATATAAGCTATACATTTATTTTATGAAATACCGAAATTAAATACAACGTTTGAATTTGCATATTTCCGGATATTTTGTGGCATTTAAAGAAAAGTGCATATTTAAGCAATTTTTACAATATTTGTGCATATTTCGCATGTTTTTTATTTTTATTAATTTTTATTTTTTAACTAAAATTATCGGGTAAATCACATTTAGATAACATTCAAAAATATTTCTTTTAAGATATTACTTTGTATAGGTATAGGTCATAGGTGCGTGTCTCTTTAAGAGTCTAATTAACTAATTCAAATTGAGTCAAAACGTTTTAGCTGTTCATGTAACCGTAGTATCTTTATCTTTAGCGATTAGTAATCAACTTTGTTATCGACGATTTTTATTATATACCTACCTATCTATTTTTGAGATTTATATTTCTATAATTATTATAATATGTTTCATGCGTCAAAAATAAAGTAAAAATTGCCTACATATTTTTAAGTATATTTTGAAGATTTTGACTGCATATTTGCATGCATATTCCATATTTTAGTGCAACGAGTCCCGAACCCTAGTTATTACGAACATACATACATTGCGTACCAACAAATGATTTGTGGCTGAAGAGTTGTATACATACACACATACACATCATGGTAAAACAGTGGCGTACCTATGGGATAGGTGAAGAGGGCATCCACCCCCCGTTGGTTGTATAATTATATGTGACAAGACAATATGTGTGCATCGTTACATTTTTTAAATTTTTAAGAAATTTTCTATTTTGATAATGGGTGAAAATATATTTCGCCCTCCCCCCTCCCCCCGTAAAACGGACCTAGATACGCCACTGTGATAAAACCAATAGGTACACATTTCGAAAAAACAATTTGACCCCAGGAAGGGTCACGAGCTCCCATGACTCTGGTACTGCCCGATTAAATTCATATAAGTTTTGTTTACTTTGATTTTAAATGTCTCAACATTGGATTTGTATTTTCGATTCCATCATATTTTTCTGTTAACTATTATTATATAGGTATTAATTAATAAATAAACTTTAAAGTAGGTATTGTTTTATTTCCAATAGCCCTATAGGGTATATTATACTCAGGTATACAATGTCGGATTTAGGGGGCCATGTGACCTCCACAAAATTCTACTTCCACATGGAGGGCTATATTTTGTCGGAAAATAATTTTAACCCAACAAAAAATGTGCTTATGATGATAAGGTAATAGCCATTAGAGGCATACGGCACAGTTAATTATTAACGTTGTATTATTATAATAATATAATTTAAATAAAATACATTTTATGTAACTTACTAACAGATTTATTTTTGATTACCAGTTTAATTTTAATATATACCTACCTCTATTTACTAGGGTTTTTACTGATATAAACTCTGGGTCCCCCGCAACCCTAAATCCGGCCTTGCTGAATACCTATTAAGAAAACTAATTGATCTTATGATAATAATGTAATTGTTTAGGGTTTATTTATGTAATACCATAAATTTCATAATTTATATTCAATACCTATTGTTATGCACTGTACCTATTTAAAATTAGATTCAATCCATAAAATATAATAAATAAATAAATTAGGTAATATTTTTGGTGAAATATTTAACAAGGTATAATTTACCTTAATATTAGTCAAATTTTCTGGTTCAAAAAAGTTCATGTTCTGTACATTTTTTATAGTAACATTTTGGTCTCCTGAAACAAAGAAGTAATTCTCATTCAATATTTACATAAATCAATTCACATTTTAATGCATAGAATACCTACAACACTAGCAGTAAATATGAATTAGATAATATATGGCACATACAATTTTGTAAATAAATTTTGATTTTTCAAAACAATGACAATAATCTAAACAGTTTTGGTTGGTTATCAATAATTGGAAAAACTCACCTTTTCTAATATTAAATTTAAAACTAATATGAGGTATTAAATATCCATTCCATTTTTTAATATCGTTTAATAAGCATATGTATTGTAATAGAGTTAAGTTTAAAGGAGTAAATCCATCGTCGTTGTAGCATTCCAAGTTAGCACCTAGATTTATCATACATTTAATAATTTCATGTTGATTGTTGGCCTTTAGTAAAATTATAATTACACAAACATTATTAAATTTAAATAATTGGAACAAAAATAAGACTTTAAGTAAAAGTAAAAAAATTACAGAAGATATCATGAGACGAGTATTTCCTCGGGAATCGGATATGTCCACGTCAATTTTATAATTTTTAATTAATCTTTCTATTTCACCAGGACACAGATCTAATTTACTCAACAAGTTTAAAGCAGCTGATTCTTGACTTTGGAGGTTTGGAGGCATAAATATGTTTCTTTTTTCATTCCAAATGTTTTCTATATTGTACAGCAAGGTGTTCTGTAAACATAAAGCAATTATATTATTTTACTCTCATCTTGACTATCAATATTTTAACTTTTAAGTAGGTAGGTATATAGGTAAGTACTTCACTAAATCTCTGCTGATAAGCATGAGCTAATATCATCTTATCTAAGGTGTTATTATTATATGCTAAACACTTTGAATAGTAATTCCGTATTTCGTCAAATTTCTCATTTTCAAATGATTGTATAACAGATTCAGAAATTATTTTTGATTTAATGTTATCATCCTGATTAATATTGATCGTCCACGAGGTTTTATTTAGGTACTCAAACTGTTTACCAATATTAATTCCACAGTTCAATAAAAATGTATTATTCGGTTGGGTTGGGTCAGTTGATATTTTCTTTAAAACACATAAATGAATGATAATATTTGAATAAATTAAAACTTAATTTAATATAGAAGTCTATTAAATTCTGTACGTATAAAAATAACATATGTAAATATAAATAACTTACGAGTAGTTCATGGTAAAAATGAAAATAACGGAAATCTAATTAATGTTAAAAATATTTAAAACCATTTTATATTTAGGTATTATTTTATCTGTTATATATTCATGATAGACCTTATCTATTCTGTGCTTATACCACGATTGAAGTTAGCATAGTTGACCATCGATTACGGTGAAATAGCTTATCCAATGACCATCGAATCCCGGAAAAAAGAACATGGAAAAAAGAACAACAGAAAAAAAAGACGTCCTAGGATGTTATAAGTAATTTAATGTATATCTGTAAGCAACGATAAACCATAACTAACGAAGAAACGATTCTGAGCTTAGTTCAGTTGATAGTGATGCTTTGTCAACAATATATATGTCATATTATGGTAAAATAATTAAATAGGCATTATATGTTTTCTTAAATAATATTTGTTTAATATTGCACCGATTTTTCCTGTTTTTCTTGCGGTTTTTCCATGTTTTTCACAATTTTTCCCATTTATTAGGGAAAACTCCTGGGAAAATCAAAAAATAATCTTCTAAAGTTACCATGGAGATAAAATTTTCTTTCAGAAAAAAGGCTATACTTGATACATCGAAGCAAGATTTTTGGTAGAAAGGTTTGCATAACAATTCAATGGGTATTTTGCGATTAAAATAGTCCAAGTGAGCGATTGCTTAGGTCTCTAGGTACATTCAAAATTCATTTGTTTTTTCCTTGTTTAAGTAAAAGGAAAAATAATGCAAACAATTTTTTTCGAAACACGGTTCGAATTCGCAGACTCTAGGATAAAAACAGGTATATTTAACCATTCAGCTACGACAAACATACTTTAAACAAGACAATATTTATTTATTTAACAAAACATATAATATCCGCATAATATCAGAAATTCAAAAAGCTATAATTTTGAAACTCAGTTAATCCGCTCAATTCTGACTTCATCATCGTTTTTAAATCGACAATATACATATGTTTAAAAAAAAAAAATTTAAAAATTAAATTTTGTTCCGCATAATTTTTTACTTAACAATTTTTGTCAAAATTGTACATTAAAATTCCTTTAAAAAAAAAAAATACTACATTAGACTCAAATTTTCTTTTTTTGACCACAAAGTAAGACTCTTAATGAACCTCCTGTTTAGTTTTCAAGCATTTCTGTTAAATCTAACAATTTGACCACAGAGTACCTACCGAATAAAAATTACGTACAAAACTCGCAAAATTAAAATGTTTATAAATAGCTCAAAAATAGCTTAAATTTTTTGAAAATTTAACTATGTCTAAAAAAGCAAATATAAGTTTTCTGTACAAATTTCAAGTCTCTACGAATATTTTTAACTGAATTACAACAAATAACAAAATTGAAAAATAATAAAAGTAATATTTTCACACATTTCCCATTTTTCTTACGTTTTATCCAGGTTTTTCCCAAATATAATGAAAATAAAAATATTGCCTCCCAAAGGTACCATAAGGCACCTAAAGATTCCCTTTCAGAAATGGTACCATGCGTATATATCTGAGCAAGATTTCGATAGAATTTTTGTGCACAGATAAAAAAAAAAAAAAAACATCTTTGTAAAACCATAAATGTCTTCGCTCCACTCAGAATCTAAACTGGTAGTACGTTTTTAAATTTCTCTCTTCTAATGGCTGTAACTTATAAAATACAATTTTAAAAATTTCAAAAGTGATAAGCCTAAGAATTTAAATAAAATTGTAAGTATTATACAAAAAATATCAATTCATCAATGGGTCAATTTGCTCGGAATAAAATCTAAAATTTTTCTTGCAACATTCGGTGTTCCTTAACGAGGACATCTTTCTCTGCTCCTGTTCTCCTTATTATCAATAGTGTCACAAGTATTCTTTCCCACAGCCATATTTTATGTTTTGCCGACGATGTAAAATTCTACTCTCGTATATCTTCTTTGGATGACTGTATCTTGTTACAGAATGATTTTGATCAATTCACTGAGGGTTATCCTTCAATGTTTCTAAGTGGAAAACCATGACTTTTGCCAGGATTCAATCCCCTGTTGTATATTTGTACCATCTCGAATATGCTATTCTTTCATACTCTAATGACAGTGTTACAGATCTAGAGTTTATTCTAAGTAGCAATCTTGATCCGAGTCCCCACATCGAACATATTTATTGTAAGGCCTTTAAAACTCTGGGGTTTGTCTCAAGATTATATAGACTTTCGATTATCTTATCCTTAAGGTGCTATATTATGTACTTGTACGCCTTATTCTAGAGTATGGTTCTGTTATTTGGGTTCCTCACGACATCAATGATTCTTTGAAGCTGGAAAGAGTCCAACGAAAATTCTTGAGGCACGCAAGCTTTAAATTGAATATCCCTTGTGAAGCCCATAACTATGAATCTGTTGCTGCGCAACTTGATTTGGTTTCCTTAGTTAAGCGTAGACGTATCTTTGACATTAAGTTTCAAAATATGAAACGTATTTGTTTCGTACTCTGATATTTTTGTTAATGTGCAAATGCTACAAGTCCTCTGCTCTACTTATAATTTTATTATTCTGTGGAATATGAGTGGCGATATATATATAATAATAACAACAAAATTAAAATAGAACATTCCAGTCGAAGCCGGGTAAAACCCACAAGTATTTATTGAATAAAAATAGCTCACTACTATATTAATTTACAAAATATGAAGCTCACCGAACAACTTGCGACCTATGTTGAATCCAGACAATTTTTATTGGGGAGGGAGGGGGCATTAATAAAATTATAGTTGTGAACTTTTTTTTTTTTAATATCTACCCAATTACTAAGACCAGTCAAATTTGTTTAATTATTTAATTAATTATTAATTCACCTATATTTAACAGGGAAGACAAACAAAATTCCAGGGGGTATAGTCCCCTTGACATATACCTGGATTCAACATTGCTTGCGACTGGTGATGATAAGGAATTCGTTGATTTTAAAATAAATAATATTATTAAATCATTTCTAATCGTTTTCATTGTTATAAAATGCTTTACATGGAATAACTGCTATTAAAAGGTAGCAATAGCACAAAAAAATTATTTCATATCCCCCTCTTCAAGAAAATCCTAAACACCTCTGTTGTCTGTTAATATCATGTTATCTGATTATTGTATAGAAGCCATATAGCCGGCAGCCATCTTTGGGTAGAATCTATTGCTTAATGCTTTTAGAACTAAGTTAAGTTACTATGGTTACTTGTTAAACAACGTTAATAAGTTAGTGAATTGTTGCTACTTTGTTAGAAATTCCATTTCCATTTTGTAATATTTAATAATAACAGCGGACCCAATTTTTAATCCGTGTCTAAAACATGGTACAACCGGGTACCTTATATTAGCTAAGTAGCAATTCGAAAGACCCAGAGTGATCAGGGCGTATCAACGCATCAGAGCGTGGTCCCACCGATCACTACCCATTTCACATACCGCCTGATTACGGGTTGGGTCGTCGAGTGGGTAGCCCCAGGCAATTTAACCACTACCCAACGAAACTCATAAGCCCGTTCGAATTCAACCGCAAAGCACCGACCACGACACGAAACCTTGGCCGACACTCGGGTCTCCGTTCGGCGCCGAGAATGCCAGTCGACGCCGGGCTCCGAAAACCACCCGAACGACTTTTCATGTAAATCAAAAGTTGGACATATCCCGACACCCGGCCACCGACGAAACGGATTATCAGTCCGCACCGGAGGCAGTCGGGAGTTTACCGACACGCGCGTAATAACACAATCTCCGTTGCAGAGGAAAGTGGGCCGCCCGGGAACATCTAACGCTGCGACCTAACGGTCGAAACGCAAGAGGACCCCCGAACGATCATATGGAGAGGCGAGTCCGTAGTCTCGATCTCTCGACGGATACAACCTCGGTGGTGAAGTTCCGACAATCACCCGCCTAATGAGAATTTTTACATGTTGGCTTCGCACCAGGATTAATCCACGGCACTACTAATATCCAGCGCCACGAAGAGGCCCGTACCATCTAAAAAGCCCGAGGAGGAAAGCACTCTTCCCGGGTTCTCTAGGAAACCGCCGAGAACTGACCAAGAAATTATTCCCAGACGGTTCCTTGGCTGCGGTTTCGCTAGATATTTAACAATGGATTATAATTTGTGTAGTTTATTCCAGTTATCGGAACTGATCAACATGTAGATGCAATCAAAATAAAGTAATAAAAAAATAATAATAAGTTTGAAAACATCGAATAGACGAATAGATCAATAGATGACTAATCAGACCAAATGTCAAAAATTGCTTAATAATATGCAATGTTATTATTTCTTGATTCCAACACAATATTAATTGAACGGAGTGGTGCGCCTAATGTCAAGTTTTGCTGCATCGATGTCTTATGTTTGACCACAGATCATAGTGAACGCAATATAAGGAAGGCTTGTCTATTAAACATTAGTATACTGTATATAAGGTATAAGTTATATCAATACAAATTTTGAGTGGGATTGCTTCTTCAGATTTGAGAAGAGACGTAGCAGCAATGGGCAACAGCTAAGAAAACAGAAGTCTAGGAGAAAAACTTAATTGAAATACTACTCACTGATATGCAAAAATGAAGCGACAGATATAATAAAGAAATTCTAATTACCAATCTAGTGTTTGATGTGAACTTTAAAATATATAGATACCCATGATTATATCCTACACCATGACTATAATTTTAGCTAAATACTAGGTATACCTATAATAGCAAGTTGATGGGGCTGGGTATTATATAGAATTGGGAAACCCGGTGCCCTGTATGTATTTGATTAGGAAAAAAATGTTCCTTATTTTTCTAACCCCCCCCCCTCCAAGAGCAAGATTAAATGCACGCCACTGTACATTATTATAAATACAAAAGATTAACTAATAAGCAGGGTTTGGAAATTATAGTATATTAAAACATGATAATAAGCATAGAAAAATCGACAAATATGTAGGTATTACTTATTAATAAATGCCGGATTTATATGTTCTTAAAATCCACAAAAAAGTTCTTGAAAACTACAAAATGCCTTGAAAAAACCACATAACAAATATATAAAAACAAAAAAATAATTCAGGGGTTTAATAGCCCCCTCTCTAACGGATTTAGTTTATAAATACAATTTTCCAACACCACAAAAATGATTAATAAAAAGTAATTTTTTTTATAATATACATATGATTTTCTTTAAAAGAAAATTTGTGTCAATCATTTTTGCAATGTTAGGAAATTTAATGTAATAACAGTCATCAGAAGGGGACTTTAAAACCCCTTTATCATTTTTACTTTTTTAAATATTTTCAAGTGTTTTTATTCAGGCTTTTTTCGTGTTTTTAAGTGCCTTTTTGTGAACTATAAAAGACTAAAAATCCAGTCTCTAATTATTATTTATTATTCAAGTAGGTATTACTATATAAGGACCATCGTATTTATACCTACGCAGAAATCAAAACGATCTGTGATTTTTAGACAACACAAACATATAATTGCATTAATATTTTTTTGTTTTATTTGATAGGGTGCTTCGTTTAATTTTACTGATCGGTTAAAATGTATATAATTTTTGTTTAAAATTTGTCAAAATAGACGAAAAATAAAAACAAAATCGAAAAAATTAACAATACTACAAAAACTACCTATGAATGAAATATTCAAAAATATGTACATTCAAATTTCAGATTTGATATCAATACAATGAGAAATGAATTTGTTATATATCTACATTACTGTATTATACAATAAATAACAAAAGTATGTCATTGTTGAAAGTCCTGAATCCTATTAATAAGTAACTCGGGATATCAATATTTTTAATTTTTAATTGATTTATTAAATATTTTTTAATATTTAATGGTGAAAAAAAATGAATACAATAGTATGACTGCATAATTAATAATTAAGTTATTAACTAAACAAATATTTGAGGATTTCAAGTACCCCCTAGTCCCCGCCTAACTACTTCTATGTCCTGCACCCTCACTTTAAACGCGCACGAATCCATCAGCCAAACATATTATTCCGTTGTTGGGCTGCGCAATATGTAGTGTTCCACATAACATTTTTTTCGATAGATGTGTGCAAGTTTTAAGTTAGGGTGTAGGAGACTACATAATGAGCTAATAAGACAATGAGTAAACTTAAAATAAAAAGTAAAAATTGATTTGTTATGCATAACTATATCGGATAGGTAAGAGGGAAAAATCGTTGAACAGGATTAGATTTAAAATAACCTTTGGTTGAGAAGTACCGTTCATGTTAGCTCATTAGTAGACTATAAGATTATCTACTGAAATGTATGATAATCTACTTAAACACTGTGCATCCAACAGTTAAAAATATTGTTGTATATAAATAATATTTGCCTGTAGATATTTCATAGTTACACTATAAAATAAACAAAATTATAAGATTTCATTATTTATTCAATTATGTATTACTAGATAATTCTTCAATATTAAATCTTCTAAATTATGGCCACACACAAATCGATTTTCATCAATTAATTTTGACTTCATTGACCTTGACTCAGTTGACTCAAATTTAAAATCAAATGCTTGTCTTTGAAAAAATAAACTATTTAAATGTCGTGTGTAAGGAAACGAGTGACTATTGTTCAAGTTATTTTCATAGTCATCCCGTACATTTATGACACAGTGAGGTGGCTAAAATTAAAATAAATGTTTACCTAATTATATTATATTTTCATTTGAAAATAATTTTACTAACTCGAGTAAGATCAATGAGGTGTTTGAATTGTAATAATTTTATTTTAGTATAGATATCAGGTGTATCATATGATGGTACTAAATGTTTTGTTAAATAACAACTTAAACGTAAAAGATGATCTCCTAACCAGAAACCTACTTCTTGGTGCTCATTAGGATGTGTTATCACACCTGGTCCAAAACGTACATTATTTTTATACAAGCCCTAGAATTAATTGAAAAACAGCGTAAATACTATATCACAATTATTATATTATTATGTATTACCTCAAAAATTATTCCATTTTCATATGTCATGCGACCATAACCATGTAATCGATTGACATAAAAATGTCCTTCATATGTTTGCTTTTGGTTTCCTTTTATCCATATTATAAGTCCTTGCCCATGATAACAACCTCTTACAATAGGACCTTCATAAATTTGAGTCATCTAAAGAAAATATAACCCCAAAACACATAATATACATAATTTCATTAAAATTTAAAAAATAAAATAATTATATAACAATATTAATTGTTACTTTTCCTTGTTTAATAACAATTCTATTATTACTAGCATTTCTTAATCCAAATGAATCATGTTTAGGAACAATAATAGGTTTTTCTTCTTCAAACATCACAAAAAATTAAGTATTATTAGACTTTCAAATAATATTGTCAATGGATAAATATAAAAATGTAAACATTATACAAAATATGATTATATGTTTATATTATACACAAACTTTATAAACATAATTTTTTAAACTTTAGTTGCTATCATTGTATAAGGTATTCATAGAAATAAACTTTTATCTAAAAATAAATACAAATAACTTTTAAATTGAATCATACAAAAAAATGATAACCATATAAAAGTCTATAGTTCTTCTCTCCGCTTATGTATCTTTTCTTCGAGTACCTTATGAAGCTTCTGCACATTCCTATTTTCTTTTTTAATTTTGATTTCAATACCATCATGTTCATTTCCAGCTGCCAAATCCACATTTAAGTGTCGTAATTTTAATAATCGACGTTCATACTCTTTCAATTCATCCTAAAAGTTTTAAGCATGTATAAATTCACCAAAATTACTTTATATTTTTACAATGTGTACCAATCAATATGTTCACTGGTAAACTAAATAATACATTATTTAAATCACTTTCATTCTACTTTTTACTTTATAAAATGCATTATCTAATAGAATTAAAACATCGCTGTATGAAAATAAACATATTAAGCTGTACCAATAATTGTAAATTCTTTCTTACATGCAGAAGTTGAAGTTCATCTTTACTGAAATTTGTATCTTTGGCTTTTATCCATATTTCTTGTACTTTAGGTTCAACAAACTCTTCACTGTTTGGACCAGTGAGTGATAACCGATGAAGACGATCAAAGCTGTCTTTTATATCACGTATACGATTTCTTAATAAAAATAAAATTATAAAACAATTAAAAAATAAATATATAACAATTAAAAATATTTACTCTAGATCTCTTTGTTTATGACTAAAATTATCAAAATCATCAGCTTCGTGTAATGAATTATGATTATTTTTTAATCCTTTTTTTGAAATTGCTTAAAAATATTAAGTTTTACAAAAATTAAACATAAATTATTGAAGAAATAATAAAATGTACAATATTTACTATTGGGTATATCATTTTTCATGTGTTCAACTTCATTTGTTAATGAATAATATTCATCAATTTTTTTTTGATGATGTAGGAATTCATCTTTTAATGCTATTAGCTCAATACCTATATATTAAATGAATATTAGGTTTTATAATTGTAGTTGATATTTTATAATAATGATATTACTTGTAAAACCAGACTGTTTAGCTTGAGCCCATAATTGATTCAATCGTTTATCATGTAACAAATATTTATCAACAATTTCTGACAAATCTCCAATTGCATGACCTTTTGTTGAAAAATCTGGTTCATTATTTGGAGGCTGAGGTATAGTCTCATCAAAATGATAACTTAACTTGTATCTTTCTAATATACCTATAAAATAACGAGCAAATTAAATACAATAATAACTAATAAATAATATAAAAGGTGATATTTATACTGCTGTAAACAATTTTGTAGTGTCCAAATACATAAAACTGCACAAATATATTTTATTTATTAAGATATAAAAAAAAAACATGCACACACTTTGCATCTGTATTATATCATTTGTTTTGAAATAAACATAATATTATTTTTCTGTAGTAAAACATTAATTTCTAATTTGCACAATACTTTATAAATAATGTGAATAATGTATACCTAACTAAAAATGTTAACACACCTATTAATTTTTCAAATTTTTTTTGAGAGGTTCTCACTTACTTCCCTCCAGTTTTAGCTCAGTTTTTACTGCTATAATGTAACTCTTCATACAGTTTTCCCATATAGCCCATATAGGGCAAGAGTTACCCAAAGGTATTTTTTCAAAAGGGCCCTCCTTAATTACTGCTTTTATCAATGCACCATTTTCCCCCCCGTACGTGCCTAGCCCACGTTAACCTTTTTTTTATGGCTTCCCTTGATATACTTGGTCTTTGAAACATGCATTAAAGCTCTTTGTTGTTCCATATTCTCCATTCACCAGTTTTAGGGTCAAAAACAGGGCCATAGATTTGTCTTGGTACTTTTTTTTCACAAATGTCTAATCTTACTTTCTCTGCTTTTATTAATATTCATATAGAACAATGAGACAAATTAATGTCACATACATTTTATTTTTTTAATTTATAGAAATCTGTCTAAACTTTAGGAGAGTTCCAGCTCCAAAAAAACACTTGCTTGCCAATATTGTATTCTTCTGGATATCTGTTTTCGCCTGATTGTCCTGAGTTAAAAGAACTCCTAAGTACTTAAATTATGACATTCTGTAAAAGATGTTCTACTTCTATAATCTTTCCCTGTTGATACATCCTATCCACTCTGCTAAATTTCATATATTCTGTTTTTTTGTCATTATAATAAGATCGATATTTAACATGCAGCCTGTATTAGTTTCTTACAATGTTCTTTCACTATCTCTATGTTGTCTTCTAAGATGGCATACACTAGCAAGCCTACTTTTTATTTTATTTTTTTAATTTTAAATTGATTAATTTTCTTGGGAAATTTAATTCTTTCAATAAACTTAATAGAATCGGTCTATGTATAGAATCGTATGTCTTCTTAAAGTCAATAAACAATGAATATACTTTCTTATTTTACTCACATGTTTTTTCAAAAATCTGCTTTATAATAAAGATTTAGTCTTTGGTTCATCTGTTTGGTCTAAATCTTCCTTGGTAATTTCCAGGATTCCTTCAGAAATCTATTTAATTCTGTTTAGAATCCAGTATCAAAATACTTGATGAGTTGTGTTGAGTACAAGGCAATGCCCTTGTAATTGTGGTAATCTAGTGAATCAACCTTTTTGTGTACTGGTCATACTAATGTGATTCCTCAACGCTCCAGAATCTTTTCTTCTTTTTAGACCATTTCTAATACATCATATATTTCTGATATGGCATCTCCATCCAAATTCTTTAATACTTCACTCTGGATTCCATCTTTACCTAGAGTTTTAAGGTTTTTCAATCTAATTTGTTGTATTATATCAATTCTAGATGGGCGAGGGTAATCAATCTCATCGGGTTCTACGTCCCTCCAAACAAACCAATCTGTGGAATCTTTGCAATTAAGGAGTTGTTCGAAGTAGTCTCTCCATTTCTCCTAAATATCATTTTGACCTGTGATCAGTAAACCATTGCTGATCACTTGTTTCTTAAATCCCTTCTGATAGTGTTAATATTTTTGAATAATTGACCTATTCTTTTTATGGTACTTTTCTGTTTCTTCTAGTATGTTCTTGGTATAACTTCGTTTTACTACTTCTGAAAATATTTTAAATTCTTTTATGCATATCTTATAGTTACTTTCTTTTTCAGTGTTTACTGGGTTACTAAGCCACTGATTTTTGAATTTGCTTATTCATTTCAAAGACTTCATACATGTATCGTTTAACCAGTTTTTTTGTTTTCCTTTGCTACCTTTACAACACCAACTACATTATTTAAGATACCCTTTATTTTTCTCCATCATCTAATAAATCTATTCTATTTGCACCACTGTAATTGACGTAATTTATGGTCTGAAAGTATTTTGACAGATAGGACCATCCAGCTTGATTATATCATATATCTGGCTAAAGGTTCAACATTTATTCATGGACATATTGTGAATTTGATTTCCATTTTACCTTTTCCTAGATTGTGATCTGAATCTGAGTCTGCTCCTCTAATGATTTTGACATTTTGAATACTATTTTTGATCTTGAATTTACCAGAATAAGATTGATTTGATTAGTGTATCTTCTATCTGGTGACCTCTATGTCAAACATTATGCTCTTTATTTCTAGGCCTTTCTTAACTGCCAGGTTAATAAGTTTAAAACCATTGCCATTTGTTTTATTGTGTAAACTGTGATTTCCTGTAATTGAACTAAACGTGGTTTCTTTCCCGTCATTAGCATTTACATGTACTAGGCAATGGGTGCGCTCTTTCCCTACGCCGTACAGTAATTAAATTTAGTAATAACTAATAAATAATATAAAAGGTGATATTTATACTGCTGTATACAATTTTTCAGTGTCCAAATACATAAAACTGTACAAATATATTTTATTTTTAAAGATATACAAAAATATAGCATGCACCCACTTTGCTTCTATATTTAACCATTTTCTTGGAATGAACATAATATTATTTTTCTGTAGTAAAACATTAATTGCTAATTTGCACAATACTATATAAATAATGTTAATAATGTAAACGTACCTAAAAGTTTTTTTCGAACAATAGATTCCATTTCTCCATCTTTGTCCAAATTTTTGGTTTTGTGTACTTTTAGCTCTCGTTCATCTTCGTCTTGAATTCGCAATTCTGATAGCAAAGATCTTAATTCCGGTTCTGAACGCTTCTATGAATTATTCATAAATCATTTAGGTAAATATAAATATTAACAAAATAATAAATATTAATCTAATGTTTTACTTGTTTAGCTTTACTCCAAATTAAATTTAATTTGTTAATTTTAAATGGTTTATTTAGATGGCGCACATTGAATTCTGGTTCAACATTTAAAGATAATGTTTTCGTTTTTAATGTTTCATTTTCATCTAAACGGGAATATGAATTTACATAACAACACAGTAATGAAATAATTAGAACTATTCTTTTCCCCATTGTTTTCGAATCACAAAGAATTAAATATTAATTCAAAATATAAAGTTAATAAAACCAAGAAAATATTGAGTATATGTACATAGTAGAAAATGGCAATTGACAATTTGTTTAAAAGAAGATTTGTAGGTACGATTTTACTGACTTTACCGACTTGTAGAATATATTCTTTTACAAATTATGAACGAGTATAGAAGGAAAGTGGGGATTACCGTAATAAAAATTGTTGATAACACAAAATTGATAAACATTTAACATTAAACAATTTTTTCAATATGAGACTTGATTTTGGAAAGTTAAACAAATAAAATTGTTTTAATCCATTCATGATTATAATATCTTTTCATTTAAATTAATATTAAATTGATGTTCAAGATATTTTATAATTATTGTGTAATTATCATATGGCGTCAGTTTTGTGGATGTTCAATTGTCAAAAAACATGTAAAACTAACAAAATGTACTTCCAAAATGGAAACATACAACGAATTTTAATGTTTATAAACGCTCAAAGTTAAGTTATATTTTTGTTAAAAATGAGATTGAATTCTGTAATAATATCATGATGTATGAGGACAGTTGGATATGGTTTGTGTCTGGCGGACTCTTGTTTACCACTGTTATATTGATTGTTGCTTGTATATGTGGCTGTCACAAATCAATACCAAAGTAAGTAACTCCTCAATGTATTTAGTACTTTTGTTTTAAATAAAATTTGTTGAGCTTAGTTTTTGTTTTTATTTTATAATTATTGTATGTTAAAACAGTATGGTATGTATATTAATTTTATTGTATGTGCGATTTAATACTTGTAACAGTTTTTGTTTGCATGTCGCATTATAATCTTATTATGTATTATTAATGTTAAATATACAACAAAATAAAAAACTTACTTCAAATATTTAGTTGGATATTGATTAGGTTTATTAGGATTATTAGGATTATTAGGTATATTTGATTCAAATCTTGATAGACTTAAGTATCTAAATGTTTATACCTACTAAAAAAATTTCATATTAAATTATTTTTAAACTCTTGTATTTCTTATGTACAAAATATACGCTCACGGAAATTAAAATTATAATTTACAATATTTTGTTTAAACTTGAACAAAACAAACACAATTTTATTTAAATAGGGGTCTATTCTTTTTTTTTTTTTTTTATTATGCAGGTAGTAAAGTAATACTTAATTACAAATAAAACACTTAGACATAAAGATGATTGAACTAAATTTTGAAATGACACAAGGAGTTTAAAAATCATAAGAGGTGGTCCTCAATAGTGACCCAAAACTAGATTTAACCTATATATTTGGCTGTATACTACCTATTGATCAATTATCTTTCAACCCACATAACTCACTGAAATAAATTGTTTTAAATTGACATTAATATAATATTTAACTATATAATATATAATACATATTAAATACCTACCTATATTTATTATTTTATTAAAAGTAATAAAATAAAAATAGTTATTTGAGTATTTCATAGTATTATATTATATTTTTATTTTTACGCTTGTAATATAATAGAAATGAATTACTTGGTCTTGCTGGCATGGTAAAAATCACCAATCCTGATGTTGGACCAGAACCAGTGGACAGGAACTTATCAGCAAGTCCATCCCCAACAAATAGTACCAAAAGGTTTTTATAACATTATTATTATTATAGGAAAAATTAATTTTTATTATAAACATTTAAATTATATTATATATTACAGAAGTTCAGCTGGTGCTACATTATCTTCAGCGACAAGAAGCCTTCCTGATTTACCAGTAGAAACTCCTAGAGGCTCAGATACAATTGCTACCGCTGTTTGGTATGGTGGTGATACCAATTCTGAGCTATATGCTACTGTCGAAGAGAATAAAAATGGGATCAAAGGTGACCCGTTAAAATATATGAATAATACCATGTCTCCGTCTAGTGGCACTACAGTCTCTAAAAGTGAATGTGTCTATGCCTCTGTGAACAAAGAAAATCCTTATGACAAATTACAGCAGGAACACCCATACGCTAAAGTTGGTGCCAACAATCTAAATAATCATTATGCTGGTTCCCAAAGGTATAGTACTAAATAAATAATAAATAGTATCATGAATTAATGTTATTATGTTTGAAATTGAAATATATGAATTATATTCAAAATTATTATTTTAGATTGGAGAAATCTAGTTTAACTGATTCCATAGAAATGGATGTTATTGATAGAGCTACTCCTGATCATGATATAGCAGCAGCTAGTGTAATTGCAGGTGACGAAGCTGCCAGTATTAACATTCCTTATATGACTCCACCAGTAGGACCTGTAGAACATCATCCATTAAACGTGCAACCAAGACAAGGCCATTACAGTGGCGATTCCCATGATTCTAGTAGTAGGAATATTATTAAATGTCATGGATGTTTTATTATAAATTATAATATATAAAATAAAATTTCAGAAGGGTACACAAGTATTAGTGTTCGAGAACCATTATCCAGAATCATGTCCAGTGCTCGAAATTGTAGTATACCAACTGATCCCCATTATGCATTTGTTTCAGATGATTCTGGTATAGAATATTTTTCAGCTTAATAACTAAAAAAAAAAAAACCCAATACAATTATGCATGTTTATTTTTACAGATGAAATGTATGCTGCTATCATGGACCCAAGTAATAATGTTTATAATAGTGGAAGTGAAACGTATGCTCAAATACCCAGTGTAAATAATATTCCAGTCGCCTCAATGGGTCAAGCATATAAAGCTTCTACGTCCCATATGAATGGAGCAGAACAAACACAAACACATTCCAGACAAGGTAAAAGTTTGCAACTTTTAACAATTTAAATTTCTAAAGGTGCTATCAATTTAATTTGTATAGATTCTTCATCTAGTGCTGTAAGTACTAATTCTCCTAAACCTGAAAAACGACCGGCCAATTCACCTTTACCAAAGCCTCCGGAGTACTTGGATGAAATGTATGCCAAAGTAATGAAAAAACGTAATGATTCACCGGAGCAACCATCTCCTACATTGCTTCCTTTGTACAATGAAGGTATTTATGACAGATTGGTCGAGCCTAAACAACCACTAGTGTCTGACGTCGATCCTAATTACGAAGAGTTAAGGCCCACTAACCATGGTTATGCTCGGATAAAAAAAATTGAAAGACCGTCTGAACCTGATTACGCAAGTTTGACTAGGACAATGACTGCTGAATATATTGAAAATGATCCAAACTATGAAAGCTTAAAAATAGACATAAATGAAATCAATCATAATTCAATTTATTCAGAAGTCAATAAGAGGTAGCTTTTGGACAAACAGTATTTACTATTTTATTATATAAATTAATATAGTACAAGGTCTTAACTTCTTTTTATTTCTGCTTTTTGTTAATTTTATAACTGCAAATATGATTAGTATATTTTGTTAAAATACTTGATAAGTACCACTATTTTTATCATTTAAACCAGAACGTATCATTCATTTTAAATGCGTGTGATCATTTTTCATGGGCAAAATAATGGCTCAAACATTTCCAATTGACAAATTATAATATGAATATTGTGAGAATAATTGTGATTATTAAAAATTGAATACCTAAGTTATTTTAATGGGAAATATAACTTACCAAAAACTATTTTTCCTTTCTTTTTTTTTTTAAATTTCAGTTTAAGTTTCTACCATTATGATTTTAAGTATAATAATATAGTCTTTATTTTATTTCCATTATAATTTTTAATATACACTGGATAATTTGTGTTTCCTATTTATTGACAGGGATAATGGATTTTTTATAACTTTATTATTATTCAATAGATATTAATTAATCTATTTACATAAATCATGAAACTACATTTATATTTTATCTATTGTTAAAATTAAAAAAAAAAACTCATACGTTATTAACCAAATTTTGCTATAATATCAAATTAGGTTACTTAACCACAGACTGAAGTATTATTTTATTTTTACACGTGAACTACTTAATGGAGTACAATATGTAAATAATTTTATTTTTTTAAATGTTTGACTAAGATTATACTACACGTAAACGCTTAATGAATTTGAAATGTTATTGGGAATATTTTTACTTATAATAAATTTATTTTTTTACACACACATACTCACATACCAATTATTTCAGTTTGATTAATAGTCTTTGTAAATAACAGTCACACAGTTACCAAACATTTTGATAGGAAATTCAAGTGCTTCAATCATTGTTTTTACTAGTAATTATCCAAAGCTGCAACCTGTTTCCTCATTATTATTTCATACTTTATACCATGGAAGCTATATGGCAAACTAAATTATATTAATATCCTTGGTTTTGCAACATACATGTTTACATTTTTTGTCAAATTGTTTGGTACAAACTGTATAACATACACAAAAAAATCTAAATTTTTGTTATTATAATTTTAGTACTGTAAAATAAGTATTTTATTTTATGTGTTTAATTTAGTTTAGTTATTAAACATTGTTTTATATTATATTTCTACATGGTTGCCACGATTTTTGGAAATCTGAAAGTCAGGGGATTTAAATTTAAAACTTTAATCTCTATTTACATTATTAAATATTAATTATTCAAAATTTTAAAAAAAATATCTTATTAAATATTTGTATGTGTATTATTTTATTACGTATTTTATTCTAATATGTAACTAATACTATTAAACTTAAAAAAACTGAGAGCAAAAAATATATTTTTAATCTATATTATTTGTTTACACTGGCAAATTCAGAAAATTCAAAATAAAGTTTCGTGGTAACCATGTTTTAAAACCTTTTTTGTATTTTATATGTCTGGTTAAGTTGATTTTTTTTTATAATAATTTAAGTATAAATGATGGTATACTTTTATTTCTTACTTGTTACTGTAAACTCTGTTATATTATTGGTTAAACAAATATATTACAAACATAATTAACTTTATTAAAATACAATAATTTGAAGTTAACCTAATACATTATAAATTGATTTATTGCGATACCATTAAGTATAAAAAAAAAGTTCATTGTTAATTTCTTTCTATTTTAAAACTTTAATAATAACTAGTTTAAAAATCAAATTAATATTTGTTTAATATAATGAAAATTGTAAAACAAAAAATAAGCTGAATAAACTTAATACAATTTTAAAAAAAAATTTGTTTTTCAATTATAGCATAGAGATTGTGGAGTGATTAATATATTGGTTGATAATATTAATTTAATTGTTACATTTGTTCATCATTAATACTACCATTTCGATTTATTGGCACTTTAATGTAAATTACTTTTTTCGGCCTTGCATCATTAGACATTTGAACAAAATCATCTTGATCTTCCCATTTTCTTCGTTCCCTAGCTTCTTTTGCTCGTTTATGATCCAACCAGTTTATTATACAAGAAGCGGGTACCCATATCAAACCAGTAATTAATATAACTGTACCTACAATATTATCCTTTAAAAATCTTAACATCTTATTAATATTGATTTCTTCAATGATATCCCAAAAACGTTCCACAACATCTTGAATAGTTTTCTCACATACACCCTATTATGAATAAACATATTTAACATTTTATTTTTTTCTAAACAAATATCAAACAATTGAATAGTACCTTGTTACAAAATCCTTGAATGCATGGGGTTCCATCAGGTAATACATCAGGTGGATCAACAGGATAACATGTATCATTTAGATTAGTACGACAACAACGCTTACAGGATTGTAATACTAGAAATAATAACAGTAATAGTAGTAATGACAAAGCTTAGGAACTTCTAGCATTTACATATTTTTTCTGAATTATGTAAAAAGTAGCAGAATCAATTAGAAATCCTTTTCATATTATATAAAATCTAAATTCAAAATTTGATTGTGCATATTTTTGCATATTTTAATGTTTTTTTTCTCATTAAAGCATATTTGTATGATTGTTAAAGCTAGAAGTCCCTAAGTCAAGTAATAACTAATATTCTTGTATTTAGAATTGTTAAATATTTACTAAAGCTTGAATAGAATTATATACATTTGTTTTGTTTAACCTAATTGATTGATGCACTTCAAAAGTGGGTTTGAAATATTGACAAGGTAATAAATCCAATTTAACCAAAACATATTTTACTATGCATAATAATTTCAATAATTCAATATTTCATTATTTTATTTAACATATTAAATCTATTTGACTTATTTTTAATGCAAACAATTCTCAATAAAATGACCATATATTTTTATAAATATTAATGATTTATTTTCAACTTACTAGTATCACACATGCAACTCTGTAAACCTTGAGTCTCACAATATGGTATGCATTTGCCTGACCGACATTTACCCCTTTCAAGACATCCTGTACCATCTGGCATAGGTGGACTTTTTGGACATTCAGCTCCTGTACCAGTACAACGAGATTCTTGCTCACAGGTAGCAAATTGTCCTTCACGACATTTGACTCCAGATGCCATAAATTGACAATTTTGGCAACATGGTGAATTTTTATCACTAAATAAAATGACACCTATAGTTATAATAGATAAATGAATAATGCTTTTTATTTTGTATTACCTGCACCGGGCACCTTGAGCTCTTCTAAGTTTACAATTTTTATCACAACATGAGTCATTATCTTCGGTACCTAATAGACCAGCATCACACTCTTCATTGCCTTCAACTCTGAGATTACCACAAAATGATTCCTCAGGTTCAGAAAAACAACGTGCTGATTTTGCTTGCAAAACTTTACGTATAGACCGTAAACTACACGGAGAGAATCTCTGAAGAATAAAATTAATAATAATTAATATTTTAAATATATTATTTAAGCATACTTTATTGTTGATATCATATCCGCTGACACTGTACGTATACATAAGAAAAGATCCTCCTTGACTAGCTGTTGGACTACATTCAGTTATATCTGGATCATGTTCAGAACCCCAATTGTGACCAAATTCATGAGCGGTAACTAAATCTGCTTCTCTTGTAATGACCCTTTGACCATAATGATTACGACTCGAACTTAGGCCAGAATTAAGGTATAATGTATACCCATTTTTAAAATATTCTAATAAATAATAATTTGAGTCATACAAATGTATTATAAACTATAGATAGAAGACCCATCACCTGGAGTACAAATTCCACCAACTGAATTTCGTCTAGGAGAACCAACATATGCAAGACCCAAAATACCACCTTCAAATTTTAAGTCTGTAAATAAATGGGCCAAGCAAAAATCCTTATGGCTATATTCGCGACTAAATACCTGCCACCACCAAAGCAATATGAAATAATAGGTTATATATAGAGAGAATAATTTATAGTTTATTAATACTGTTAATACAATCAATCAATTAATTCAATAACTTAATGTAACTGAAGCAAATCTTATTTAGTTTAGTTTAAATGTTGTTACATATTGTGGCACTCATATAGTATGTTACCTACCATAGATATTTTTGTTAAATTTTATTACAAGGAAGTATGTGTAACTTGAATCAACGAATTACATCACAGTTATACAATACTTCAGTTAATTAGTCATGACAAAAAATCCATGATAACTTACTTTTAGATACATTATTTTAGTCTGTGTTGTGTCTTACAAAGAGTATACAAACAAACGATTGAGTGTATACATGGAAACATTTCAAACAAAATATGGAATTAAAATCTGAGGAACAACAGATATGTTAGACCACTAACTAAAAAAAGGAATGGTGAAAGTCCACAACACAATGATTTATTTGAAGTTTTCTAGAATGATGTGAAAACAACATATGACATATTACAATATGTAAAAAAAATGTTTTATTTTAAAATACTTGATAGTGATAAACATCAGTAATATATTAAGTAAGTTTTAATTTGAAAAATTGTAATTAATTAATAGGTATTATACCCCATGAGTACCCATATTGTTTAATTAATAAAACAATTATAAGTTAACATAGCTAACCATAACTGATTTGTATACATGATAAAAGAAAATTATGTATTAGATATTTTAAATTGAATATTAATAAAAACCACTTAAGTATTAGATATTAATGTTAATATTTTGTAATATTACTTTACAATTCTAAATTATTTTGTAATTTGTTTAGTATGAAGTTATTAATATATTATAAACTTTATAACTTAACTGTTAGTAAGAACTAAAGCTTTACAATGATTAATTTGTGCAAGTATTCCCAGTGCAGTTAATTATTTTTCACCAGAAAATGCAAAAAACAGGATATTCACCAGGGCTACATATTCCGCCGATTGTGTGACTCCTAGGTGAGGCTATATATGCTAGACCCAAAACTGAAGATGTCTTGGTTTTGAATGTTTGATGCGTAAACAGATGGGCTAAGCAATAGTCGGAAACATCTTTTGATTTAGAAAATTCCTAATATTTTTTTATTTAGATAATACACACATTATCTCTGAAAGTATTAACTTTTTTTGAAATTATTTTTGGGCAATTTATAAAACAACAATGTTACATTATAGTTATATTTTGGGTCACTCATATTTTTGATGGTAAAACCACTACCCACTTTAGATTTTTAAGTAACAACCTTATTCAAAATTCTATACATTGATGAATTTTTATTCAAAATACATTTTGGTATTGTAATTTTTAATTTCCGTTAACTCGTTGAGAAGATATCCCACTTTTAAGTATGACTAAGGGGAGAATAGTGGAATATCTCGTAAATGGGTTGACTATAATTTAAAAGTTCTACACCCAAATGTATTTTAACTATATTCATCTTTGTATGGAATTTTTAATATAGGTTGTAATTTTAAAATCAAAAGTGATTTCACCTCTAAAAATAAGGGTGATAAAAAGTAATATTCTAGAGCTACTTGTTTCTTAAGTTGTTAAAAAAAATTAATACTCTCAGAGATGATGAGAGTCTTTTCGAGGTTTGACCATACATAAAATGATTGCTATATTTAATTATATTATACTGTTTATGACATAGACAGTTCTGAAAATAAAATGGAAGAAGTGAGAATGATTAAAATAAAAAACCAACAAAATAAGTTTAATGTACTGCCTCATATTTTATCATAGTTTTAATATTATTTTGCATCTCCTAATGAAATAAAACAATTCAAATAAATTATAGAGCTAATCAATTAATTTTTTAAACACATATTATGCATTACATATTAATGAAGAGACATTGAAATAATATAAAATTTACTATTTGTCATCAAATTATATGCATGTAACAATACATATTATAAGGAACCATGTGAAAGATCATTTTCATATTTAAGAATACTTAAAAATGAACTATGAACTATAAATAGTTTAGCAGTATTACAAATTCCCAAAGAAAGAAGTTTAAGTCACAAAACATTATAGACAAATTCATTGCAAACTTATGTAACACTTGAAACCATTAACAATATTGTGTATTATGATTTTTCAAATATTAATAACTGTCAGTGATGTAGGAGGGTAAAAATATTTCATTGCATTTATGTTACTGTATAATTGTGATGAGTAAATCAAAAAATAGAAGAAAAAAAGTATAGAAGATAAAGTGAATACATAAGTGACCAACTCTACAAACTTGAAAAGAAGACAAACAATAAAAAAACGTACATATTCATATACACAATAGTAATACTAGTACCTGTAATCAATTAGTTTAAATTATAATAATTAGGATTTGAAAGTTGATGACCTAAAAAAAAAAAGCAAATTTAATATTAATTTAAACATATAAAAAATATCTTATACAATTAAATATTAATAACTGTCAAAATTACAATAAATAACCTTAAATATGGAAATTAAAAAAAAATTACATGATTTAAATACATTATTTATGTTTGAGTTATGTAATTATAATTGTACAAATGATAATTTATAATTTAGTATAATTCAAAAATAAAAATAAAATTGAATTAACTACTCGAAAACAGAAAGTCTATAAAATTTACCAAAAATGTAAAAACACACTGAATAAAATTTAGCCATATAAATTTGTAAATTATTAGAAACACAACCTTAGTAATCAATGGTGTAAATAATAATAATAAAATGATAGTCATCAACTTTTGACCCATAATAATAATGAATATCTAAAATAAAAATACCTCAAGTAGTGATCGGACATCCCACTTTTCTCTAACCATGTTATAATGATCTTCTGAACTTCTTACTTTAGTTGGATCACTATGAACTGTTATTTTCTTAATAACAAAACCCATACCACGAAAACCATCAGACTCTTGTCGTTCCAACCACAAAGTATCATTATAAATTTTATGTACACGATCAATTAGGCTTATCTAAAGAGATAGATGTATATTAAATAAATTATAATTTGTTAATTTTTACAAAATATAAGTATACAATCTATACTATAGATTGTCTTAAGAGCCCTCATTAATTTATATTCTATTTTCTCAAGTAACTTTAGATTGGTAAATCCTTTTCGAAATATTATAGATTACAAATTATAATATAAACATTCATATTGACTTATACTGATACATTTATAATGGGTAGGTACAATTTAAATAATAACAGTAATTATTTTTAAGTTTTAAAAATCTATATAAGGTACTTTTTGAAAAAAGCTTAAGGACAAAAACAAATAATTGAAAATCTGTACAGCTGAATTTCTTAAATAACTTAATAATAATATACTTACTAAATAATTGATAGTTGTTTTTGTGTCACCTCCGCCCATTTCTCTAAAAAATCTATAATCAGCAACTAAAAGTAATGGACAACGTGTTCTTGTTGGTGTTATCATATAATCATACGAATCAACATCACGTTTAGACCGTGTAATTGAATTTGAATTATCATCATCTTCATCCACAGTTTCTACCTCTGAAAAATATTATATTAAGAATATATCAAACTAAAATCTTTAATAATAGAAACCGGCATCTTCTTTAACATAAGCACAAGGTTTATGCTGTTTTAGATCTGAATGTTCCCAACTTAAGCGTACATCAGAAGCTTTATAAGATACCATAGTTTTATTATCTTTATCAGACATATGTCTCCAAGAGGGCTAAAAAAATATATAATATACACATTCAAAGATATTTAAAAGTAAAGTATTTTTAATTACTTCTATATGATAAGTTTCTCCGGGAACATCAATAATAGCTGTCATTACACCTTCATCTAAATGTACACTAGCATGTGAACTTTTTTCTCCAAATACTCGACCATCATAAAAGTGATCATGATCTGAAAAAAAGAATACATAATTAGTATTTAATACATTTATCATAACTTTTGGATACAAAATTTAATTTAAGTGTTTGTAAATTGTTATGAAACATATTTTTACTTCAGTTATGGGTACAATTCTGTAATTTAAACAAACCAACTGCTATTGGAGTTTCATTTCCTTCAGCATCTATACTTGTAGCTTCAAATTGATGATGTAATAGTCCTTTTTTTGGTGTTAAAATTAATCGAAAATCTCTAAAAATGGAAATGATACTATAAATATATACTTTTGCTTTCAAGCAGTCTCTTATAATACTTGTAAAGGCTTAATACGTAAACCATTAAATTACCTTCCTAAAGTAGTAAATGATACTTCTTTAACTTTATTTAATGGATGTGGACTATCAGTAGTTCCGCGTTTGACTATGTTATGAGAAAAGTCTGAAGCACGCAAAGTTTCAAAATGCACAATGTTTTTATGAATTGAACCTAAATAACAATATTTGTTCTAATGAGTTAATTAAAATAAATCAAAATATAATTCATAACATACTTTGAACGTTTCCAGTTATAAATAATAAGAGGAAAATTTGATTTAGTTTTTTCATGATTTAAGATTTAGTATTTTATATAATTATATATATAATCATTACTCATATATTAATCACACATTATTATAAAATTAAAGATGTTTTAAATTTAAAAAAGAACAAATGGTTACAATACGTGCTACTTCATAATAGATATTTAAATCTTTGAATCTGGGGTGAACTAAATGAAATACACCATTTTATAATATATTAAGTATTTAATCAATGATAGTTAAAAAAACACGTCCTTGGTCCTTAGAAAAAAAATATTTGCAATATTCGCATAATGGTATAATATTATTTGTATACTGTATTTGGTAAAAGTACCAAATGTGGTACCAGATGATTCTTATCAGGCATGCCGAATATTTATTTTGTCAAGGAATATATTTATGGAAGGAATGAATTAAATTCCTTATCACTTTATAATTTGGTATGTGTGTATTACTACATATTGTTGATATATTGATTTGTTACTAATTTTTATTTTTGGTAAATATGTACCTACTTAATGTATGAATAAACTTCAATCAAATACAATAAGTTACTCCTAAGTTCAATAGTACCTACTCATAACAGAATAACAAATAGAAAACAGAAATAGTAGTCAATTTGTTAGAACATCCAAACATGATAATGTAGAATATAACTATCTTATAATCCACTATTTAAGTTAAGGTAGTAGTTTCTATAAATTTAAATGCGTGGTTTAGGTAGGATTAAATTATTGTTAATTATAATTGTTTATAAAGAGCGAAAAATCAAAAGTGTATAAATTGGAAATGAGCTTACATACAGAATAGAATATAATATATTATTTAAACAATATAATATCACAGTAGGTACCCATTCAACATTGATACTAAAGAAACGAGATAGGAAACTAGGAAAGTTGATATTGTCGTATAATTACGAATTTGAATTGGTAGATACTATACATTTTATTAAATAATTATTAAACACAAATATATTTAATTATAAAATATGGATATTAATTATTAATTGATAAGGGATCAAATTCATTCTCGTTATAGCCTTTGATATAAATAAATATTTTCGTGATTCTGTCAATCCGGTAAATCAGCTGTTTATGCAGATAACATTTAATAATTACCTGAATACCCGGTGGCTGATATACGTTTTAAAATTCTGATAAGTGGTAATCTTATGATTTTTGATCAATTATTTAAAATAATGCACGTTTTAAATATGGGAATTTTAAACAAATTCAAATTTATTTTGAATTTCAACAAACAAATTCAATTTGAACCATTATTATATTATAAGAAATTATTTTCAACAAGTACTATTTCATATGGTAAGCAGTTAGCATATAATATGAAATTAATTTCTTCATCTAAAAAACTTACCTAAGGTAGGTATTTAAAACAATATTATTATGAGTAAATGCTATAATTTAAATTAATCATAGTTATACAGATGGTAAACTTATAACTTGTAAATATCATTGCCTATTTGAAATCATACACCATATATTTATTTATATGCCCATTTTCTTATAATGGGTACCATTAAACATAACTTGTTTTGTTAAGAAATTTAATGTAAGTGGTTTTTTTTATTGTCATTATTTAATTTAAACCAAAAACTGATTGGAAGTATTCAGACATATAATTCTGTATCTATTGTTTAAAAAAAAATGTATATAGGTAATGGTTTCTAATATTGAGTTGGTAAATAAATGACTGCGCATAAATTACTGTTATTTTCTCTATACTTAAATATTTAATAAGTTTTAATTTTCAATTATTTGAAGCTGTTATTATTAATGAATAACATATAGATGTATTATACACTTATCTAGTTTAAATGAACACTTGTATGTGTACACATATTTTATGTTTCAGATAGTATTAGTAATCAAAATGTTAAAGTATATAAACATCAGCATATTACATTAATATCGTTAAATAGGCCAGAAGAAAAGAATATATTAAATTTGGCAACAGTAGGTGACTTGAAAAAAGCTATTTTAAATTATGAAAATGATTGTTCATCTACAATTGCAGTTTTATATGGAGAAGGAGGATCATTCTGTGCTGGAATGGAACCTGAAGAGTTGGTCATAGAACAAATTTATCATGTACTTAATAATATTTTTTAAATTTTAATTTAAATTTAATTTAATATTTCATTTAAGGATCTTTTGCAAACACATTGCCATAAACCAATAATAGCTGCTGTTTCTGGTTTTGCATATGACATTGGCTTTGACTTGTGTTTATGGTGTGATATGCGCATTGTAGAAGAGAATACTATAATGGCAATTAATAGAAAATCAGACAAATCTAAATCAAACATATTTCTTAAAAGGCTTTTATCAACTGTTGGTTATTCAAGAACTATGGATTTATTTTTGACTGGTAGAGATATAAATTCTAAAGAAGCTTTTGAATGTGGACTTGCAAATCGAATAGTTGCTTGTGGATCAAGTATGTAAATTTTACATTTTTAATTGAACTATTAATACAATTATCAATATAAATGTGTAATATATGCTTATTTTTACAATAGGTGTGGGTCAAGCAGTAAATATGGCATTTAATATTGGTAAATTTCCACAACAGGCTATTATCCATGAAAGAAATGTAATACATGAAATTATATCAAAATAATATTTTAGTTGATACTATTTTTACTATTAATTAATGTATATTTATCTATCAAATGTATTGGTCTAGTTTATAATAAATCTAAATTATCATATACAAGAAATGATTCTTAGGGAATCTCAGAAATTAATATAAAATGTTCATTGTTTGTCAAATATTCTTTTTTAGTTAATCAGAAATTTTAAAATATTATTTATTAAACATTTGTTAAAATTATTAATCTAAAAAATAATTTTTTTAAAATATTGAGATAAATACTTTTTTTATTATAATATTTGAATATTTTAAATTCAAACATATTTTTTGTAAATTTGAAAAAAAAAAATTTTTCTAAGAGAAACAATGTTTATCAAACCATAATTTAGATCGGGGTGAAGTTGGAGAACTTACGGTCGCAGGCTAGTTTCGGCCTATTAAGCTTTTCAAATTGGATCACCAAGTTAACTGATGTTCTGAAAATATTTTGATCCTCACATTAATTTTTTACTAAAAGAGAAATAATAATGTTATAAATAATAAAATTCGCAGTTTTTGGTTAGGTGTGTCATTCTTAATAACTATATATTATATTTTATATATATATACATTATATTTTCCATATAGCTTATACTTTATAGCTATTGTATAGTCCATGGTTAAATAACATGGTATGACAGCAACTGTTTACTGCACATGATGACTACGTCATCCGGTCTCAGTAAAAAGGCAAAATTAAATATGGTAAAGTGATAAATTAAATTTATCACTTATCAGATCTGTGTCTCGCTCTCTCAGTACAAACTAGGAACACAATATTGTACTTCACTATTATCCTTTTAGTTATACTACTATTTATTAGGACATTACAACTTTATAATTGTTGTACAAATGTAGGAACGTGGGATGAATAAGGCCTATAATTATGATTTTAAAAAGTTCTGAAAAACCTTGTCTTCCTCTAATACTAAAAAATCATTATCTGCTGCACAAAAAGATAGTTCTTTGGTTTAAAGGCGTTTGAAGAATTCAGACTCTTGGACAATTGATGCTAATAAACATTGAGTATTGATTAACCTATTGTTCACCTATTGATCTTCAATATTTCTATTCTGTGAAAGTGCAAGTACCATTTTAGACTGTAAAAAATAGAGGACCATGTTAAATTATAAATTTATTTATATTTTATTTATCCAATTTTTTTAAAAATCAAGTGGGGATAAGTGTGTATTTACACCGGATATAACTTTTAAATAGCTCAAACAATTTTCAAAAATATCTTGATTCAAATGTCTTGGTATTATGTAACTTATATCAGGATATTTTAATTTCAAATCAATCAAAAGATTTTTTAATGATTGGTTACTGTATAAAATTGTTTAAATGTGTACAATTTTAGAAATTCAATAACAATTTATAATAGAACTATTATAGTAAAGTACATGACACTCAAATTTGAAATAATTATTTGGTATTCAAACCAAATATTTTTCACCTTTTTGAAATGGTAACAATGTTTTATGTTCAACTCTCATCTCTAAAAAAACATTATTTTTTTTTATATTAAAAAATAATAATAAACCAAATTTTTTGATGGTGCAGCATCAGGTTTAAGTTTTCATTGATGTTTAGGAGAATATTCTAACATTCTTTGGATCAACAGTTTTTCATAATCAAATAAATCAAAATGTAATGAACATACTCCTGCTATAACGTTTACGAAAATTTTAGCTAAATTAAAAAAATTATATACTTAAATAACAAATTAATCTATAATTATTGATTACTATATAGCCAGGTAGGCGTATAATATATAACCATATTTGGACTGTAAACTTTTTCTCTTAGTAAACTTGTTCCAAAGTATCGAACATAGACCCTTTTCTGAAAGGTTTAGTTCAGTGTTTCTCAAAATGGGTGATATCGGGAGCAATAGAAGTTAAAAGCTTAATTGGAGGTATTGGATTGCAAAACTGGGCGGTAAGTGTTTCAATTTTTTTCTACATTATGTAACATAAATTATTGTACATACGTATTTTGTATATTTTTGGAATAGTCGTCTGTTGAATTCAGTCGTTATCATGATAACATTTATATTTTGGAGTGGCCTATATTATCTGAATTCAATTTGTCTTTAGTATACTCGAGGATGCCGACTATGTTAGTTTTTATTGGTTTTATAATAATTGTAGTATTTTTCATATATAATTGTATGCATCATAGCTAAAACGAAACAAAAATGTAGGTAGTATAATATTGATCATTTGAAGTACGGTTTCATTCAATATCAATCCACTACAAATGTAGCTATAAAACCGTCAAGACTGCATAGCTAAGACTGCATGCTAATAAAAAAAGGATATTTTGTTTTCTTCTAGCAAAACACCAGATACATCCATCTCATTAGGATACCTATTTTTATTTATACTTGTACAATATACATTATGCAATATTATAATAAGACATATACTTCTATTTTATAAACAATAAATTACTTTTCCGTTGCATACTTTTGTACCAATACATTTTTCTTATGGGGGGCGTGTCAGATTTTTTTTTCCACGGTAGTTTGGGAACCACTGGTCTAGTTTGTATTTTAGAGAGGTCATTTTTTGTATTTTTTCAGAAGTTTCCTCATCAATTTTGAAAAATGGAAAATAAAGGAAATGTAGATACTTATTAATTAAAATATATTACGATTTTTTTTTCTAGGCACAATTTTTCAACCAGCAATTTCGCTCCAATTTTTATGACAGCAATGTTTCTAAAAGGAAATCTGACTAGTAAAGTACATTAGAGAGGTCATTTTTCGATTTTCTCAAGAGTTTTCCCATCAAATGTGAAAAAACGTGGGAACACCAGGAAAAGCGTAGGAAAACCTGGAAAATCGGTACAACATTAAACAAATATTAAAAAATAAAATATGTAAAGCCTATTTAATTATTTAACTATAATATGGCATGTATATTATTCACAAAGCATCACTATCAACTGAACTTTGCTCAGAATTGTCATTTTTGTAAGCAATGGTTTATCGTTGTTTACAGGTATTCATTAAATTATCTTCATATAACAGTAGATGCACCCGTTCCCATTATCCTCGGACGTTTTTTTTTCCACTAAGGTTTGATAGTATGGGGCAGTTGTACAGATAATGTATTAAAACCTTCAGTGCTCGAATTGAGAGAAATTAAGTACATGAGCTCAATCCAACGATTTAAAAACTGCGTTTCAAGTGCACAATCACTTAACACAAGCTCGCACCTGACCCCCCTCCTTGTTCCACTTTACTAGTATTTTAAATACCACTTTTCACCTACAAATATTAAAATTTTACCATTTTTTTTTTCGTTGTCGCTTTTCTGCAGATAATGTATGTAACCACCATGGAGTAATTACTCATGGTAACCACATGGTCAAAAGTTTAGTTAAATAAATATCAATATACCTACCATATGGCAAAATAATATAGGTCCATAGAAAAGATACTAATATCAAACTAATGTCAAAAATAATTTTGAAATAAAAAATAATAAAATTCGTTATATAATTGACAACAATTGAAATACACATTTTAATAAAAATTATTTCGGACATTAGTTTGTGCCATTTCAGTAAAAACTAATTGTTGAAGCACGCAAAAAAATTAAAAAAAAATAGTAGAGCAGTTCCGTCTCGTTGCGCCCCCCCCCCCCCAATTCGAGCACTAAATACCTCTTGAAATACAACAAAACCAAGTAATAAGAATTTGTCTAAACAAAAAAAGATCTAAAAGGCTCCACAGTATCTAATTATAAAGAACTAAATATATTACCAGTTAGGCTCTTGTAGAAATTTGCTATATTAAACATATCTAAAAAAAAATTAGCTTTAAACATGAAATTAAGCGTGGAAATAGAGATTATGATGTTCAAGTGGGATACACAAAAATAATATTAATAAAAAGTCTAAATATGTAATAAATAACAATTCTATTGTAATCTGGATGTTAGATGAACTTTACTCTAGTACAGCACTGTACTCTATTTACTAATTTTAATATAAGCTTTAAAATAAATTATGGATTTTTAAAGGTTCAGATTTCCAATTTCTAGTTTTTTATGCGCTCCCGTTTACTTCAAATACATTCGTAAAAAAATAATACAAATTGCTTACAAATAGCCACTTCTTAATTATTGTATTTTATGAAATGGTGTATTTAAGGTCTTCCCTTACCCCTTAATCGGATATCTATATGTTGTAGTCAGATTTGTACATTCCAGACTTAAATAGTTCAGTTTTGTAACGGTCCAGATTTTTACGTTTTCAAAATTTTATTTTTCTAGATATGTACCGTCCAGATTTTTACGCGCTGATTTCATTATAATAGTTTCATGGTTTAATCACCTTATACCGCTGATGGGTGCACCAACGCCACTGTTTTGGGCGGGAAGTTGGGAACAGGGAAGGTAGGATACATAAAATTATTTTATTCATATCTGTAACGATAAAGCATTGTTATCGAAAAACGATTCTGAGCGAAGTTTGTTTACATGTGATTTGAAAAGCTATAATATTTATGATTTTCATCAAAATTCAATCTCAAAACCATTTGAAAAAATAATAATAAAACCATTAAACTGGGGACACACAATTATCACGTCACGTGAGCTCACGTCCTAGTTCGGGAACTCACGTCACATCACGTCACACGAGGAATATGTGAAACCTATTAATACATTCTGTTTTAATGTATTAGAAACAAATTATCCCCCTCACGTGATTTTGTAATATTTCATTGTGCCTCACGTGATATCACGTTTTATTCTGGATTTTGAATTTTGGATGGACAAATGAAAATAGACGTATGTATTTTGTGTTATTTTGTAATACATTTAAATGCGTACCTCAGACAAATTCCTAATTTTTCTCGCGAAAGTATTGCTTTTCTAAATTGTGTGTTTTATTTATGTATGTTATCTTTGATCAGTTTATGGAGGTATTCAAATTTGTCTTTTTTCATTCTAAATTACATGTGAAATCTATGACTATCTTTATTTAACTCTTGCACCAATCGATTGAATTCATCAAGTGCTTCCCGTCTTTTATAAGTTTTGTGAACCTATTCTGGCCTTTTTTTATTTTGTTCACTTATAATGATAAAAACGGCAGCATTTTCTAAGTCGTTTTCCCAATCTGAAGAACTAGTTGAAGTAACAATCCATCTTGATTGAAAATGCATTGAGTGATGTGATGTGATAGCGTGATATTAGTGTGATTATTTTTATGTATACCTATTCACGTGATGTGACGTAACATGAGTTACAAAATAAAACGTGAGTTCACGTGACGTGATAATAGTGTGTTTACACCTTTTCCTTCACGACTCATTCTACTAAAACTCCTGTGTAAAAAGTGTATATGTACTTTTAATAAGGAATACTTACAGCCACAGATACACGATGTACATAGAGAAATGTATCTCGTGAGAGAAATTATTTCTATCATGGCAGAAACCACATCCTTAGACTATCATGGTAGAAACTTTCTTGAGAATTTAGACTAATTTTAGGTTAGATTATGATTAGAATAATGACATTTTAAATTTTTCAATCAGTAAATTCTATTTATATTATGAAATTATGGTTTTTAATTTTTATGACAAATCAAGATAGGCCATCTTGTTATTATGTAGTGATAAAGATTATTTATTTAACTTACAGTACTTATTCTATTCTGTGTATATACGTTGGTTTTATTTTTGAATTACAATTTTTTTCCATGGTCATCCATCCATAGTTAATATAAAACTATTTAGTATTTACATTGACAAGTAAAGTACAATTTCATTGATTTTCAGTAATATTTAATTGTTTTTGGAAGATTGATTATTCTATTTAGTAGTATTTGCAATGTTATTTTATGTTTAGTTCACAATATAAATACTTAAGTGTACCTATTCTACAAAAAATGTTTTATTACAGGTGAAGACTACAACAAGACTTGCATTAATCATTATTTTATATATATTTCACAGTTATGGATTCATATGATATTGTTGGTGTGCTTGGACGTGGTGCCTTTGGGTATGTTTTATTGATAATAATATTCATAATCACAGCATTAAATTAATTATAACCCTTAATAATTGACAGAGCTGGATTAAATATGGAATAAATAGACTATAGCCTCTGAACAAATTTTTTTTTGTAATTTTTCTAAAATTACTTCATTTATAGAACAATATACTAACAATTAAACAAACAATTAAAAACAAAAAAACTTTATGTAAACATTAGTACTTAAAAACTACTAAATTAGTTAATAAATATAAATTAGATATATAACAGCCCAGCAAGAAAAATTACAAAACTAAAAAATGCTGTAGTTGAGAAATAGCTAGGTTAGGACTCTAAGACACTGTTCTTGCCATAGTGAACATGAATAGTTAGTTTAATTGTAAAATTGACACAAATGTTCTATTTCGGTTCATTTGTGAGTTAGAGATTTGACATTTTTTCTGAATTTAATGTCACACAATACTTATTTATTACTTAAATAACATAAAATTATAATTTTAAGTTGTCATTTTTCTGACTGGTGTTATATATATATGTATAAGTAATATATTTATTTATTGCAAAATTATTGCATCTAAAAATGATTTAACCCTGGATCACTAATTTATTTAATCCGGCTCTGATAATTTGAGAATAATTATTAATTAAATAATTTTAATTTATAAATATTCATTTTTAGAGTTGTTGAACTAGTTCGGGACTTTAATTTAAAAAAATTAGTCGTTATGAAAACTATACACATAAAGTCTATATCAACAGAAGATGTAAAGGTATAAAATAAATTGGTATAAATCATTTAAATTTATTCGTTTTAACACATCTCTTCTGAATGTTTTTTTTTTTTTAGGAAGCAATCAAAGAGACGCAAATTCTTCAAATGCTAAACCATCCAAACATTATTAGATATTATAATAGTTTTCAAAATAACCAAAGTTTTCACATTATAATGGAGTATGCAACACACGGAACCCTAGAAAATTTTGTTTATAAATGTTCTTTATCTTCAAATCATATTGTCCAAAATGTATCTGTTAATTTTTGAGTAACTATTTAAAGCTTATTTCTATTAATTCATGTTTTAAATTTGTCTAGTGCGTTTTAAATATATTCAGCCAGTTGACAACGGCTGTGGACTACCTTCATAAAATAAAGATTATACATCGTGATATTAATCCAATGAATATTTTACTAACAGGAAGTCAAGGTACAGTAGTAAAACTTGGTGATTTTGGTGCTTCTCACATATTAACTAGGTAAATAGTGTCTGATAAATATTTAACTTAGGATCATCCTAATTTATACATTTTATATTTAGTGACAAAGTAGTAAATGGAAATTATTGTACACCATGTTATATGTCTCCAGAACAGTGCTGTGGGAAGTATTTAAGATTAAAAAGTGATATATGGCAAATTGGTTGTGTTTTATATTATTTAATTACCATGAAACATCCTTTTTATGGCCAAGTAAAAATTAATTGGTGTTACTATATTATGGTTTTTTATATAAATTGGTTTATTGAATTTAACTATTTTTTTATTTTTTTTTTAATTATATAAAGAGTTTAGCAGACACAGTTTCGAGTATTATGGAAGGAGTTTTGCATCCATCAGTTAATTTTAATTATTATGACAATGACATAATTAAACTTTTATATGAATTATTGAATCGCGATCCAACAAGTCGACCTAATGCATCAGCTATACTTTCACATCCATTTATACTACCATATATATTAAACGGCAATTGCCATTGGTTTAAATCAAATAGAAGAGTTTTAAAATAAACAGTGATTTTATATGACGCAAATATTCTTACAATTGATATTAAAAATAATATTGTGCTTTTAAAAACCTTATTGTTTAAGACATATAGTTAAAAATTTAACCACTAAAATTGAGAATTGATTTATATTTATTTTATTATTTACCCACATTAATAAAATTTTCATTAATTAATTTCAAATGTTTTTAAATTTATTTGTATTTTTTTGTAAATTTGTGTTTATTGAAAACTATATAGTATGTAAAAATTAATATTATGTTTTAATGTCAATAAATTTTTGTGAAGATTTGTTTTTAAAAAATAATGACAATAGATTAAAATTTGATTTGTACACTATTTAGTTTCACCTTGATAAAAAACAAATATATATATATTGGTAATTACAATTTAACAACTCTGCCATATTTTTTTTTGTAATGTTATGATTATTATTTATGTTATATAAAATATTAATAAATTACATGATTTATAATAATCCAATTTATAAAATGGTTAATAATTTAAAGGATTACAAAACATAACATAATATTTCAATTTCATATTGAAGTATGTCAAATTCTAAACAAATATATAGGTCAAAATAATTTACTACGCTGAATTTAATGGTTATTTTATTTTTATTTATTAACACCCTAAAGGGTAAAGTATAAAGTGTACATTGTATTCAATTTTAAATAAATGCTGTGACTTAATTACAATGAAACTTAAAACTAGATAGGTAAACCATAAACCTGCCACAATTGGCATTATGAGGATCTAAATGATAATTGATTATTAGTTAGTGTGGTTAAAAGGTCAAGTATTTTAAAATATGTATGCATAACCATAAAACCAAAAAAAGTTATTTATCTTATTTGAAAACTAGATTTTTCCTTTTATTGCTATTAATTGATAATACTTTATGTTTTTGCTGTAGACATATTTTACATTCACTTGAAGACTGATGTATGCAGTCGACCTGCTTAACTGATAAGTTATTTGTTATTTTCCATATATAACATAATGACTAAAAGGTTTTTTTTTTTTTTGTGGTGGGTGTATAATTATGTTGTTACTTGTTACCTAACCTGCCAGGCTGGTCTATCAAGACTTTAAAGGGCTTGTATTGGTAAATTTCTCCAAATGAACGAGAAATTCATACAAAAAAATAAATGATGTAAAATGATATCAATGTGACATTCATAAGTTCAAAATTGAATTCAATTTTTTTATATGTTTTGAATAAATACAAAAACTTTTTCTTTAGTAACAAAATTAAATTAACGAAAAAATGACATACACACTGGAGTGAAAACTGCAAAAACATATCTCAAGTCAACATGTTAATATGAATATTTAATAATGTTAAAGAATTTAAAAAAATAAAATCAAAATCCACAAGTTTATATATGGAGGAGAGTTGAAGACATAAAGGGTTATTAGTGGTATAATTGTCTTTATTTGGTGGTATTTTGTATAAGGCATTATGCAATTATAATGCCTTACTCAGTGCAGGTAACTGTGGATATTGAAATATATATTTGGAATAAAAATCTCCCAAGGAATGATGTTCGGGGAAAAAAAAACTCAATCAAAAAACAAAACTCCAACCCATGTAATTTTTTTTTCTCAATCAACTCAATATTAGCTGATTATAATATTGAAAATAGTCCATTTGTCCGACTTGGGTAAGTTTTGGGAAGAAAATCACCTAGTTATATATACAATATACTAGCTATCCTGATTAACCTTACCAGTGCCAACTGAATTTCCTTTTTTTGAACATTTATAATGAGATTTTATTAATAATTAAAATTAACAAAACAAATCCAATTTAACATTTTATCTAACTTGAATTTCCAACCCCCCCCCCCCAATCAAAGTTAAACATTGAACTGTATTTCTTTGCTAGTGAAAAAAAATGTTAATCATTGCTTTTTGGTATTTTATTAATTATTTAAAAGGCCAATTTATTGCCAGTGACAGTCAAATTAATTATTAATAATAATTATTTTTTCATTCATATCATTATTGTAACCCATAAATCAATACAATTAATTTAATTTTTGTACCAAAAAACCCTGTGTGTAGCTCTTTTTTGGGGATATTGTGGATTAAAAGTAGCTGATGTCCTTCAACAGATCTTGCTGTATCAATTGACACAAACTTTAGAAAAATCAGTTAAAGGTTATTTCTGAAAATTTAACCATAATATTAGTAGTTTTTTTTCTTTTATGTAAGATAAACTAGAAATTGACAAAAATTTAACTGGATGCTGGTATTACAGACAAATATGTTTTGGCCTCCACTAAAATAATTTTTTTAAATATCACCTAGCCTATGTAATTCGGGGTACTGTAACAATATCCAAATCCGTTAAGCTATAATTTGGCGGTATTAATAATATGTATAACATTGTCCAACATTGTTTGAACTGTTTGCTAATATATTTTGGTATCCACTGAAGTCAGTTAGTAACAGTCAGAATAAAAGTGTATCAAAATAATATTTTTATAATCAATAGGTCTTATTAATAAATTAAACTACAATAAAATTGATTGAATATGTATTTTTACCAAAAACATAAAAATTTGGTAATAGTGTCATGGATATTTTCCATATTTTGTCCTCAGAAAGCCATTGAAAATTGACATATTAATCAATGATAATAGCAGTTGTCATAATACATGGGAGAGAGCTTAAAAAATAACTGATTAGGCATAGAAAATTACAGGAATTTAAATGACCAGGAACGATTATGAATATATAATTTAAGAAAATATTTCCCAGGAACGATAAAAATGAGTTAATTTAAATCAGTTTTGTATCATTTATTTCATGTTATTAACACAATTTAATTTTAAACCATAATTTTTAATAATACAAGAGACAACAATTAATAATTTTTATAGTCTAAAGAATGAAGGTTTATGTCTCAATTAACATCCACAAGTTCTTTTCTTTAAAAAGCTTTGATAAGAACATGGATCCTACCAGATATGTCCAAAGTTGGAACCATTCGATTTTCACATCAAATATAAACTGAAACACATAAAACTGATATGAATTTCCTGTGAATATGTTGCTAATTTTTATCATTCTTCTGATTTTTGTTCATAAATTAACTAAGGAAAATTATTACAGTAAAACATTAATCCAGTTTTTAACTTTCCTGATTCTGATGGCCTTCCAAATATGGTTTTCGTTATCCACAGAATTTTACGTCTGATACTAAATTGTAGAGCATAGATTAATAAATGATCACTGTAATTATTAAATACATATAGAATGAACATTTTTTTTTTTTGAAAAGGAAACACATACAACAGTCACAATGGTTGTAAACTATTATGTCCTTTAAACTTTTACAATATGGTCTTATTTAAATCATATTGTATTATATTATATCTATTTATTATTTAACCAGTCATAAATATTATCTTGTCATTTTATGTATAAATATAATATACTTTACCTGTAATAATCTCTATTAATACAGATTTGGTCCATGAGCTATTAATGTAAGAAATAGCCTAATAATAATATTAGTTTTCAACCATTGAACTAAAATGTTAGAATAAAATATATACACTTCTCAGCATAAAAACTTTATGAAATTTACCAAAGTATTAACTTAATTGTTAATCTTTCAATGATTTTGCAATTTTTTTAAATCCTGGGGGTAGCAAGGAATATATTGGTTTTACAAAAATATGTCCTTTTAGATTATTCTTTTGTATACACTGTTTTTTTTACTAAAAATCTAACTCTAACTAAAATTACTTTATTATTTGATTTGTATTAATAATATTATTAAATTATTAATTCATGATGAATCTCCTATTAAATTTTCAAGAATTTTTGTTTGGTCTAACAATTTTGTCCACAGAATAAGGGACTTGTTTTTGACCTAACCTATCTTAATGTTCGAATTCGATAACATATTTTAAAAGTTCGGTTCGATTTAACCTTAAAAATCAGGGCACGTAACATCTCTAATTAAAATACATTTAATTCATATTGTATTTAAAATAAATTAATGAATGAATATAGGATTAAAAATTTATAAAATAATTGTATCATTATTACTTATACAAGTGTAAAGTTTACACTGCTTATAGTAATATGGAAGAACAAAGTTTAATAGTAAATAATTAATAGAAAATTAATACTTTAATTAATTAAAGTATTAATTATACAAAAAGACCAATAGTGTATGTATCTGCTGTTATCGTTTTATTAACTGATACAGTTTTAAATATAATTTTTAAGTTATAACCAAACTTTCTGGCTTATTATATAAAATAGTGGAGAATCAGTATTGGACCATTACTGTTCCATTGGTTCTGTTGCTTCATTATCATCATCATCAAATTCTTCAATATTTTCTTCTAATACAATACATAGTATCATTAAACGATTTTAACAAATGTACTTTTTATTTATTTACTAACCTTCGTTTTGTGCACCAGGCTTTTTCTTTTGACCTTTATTAGGAATTTGTCCAGCTTGAAGCAACTTGGTTAAATGTTCAACTTCTTCTAATGATGTTGCTTCAGATATTGCCTTTCTAATTCTCCACATTTCTTCATGGGTGTGACCTTAATAAATAAAAAAATAATAATAACAATTTCCTTAGTTTTTAATTATAATAATTGGATATTAATTAAGAAATATTAATAAATTAATTTTAAGCAATAATTAAGCATTCAAGTAATATGTGTATATTTAAACAAAATATGTTCAACTCTATTAATCATTTTATTCTCTAATTTTGTATCCACTTAACTATTTTATTTACCTATGTAAATATATATTAGTTTCATTCAATTAAAAATAAATAAAGTAAGTTAACTACATTGCACCCCTTGATATACAAGGTGCTCCATGTAGATATTGATCATTACAATATCTTGAAAAGTATTAACATTTTTCGAAATTTTGATTTTGACAATTTCAAAATAAGTAGCTTTAAAATGTTACATTAAAAATTCCATACATAAAGTATTCATTTAAATACATTTTAGTGTTGATATTTTTGATTTTCATCAACCCATTGAGAAGATATTCAAATTTTAAATATGCATAGCTTGATATGGGGACAGTTGGGGAAAATTATTCAAACACTATGTGCTGTGCTCCCATATAAATTATGCTCCACTACTATCTTCTTACTCAATCTTAAAAGTGGAATATACCATAAATAGGTTTATTAAAATCAAAAATCCTAATACCAAAATGTATTTAAATTAGTGCTCCCTGATTTTTTAAATATAAATTGTCAATTTAAAACCAAAAGTAGGTATTCAGTTCACCCCAAAAAATAATGGTAATGTAACATTTCAAAATTAGTTTTCTTAAATTGTAAAAAAAAAAAATTAAGAAAAAAGTTAATTCTTTCCAGGATATCACAATAATTTTATATTTTCATTATACCTTTCATAGTTAACATTTTAAAAATATACAAATTATTGAAAAGCTTATTTAAGATGGAAAATATTAGTTTAAACAATGTACATATAATAATAGTAGCGTTTATGACGTGTTAACTATAAATGTATTATTATAAAACTTATTTGGCCATAAACTAAAATACAATCATAAATAACATTTGGTAACTATATATATTGATATATATATTATTGAATTAATCAACTGTAAAACAAATATGAGTAGAAACTAAATACAATTAATTATTACCGTTTGCTCTTCTATTTTCCAAGCCTTCTCCAGGGACAAATTGATTAGACTTCTTAACTAATTTCTTTTTAAGTTCTTTTCCTTCTTTTCCTTTGAATAATGCTTTAGCTGCTTCGTATTCCTATAATATAAATCAATTTATTATGTATTGTTATCATTACTTAGTTAACTAATAAATAAGGTCATACCTTCAATTTAATTTTCCTGAAATCTAAAATCCGAACTTGAGGAATCTTATGTGCCACATAAAGTCTATAATGTTCTTTTGATGCAACTGGATTATGCAAGAGACTTAACATTTTTAGTTTGGGAAGTGAAGCAAGAGGATCTAAATCTCCAAGTTCTTGAATTTGATTACCTGTGAGTATTAAAGATTCAAGATTTGGCAGACATTGATCTAAGTTATCAGCTATACGACTGCAAATAATATAAAAAATATTTATAAGGTTTTTTTTTTTTTTAGTGTATTAGAGACTAACATATGAACATATATTTAATGTGTTACAGTAGTAGTATTAATGTGATCCTACTGTTATTTAAAGGTTTAAAAAAAAGAATATTTTTTTAAAAATAGATTGTGGAAAAGTACAGAGACAAGAAAAACCTATGTGTAATACTTTTATAGATTTAGAGAAGGTTTGTGACAGTGCTAAAAGAAGTTCTGACGTGGGCATTAATGCGGAAAGGAGTTCCAAGATTATATATTAGTTTGGTAGAGGATATATAAGAAGGTTCAAATACGAGTACAAGAAATGCACGTGGAATAATAATGGAAGATTTTTGGGTTAGAGTAGGTGGGCATCATCGTCTTGAACCCTTATCTATTTTTTGTTGTGCATGCTGTTTGCAGATGATATAGTTTTTATAGGAGAAAATCTGGAAAAAATTAACAATAGGCTTGAGGAATGGAGAATAGCACTTGAAGGAAAGGGACTAAAGATAAGTAGAAGTAAAACAGAGTATATATAGGTGTCCCACAAAAATATACTAATTGTAATATCTCCGGAGATCAGAAAGATCATCAATTTCTGTTATTTTTATATTACTTACAGAGATAAAGACTACAAATATATATATTTCAATTAGTTTTTTATATTTTGGGAAGAAGACTAAAAAATAACTTTTTATTTCATTTATTTGAATAAATATTACTATAATTATTTAATTATTTTAAAAAATTTGAAGATACCCTTTTTATAATTTATTATTATTAAAATGTAGATGTTTTAACTTTTTATTTTCATTAAATTTGAGATTTTTAATACTTTGTTTATGTTCAGAGAAAAGTATCTAAACTTATGCAGCAGGCTGTAATAGCATTCGTTAATTGATTATTATTATTATGGCTAATTGACTATACACTTCTTTTCTCAGAACTTTAAAAAATTATTAAAATTCACAAATTTAAAAAGTTAATACACACAAATTTCCTGAAAAATAATTTCTATAAAATTAAAATCTTCAAATTTTTCTAAAATAATAGAATAAAAAGTTATTATTTTAGGTTTTTATGAAAACATAAAAAATTGATTTAAATATAAATATCTTTATCCTTATCTCATAAAAAAAAAAAAATTGATTTTCTTTATTTTGAAAGTATTTAATTAATTGTGGATTAATGGATTAGCTAAGTGTGGTTGGATAAAATGGAGAGAAGTGTTAGATATTTTATGTAACAAGTGAATTTCAATCATTCTCAAAGGCAAGTTCTACAAAACTGTGGTGAGACTAACTATGTTGTATGGTTTAGAGTGTTAGTCAGTAGACAGAAAAATAGCATAGAGAGTGAGTGTAGCAGTGATTAAAATGCTAGGTGTAGAAGTGAATTAATAGTAGAATATTGGATAAGGAATGAGTACATAAGAAGTAGTTTAGGTGTGGCTTTGATTTTAGACAAAATGAGAGAAAATAGATTAAGATTGTTTGGGCATGTTATGAAAAGAGATAAATCAGGAGCAGTAAAACTTGTAATGAAAATAGACATAGAAGAAAATAGGGGAGAGGAAGACCAAAAAAGAGGCGGTTGAATACGAAGACAATGTGAGGGATTGGATCAAGTGGAAGTTTAGAACAAGGGTGGATGACCCCAAATAGTTGGGATGAAGGCGAAACATACCAAACATTTTAAATGTGTCACATATTAGAATGTTGAATATATATAACTACAATAGTATGATAACTATAGAAATAGTAAAAATAATTCCCCATTATTTAAAATTATTAAATTTGGATGAGATATACTGTCATTTTATTATAGATAAAAAATTTGTATCAATTTAATTGACCTTAGATAGAATAAATTTCAATCATTTTATTAACTTTTAGATTCAAAGAAAAGCAAAAGTATATTAATTATATCATGATATAAAATGTTGTTATCACGACGAAGAAATAGCTGGCAATTACCAATGCAGTTTTAAGAGAGGAAAATCCACTACAGACCATAGACTAAGACAGTGTCTAAATATTTTGAATTTGGAAAATACCTGCAACTAGTTTTTGTATGCAATTAAAGAAATGGGATTACACATAAATGAAAAAAAAACTAAATACGAAGATCGTCAAATATAGAATATTAATAATAAAAATATTATTAGTATTATTCATTTGAAAAAGTTGTTAAAAATATTAATAACAAAATCATCATGCAAATAGAAATAAATTTACAGAACAAGAATGGAAATAGATGCTATTTCAATACAATTAAAATTTTAAGATAAAAGCTGTTATCTAGAAGATCAAAGATAATATTAGGTTATAGCTACTTCTGACCTATAATAGAATATTATGCTTGTGAAACTTGGTCATTAACTAAAGGCAATAGTAGAAAATTAATCACATTTAAAAGAAAAGTCTTGAAAACAATATATAAACCATTTTTTTTACCTAGAAACTGGGATAAAAAAAAAGAAGCAATGAAGATTTTAAAAAGCTATATAATAGGCCAGACATCTTCTCTTTTATAAGGATCAAAAGCTTAGAATGGTTTAGGCACGCGTGGAGGTCAAATGGGTAGTTAATTAAAAATGTACTTATCAACAAAATAAATAAAGACCTCTAGGATGACCCAAAATTTGATAAATTTATGTAGTTGCCAAGCTTTATTAATGATAGACCAAAGCACATCCTTACAGATGCGTACCTGAGGGATAGATGGTGAGAGATTTTGATGGGAACGCGGGTCCTGAATGGACCATTCAGCTGAAGAAGAAGATATTGATTACACAAATAATTATTGCTTTTATAACAATATTTCAATAATATTGGAAAATAAGCTCAAAAAGCTTCATCCAGAAATGCTGAAGGTAACTGAAAAAATATTGATGCATGTTTTGAGAAAAAATACTGAAAATCAACTACAAAGTGTCAAAATTGTAATCTGAATTATACTCAGAATTGATGTTTAAATAGATATATATATTATTTTTGTCCTAATTTTGATTTTTTTTTGTTGCTCTTAAAAAGTGTATAAGTTTGAATAGACTGAGCAATTAATCTAAGTATTTAATACACCTATATTTAGAATGAGAAATGGAGGACTAAGCTCCTCTTCATACTTCCCCAAAAATTATGTGCTTAAATGCAGGTATTATTTAATACCTATTATTATTTTTAGTTTTTGGACCCACTGTAATTTCATTCGATTTTGCCAATATTTATAATTTTATTCTACCTATTCTGTACAAATTATTCAATGTTGAATACTTACACAATGGCGTTGTTATTAAATATTATATTTTTCAAACGTTTGAGGAATGCAAAACCGTCAATTTTTCTAATATCATTGTCTGAAAAGTCAATTGTATCAAACTGGTCAAGAGTTGCACCCATATTTTCTATTAACGGTATTTTATAACCTAAACATTTCGAATTATTAATTATTTTTTAAATAAGTCATAATTATTAACATATTATGTATATTTTATATAAATCTGTTGACAGAAAAATGTATTAAACACATTGTATTAGATTGCTTACCTCTTAAATCCAATTCTCTGTCTTTAACAGGATTTATGAATTGATATGAATTCATAATTAATTCCGTTGTAAGCTTAACCATGATTTTATTTTATAATAAAAATACAATAAATTTAATTTTAATTTTCGTATCTCTTTAAATAAAATTCACAAATTCTCCCGACGGGCAACAAACAACAAAAGTGACGCCAAATTGTAAACACAAAATATGGCAATTCAACCGGAGATTAGATAAGGAATAAAACTGTTTCAATAACCGCGGTTACTAATCTCCGGGAGGCTATAAAATCGTAATCAGTTTTTTATACAACAAAGTTAATATTCACTTCGTTGCTTGCTAGTAAAGTCGCCGCATTTGTCGTGTTATTTTTTCTTTCCAGTTATTCGTTGATTATTATTTTATATGTGTTCCATACATGTTAAATGTCTAAAACGTGTTTAATGGAATAGTAATTTAAGATTGTAGTTTTATGTATTTCACACTAACATCCACCTAGTATTCCGTTTGTGTTGTTGATTGGATTTGCGCAATAAGAATACAAAATCATGGCTAACGTGTCGTACCAAATTGCACATTTGCTTGAAAAAGTAAGTGCCTAAATTTTTTTGATATTGCATTATATTGTCTTTCATCGGTAAATACATAAAAATTCATATGTTCTTTTAGATGACTTCGAGTGATAAAGACTTCCGATTTATGGCTACCAATGATCTGATGTCAGAGTTGCAAAAAGATAGTATTAAACTTGATGATGATTCCGAACGTAAAGTGGTAAAAATGCTATTAAGATTGTTGGAAGACAAAAATGGAGAAGTTCAGAATCTTGCTGTTAAATGGTACATAACTAATAATTATATTTTTTTTGTATTTTTATAGGTATTTATGAGCTTTTAATTTTCACATTTAACTAAAATTACCAATATAATAAATACTATTAATTTTGTTTAATAGGCTAATAAGTGAATAAATAAATGTATACAAATGTCTGGATATTTCTAATATTTATTTAAATTGTATTTAATTATAGTTTGGGCCCGCTTGTTAATAAAGTTAAAGAAAACCAAGTTGAGACCATTGTAGATGCTCTTTGTACAAATATGATATCTGACAATGAACAGTTAAGAGATATTTGTAGCATAGGATTAAAGACTGTTATTAGTGAGCTTCCGATCACTAATACTCCATTAGCTGCAAATGTGTGTAGGAGAATTACTGGAAAACTAACCAGTGCTATTGAAAAAGTAATGTTATACTTAACTACTTTACTATGGTATAATATATTTTAACATAATCATATTATTTATAGCAAGACGTATCTGTACAGTTAGAAGCTTTAGACATACTTGCTGATTTATTGTCAAGGTTTGGATCGTTATTATTAGAATTTCACCAAGCCATTCTTAAATCATTATTACCTCAACTCACTTCTTCTCGGCAGGCAGTAAGGAAAAGGTAATCAATACAAAGTTATATGTTATTTTATAGGCCTATTGTACACAAAAAATTGTGTTAAGCAACTTGATTATTTTAATTTACATAAAACAATATAACAATGTGTATTAGTAAATTAATACAAATTTAAAACTTATAATAATCATGATATTAAAAATTTGTCTTAGTACACCTTCATATAAAGGCACTTCTAATAGTGTAGATTTTAAATGCTGTGTTCCGTGTTGAAGGATCACTGTAGGGTTAGATTAGGTTATGTGTGTCTGTGATCACTGTGAAAGCATTTATATTGCTCTGGCTTTTTTCATCGGTAATATTGCTAAGTAGCCCTCTTAATCATTTAACTCATTTAATATGCGGAAGTATCTTTTTCATAAAAAAAAATCTCTCACTTAATTTAACTAATGTGTAAACCATCCTAACAATATTGCATGTATAGCCATAGACCATAACTTACCTCTATCAATAGATACAAGTTTTATTTTGGACATGAGCTCTTAATCAATTAATCTATTCAATTATTATTCAATCAATTATTTCTATTTCCATCCACTAAAAAAAAAACTAAATATTTGCAATTATTTTTAAAGCTGAAAATACTAACGGAGACTATAAAATAGAGATAGCTTACTTGGGACATAAACTACGGTGAAATCAGTGTGACCACAAATCTGGCATACATTTTCACATTAATTTAAAAAATACAAATTTATGATCTAATATAAAAATAGTATCAATACCAAAAGTACAGTACTTTTATCGAAAGAAAAGTATCAATATTTTACTGGTATCGGTAATATCGAAATGTCCCTAGCTGTGGGCCACTGTTGAGCACTTAAGTTCCAGGTGAATTTATAACCAAAATCAAAAATAAATAAATACAATTTGTATAAGTATATTTTATTAAGTTGTGAAAATATTTAAACACTTAATTAATTTTGTGAAATAGTCTGACATGAAGGTGTTCATAATAAATAGCACCCATTTGAAAAGGTGTTGTCGGTGGCATGTATTTGTAATCTTTTTAGATCCTTGAATTCTTCTAACCTCTTTAGAATCTGCGCGTTGTATTATAATGACACCTATAAATTATTGTAATTCTGTTAGAATTATAATAGTTAAAATCTTATTTATTGCTATTTTATATAACCATTATGCAAGGGTAATTCTATGAATCTGGCTGGTGAATGTAGATTTGGAGCGCAGATAAATACTGATTGGTAAAAACACTAAGGCTAATTTGCCTAGGTTCATGATACCTACAATATTTCTGTGCTTTCTATTATATTTATCTAAGGGGAGGGAACAAATATTTAGTATTGTATTTTTAGAAAATGTATTAATGTGTACAGTATTCTGTAAGACATTCCGCTAGCATTCATCTCTATGTAACAGTCATTATTTCTGGCCCCTTTAGTGATCGTTATATGGAAGTTTTACCAGTGATGGATTTATTGGTTTTACTAGTGTTTTTTTTTAGTATGTAAGCAACTTTTTGAACGGAAAATTGGCTCCAATGTTTTATTTATAGCATCTTTTCGGATTTTATCTAGTTGGTGTATTTAAAATGTCATTTTTTAATTTTCCAATGGATTTTCTCAAAAAAATTATCAGAAAACCTTCAAATATTTACGGTGCACCTTCATTGGTTTTATGGTAAATGTACGTGCATTTTTTTTTTTACCAAAAATATTGATTCCATCAAAAAAACCACAAGAAACTTTTTTGATTGAATTTTGGATCTAAGTAAGTTATCTTTTGATTGATTTTTCAAGTAGTCTTCATAATATTTGGGAGAAGCTAGAAAAATACGATAATTTTACTGTATTATGTTTTTAAATTTTTACTCCTTAATGTTTTTACCAGAAATATTTCTCTAATAGAAAAATGACAAGAAACCTTGTGTGTTGTATTTTTAATCTAGTTGATGAGTAAGTAACTCGTTTTTTGATTTACTGTGTAATTTTTTTTTAATAATTGAGCAAAACAAATAAAAAAACCCCGGGAAAATGAATGGAAATAATGATTTTATTATTTTAAATTTTGTTTCTTTATTGTAATTCAGTTACAAATATCTGTAGAGGCTTGAAATTTTGATTGGAAACTTATATTTTCCTTTTAGTAAAATTTGTAAAATAGAACTACTTATAGTTATTTTAATTTTGAAGTTCTTGTTTAATTTTGTAGTTTTTTTTTTATTTGGTAATTACTGTGTAGATATAATTGCTTGATCAAATAGAAGTACTTGAAAATTTAACAGGAAGTTCATTATAAGTTGTATTTATTGGTAAAAAAAAGAAAGTAGAGTGTAATATAGTTCCAAGTTTAATGAAAATCCTAATTATTACAGGCCTTCAAATCATGGGTAAATGAACTTCGCTCAGAATCATTTTTGGTTAGCAATGGTTTATCGTTGCTTACATATATAAATTAAATAACTTTATGTATCCTACTTAACCAACTACCCATCTACAACAGTGGCACACCCATCAGCAGTTTCAGCGTATTTAAATTTAACATTAGTTCTTTTTCACTCTTTTGAAACCACTACCAAATTTTGATTTTAAAATAGCAATTGTAAAATAGAAATTAAAAATTACAGCATAGACATTTTTTAAACAATATTTTACCTATTTATGGCATTTTTAATAATGATTTAAATTTAAAAATAAAAAGTTAGTAATAATTATCACATAAAGATTAAAAAATTATTAGCAATATAATATTTTATAATTGTGTATTAGAGTGGTTTTTATTTTATAGATCAGTGGTTCCCAATTAGTATGAAGGCACAGACCTCTATCTAAAACTTAAATTGGTTCAGGGACCCCTTATTTGTGAATACTTACTTTTCAATTTTCTTTAATTATGAAAAAGAAAAACAAATTTTGTATGATTTATTTTAATTTTATATAAGTAGGTAGAAAAAGTTTGTTCACATCTATATATTGTGCAAAAAAAGAATAAATATCTTAAAGTTTTTTTTCGGCTAATTGCTTTTGATCAATTTGAACAGTTATCCAAAGATCAATTAGTTTTTTGTCATTGAAAATATTTTTCATCGTTCCGATATTTATCAGATCAAGTAATTCATCTTGTTCCTGTTCAGAAAGATTTTTCAGTTTTTTCGATATCTCAAAAAAATGGATTTCTTATCCACGTATTGTTTGGGTCAAGTTGATGAAAATATTTTCTTAATGTTTTGGTCATACTCAACAAGTGTTCAGATATTTCACTCTTTATTTCCTGTGATAGACATTCACTTGAAGATTCCAAAAACATTTGTAATGTTCGAGAGTTACAGAAAGAGTTCTTTTCAACATGTTTTGCCTAAATTTCAAACTTTTTATGGTTACTTCGATTTATCATTAGCATGGAAAATATTCATATAAATTCCTTGTAAACTTAAATTCAGTACATTCAAGTGTTCGAACACATCAATCAAGTAAGCTGTCCAACAAAGCCATTTAATAATTTCATTAAAAAAAATTACTGTACAGTACTACACAACTGCGGACCCTTGGACCAACAATTGGGAACCTCTACTGTTATAGATGAAAAGAAAAAAAAAAGGTTAGATAATTTTACTAAGCACCACCTCTCCCCCCCATTTTGTTTGTCAATGAGGGAGTAATTTTGGTGATACCTTATCCCTTTAATTGTCGCAAAAAATTTAAAAAATTATCAAAGAGGGTAGTTTGACTGTTATTTGAATTTATTTAAAAAGCTGTGAAGTTTACATAAACATATATCAGACATAAATAAAAAAACATGAAATGAAATATAATCTGTACACAGTACATAATGTCAACATTCTAAATTCTATTGATAATTCAAATTAAATATTGTTAAACATACAAATTTACATAATTCTTGTTCTAATTATAACTTAATATATTTAAGATGAATCTCAGGAAAAGAAACTTCTAAACGCTATAACCAAAATTTGGTATTATTGATAAAAGTATATATTCAATCAACAAATTTAATGTCACTTATTTAAAAACTTTTTATCCTTGAGACCTAGTAATTATAAAACTTAACTTATTATAACTTTTGTTTTCTTCAATTAACTGACAGCAATGGTGGATCTGTGTTAACTGCTGCCAAACTTATCATAACTTAACTAAGCTTTATGTGTTGCAAACTAATCTAACCAACCATTGAAACATATTCAACTATTTTCTGTAAAAAGATAATATTGCCTTTTCTGTTTCTTGTTTAGCAACATTGAAAAATAAAATTCATCCATTAGTGTCAATGTATATTTTAACATATAACATACAATTACTTTTAATCAGGAAGTTTTTTATTAACACGTTCAGCACTGATGTTGACGTCTCGTCAACAAAACGCATATGTTCTCTGCAGTAGGCAACTTGTCATTATTTTCTTAGCTCTTCCAATAATACCAGACTATAACAAATCATTTATTCTTGTTCTTCTGCGTAGATAGGTTAGGTGTTATATTGATAATGATTCTCATAATAAAGGTAATAAAAGTTCTGTACATGGGTGTCACCCAATTTAACTCATGCTTCATTTAACATGTTAAGGCATAACACCTACATGATTAATGCATTCATACTTAACGGACTAAAATATCAAACACATTACAGAGGTAAACAATTATATTTACTACCATAAACAAACTTAAATAATATTTTATTTTCCAATTTATCACTAGTGCAAGGAATGTTTTGTTTATTTTGTAATTAATTCTATGGTTTCAAAAATGTATTGATATACTTTAGGTACTACAGTTGCTGAATTTTAATATTTTTTTCTTAAACTTCATTATTTATGAACTAATAATCTGTATTTTAGTACCTATAGCTTTATATTAATGTAAAAATTAACAGTGGGATCTTGGGTTATTTCATCAAATAATTACATGTACTTCTTTAATGTTTAATTAGTATTTACCATCTCTGTCATATTTATTAGCACTTATAAAATAGACAAATTAAAATTTGTGTAAAAAAAAAAAAGAAGTATTTTAATATAGACCATGTTATTTTCTACCACTCGTGTGTTTTTGTTATAGTTAGTAAATAATAATAAAAATTGTATTTAATAAATCATAAACTTTATTAATTGTTGGTAATTGAAAATTTCTTAAGTTTAAGTGAGCTATGAGTTGAAGACCACTTCAGTTAGATGTACAATAACACGACTAGACATTTTTAATTTAAGATATTTAATTTTTTTTTGATGTTTTATATTTTGTGGATTTCATGTTTTCATGGGTTTTAAACATGTATATAATATTACAGATAAATTTATCTGCCTATATATATATACATTGCTATATTATTTATTAGTTTTTAGTTTTAGTTTCTTGTCCTTATACGCATCAATTAATTTTGTATTGTTTATTTCAGAACCATTGTTGCACTTGGTCATTTAGTATTATCTTGTAATCAACAATTGTATATTAAACTAATTGATTATTTGGTTAATGATTTATCTACAAAACCACCTGCTGCCAGATCCAAAACATCCATTCAGTGTATAGCTGCCATATGGTAAAATTGTAGTTTATATTAAATAATATCATTAATCTATTATTATTTGTTTATTAATATCATAGTCGTCAAGCTGGCCATAGATTTGGTGTTCATATTGATCGTGTTGTTCCATTGATACAAGGACCATTAGTGGAAAATTCTGCTGAAGATGATGAGTTACGCGAGTATTGTTTACAAGCATTTGATGCTTTTGTTAATCGTTGTCCAAGTGAAACAGCAGCATATACTAATGATATAATCAAACTATGTTTGGAGTATTTAGCATATGATCCTAATTATAATTATGATGATAATGGTGAGAATGGTGATGAGAATTGTATGGATACTAATGATGGTGAAGATATGGATGATGAAGATATTGAAGATGATTATTCAGATGATGATGATATGAGCTGGAAGGTTAGAAGGGCAGCAGCTAAATGTTTGGAAGGTATAATAATTACTAGAAAAGATTTGATTGCAGACATGTATAGAAATGTATCAAAATCATTGATATATCGATTTAAAGGTAAACTTCTCTATGATAATGTAATCTTAATAAAATATTTGTAATTATAATGTATTTCTTATTATTTACATATACATTTCAGAAAGAGAAGAAAATGTAAAAAGTGACATATTACATGTTTACATAACATTGTTAAAACAAACAAAGTTGACTAGTAGTAATATTAACACCGATATAGCTGATGAAGATTCAGCTATGTACCTACTTCAATCTCAAGTAATCAAAAACAATGGTCTATAGATTTAGTAGTTACTAATTGTCAACCATTTTTTAATACCATTTAGGTTCCTGCAATTGTTAAAGCTATACACATACAAATGAAAGAACGCAGTGTTAAAACTCGTACAGACTGTCTGGCTTTGATGAAAGAACTCGTTATTGTTCTTCCTGGTGCTCTTACTAATCACATAGGAACTTTGATCCCCGGAATTCAATATTCTTTAAGGTATTGAACATTAAAGTATTTTTTTGATAAAATCAAATATTAATACTTAAATAATTTTTAGTGACAAGAAGTCTAGTAGCAATATGAAAATTGATACTTTGTCATTTATTCATTGTGTATTGACATCTCATCCTCCTGAAATTTTTCATCCGTGGGTAGAACAATTAATTCCACCTATTATAACAGCTGTTGGTGATCCATTTTACAAAATCACTGCTGAAGCCCTCCTTGTTCTACAAGAAATGGTTAAAGTTATCCGTCCATTAGGTAAGAGTAAACAAAAATTATTTACTAGAGAACCCTTAGTTTATATTGTTGTTAATCTATATTTTATTTTTTTAGATCATAAACTAGAGTTCAATTTTGCACTGTATGCTGTATCATTATATAATTGTACATATTCTCGTTTAAAAACATCAGATATTGACCAGGAAGTGAAGGAACGGTCCATTTCTTGTATGGGACAAATAATATGCAATTTAGGTGATGTTCTTCAAAATGAGTTGCAAGTGTGTTTGCCTATATTTTTGGATCGTTTGCGAAATGAAATCACCAGGCTTACTACTGTGAAAGCACTTATTAAAGTAGCAGGATCGCCATTGAAAATTAATTTGTCTTCTATTCTGGTAAATTAAACAAATAAATGGGTTGAAAATGATTATATTTATATAAAATGTAATACTTTTAGGATGATGGTGTATCAATTTTAGCATCGTTTCTTCGTAAAAATCAAAGAGCATTAAAATTGAGCACTTTAACTTTACTTAACATGTTGCTAAATAATTTCCATGCTGATTTTTCCACTGATTTATTAAATAAGGTAAATACTTTATTATAATAACATTGTAAATATATGTATTTAATGTTTTTTTTTTATATATATATATATTTATATAGATAATGATAGAGTTACCGCAGTTAATAAATGAAACAGATTTACATATTGCTCAGTTAACACTTTCTTTGCTAACAACAATAATAAAAATCCAACCCTTAGCTATGTCATATTCATCAAATATAATTATGCCAGAGGTTATGACTTTAACCAAATCTCCATTACTTCAAGGAGCAGCTTTAAATGCTATTTTATTATTCTTCCAAACACTAGTTGCTACAAATGTCCCACAATTTGGTTATCAAGAATTAGTGACAGTTTTAATCTCTCCATTGATGGCCCAAGTATCTGGCACTATTGGTTTAACTTTACACAAACAAGTAATTATATTTATATAATTTGTATTAAACCTTAACAAAATAATTAAATTAAATTGTTTTAGGCTTACCATTCATTAGCCAAATGTGTAGCCGCATTAACTGCAATACAACCAACTCAAGCTATGGGCATTATAAACAGTTTCATGTCCGAATTGTTAAATCCATCAAACGACCAACAACACATTTTTTCATTACTTGTAATTGGTGAAGTTGGACGACACATGTATGAGGCTTTTATAATTATTATTATTGGTACAGTGGTTTTTATTATTAACCGTGTTAATTTCAGAGATTTAAGTTCTGTATCTAACTTAAAAGAAACAATTTTACAATCTTTCTCATCTAATTCTGAAGAAATAAAGTCATCAGCAAGTTACAGTTTAGGCAGTATATCTATTGGAAATTTGGAACAATACTTACCTTTTATATTGAGAGAGATTGATATGCAACCAAAACGACAATATTTACTCTTACATTCCTTAAAAGAGGTAATTCATATTTCTTAAAATTTAAAATAAGTTTTAGGTAAATATTCTTAAAAAAAAAAAATAAAATTTTTTATAACAATGTATTATTATTTTTAGATTATCACATTTGAGTCATCCACACCTAATGGTATAGAAAATTTGAAACCTTTTGTGCCAGCAATTTGGAACCAATTATTTGGGCATTGTGAATGTACTGAAGAAGGTACACGCAATGTTGTGGCTGAGTGTTTGGGCAAACTAACACTAATTGATCCATATAGTTTATTGCCAAGTTTACAGTCATCATTATCTTCCTCTTCGGCGCTTATGAGAACTACTCTATTAACAGCAGTTAAGTTCACCATATCTGATCAACCACAACCAATTGACATGTTGCTAAGACAGAATATGGATCAGTTTTTGAGTGCTCTTAGTGATCCAGATATTAATGTTAGACGAGTAACATTAATTGCATTTAATTCAGCTGCACATAATAAGCCATCTTTGATAAGGGATCTACTTGACTCTGTACTTCCAAAACTATATGCAGAAACTATTGTCAAAGTAAGACTATTTTAAATTTAAGATATGTTTTTAAGATGAATATGTGTATTTCAGAAAGAACTAATACGAGAAGTAGAAATGGGTCCATTCAAACATACTGTTGATGATGGGTTGGATATAAGAAAGGCAGCGTTCGAGTGTATGTATACGCTATTAGACTCTTGTTTAGATCGCTTAGATATTTTTGAATATCTTAACTATTTGGAAAATGGTCTCCGTGATCATTACGATATTAAAATGCTTACTTACTTAATGGTTTCAAGAATGGCCCAAATTGTACCAAGTGCTGTATTACAAAGTAAGTTTTTTACTTTTGCATCCAAGTCACCAGTGACTAGAAATAAAATGTTGGTTTTTTTTTTTGTATCTTAGGGTTGGATAAAATTGCTGAGCCTTTAAAACAAACATGTATGTTAAAAATAAAAGCAAATTCTGTAAAACAAGAATTTGAAAAAATGGAAGAACTCAAGAGATCTGCCATGAGAGCGGTTGTTAATTTACAGACTATATCAGATTCTGGTGAGTAAGATTTTAGATTAAATTGTTTTTATTTGTGTATCTCATTTTCCCTAAAAATATAAGGGCACAACATTAAAAATGGAGTTATACCTACAAGATTTATTTTATCATAAATGGAAAACATGTGGACTAATGTGAAATGTGGAATAATTTAGTTTTTATTTTTATTTTTTATTAGTTGTGGATATATTATGTGTATGTTTTTCATAATACGTTTTAACATATAAATAGTTATATTACAATTAATTCTTGCTATTTTTATACTAATAACATTATTATTGTTCTTTTATTTTAAATTTATTATTGAGTAGTTTTCTAATAGACACAGTATCCAATAATTTAATATTGTGTTATTTATGTGCTGTATCTTATTACTGTAACTATATTTATTCTATATTACATTTATATTTATTTTTAGATAAAAATCCACACATGAGTGATTTTGTGTGCCAAATTAAAAACTCGCCTGAATTGAATGCAATATATGAATCGGTACAGAGAGATAGTTCGGGGTTGGTATCTGATAATCATTCAACTCCTATGGAAGTTTGTGAATAAATGTGAAACAAATGTTCTATAATCACATCCTCCTACAACATAACAATTGGTTTCTATTAAAATGTTTTTACATGAAGAACTTTGTAAATAATAATTTGTATGTGTATAGGCAAGTTTTAATGTTTACTTTTTTTGTGTATCTTTAAATTCATTCATAAATATCTAATGTTCGATTACATAATATACACTTATTTTTTTTTTACTCAATTTGTAGCATAAATTTAGGTTATAATTATTTGTATTGTGGTCAATAAAAATATTGATTGGCTTTAACATGCAATTTCATTGAAGTGAAAACTAATTATTGTATCAAAAATATTATTTTATTTTTCTCCACGTTAAATTATTTATTAATGTATGAAACTATATTATGGACTACTGTAATATGTAATCAGATAATTTTTACATTTTATTTTGAATTATTATATAAAACACACAAATGAGTATCAAATAATTTTACTATGGCTTATACATTTCTTTTATTACTAAATAGTACACTTAACATTAATATTAAAATAACATAGTAAAAAAAATACCTATTTATGTTAAATAAAGTGATTTTGAAAATGGATACTTTATTAATATATACCTAGAATGTTTATAAGCAATCTCTGCATACATGGTAAAAATTGTCAAGTTCGTTTTAACACCAATGAAATGTTTCAATGACCACTGAGGCCTAATTATTATAGATGGGTCAATACCACTTTTACCAATATCCTATATTCTGATATATATGTATACATATTCAATATTTGAATTGAAAACTATCAGTTAATATTGAAATTAACCAATAAATTGGTTGAAAACTTGTTTTATTAATACTTTTTTAACAGTCAATGACAATAGAAATTTGTCTCTAATAATATCAGTTTTGAAAGAAAAACCAATACCACTACCGGCCATTATCAAGTATAAATTAATGTATTGATTCACCCATACTAATTATTATTGGAACATGCAAGTATGAAAATTAAAAACATGTTTTTCTAGTTTGAAAACAAAAATATGAGTGTTATGAAACTAAAATAAATAACATCACCATTCTAACATAAGCTGGTTTTTTAAAGTATTGATGTATTAATTCTAATGTTCATACGACCAGCCCAAATTTTCAGCGGCCCACTGACATTTTCTTGGTAGTTTGTAGTCAGCCCTATCTGACTCCTTGTCACAATACCGCCGTCACATATTGAACGCGTTCATTGGTTTCTTGAAAACATTATCGAGTCTACATTAAAATCTTGAATAAATAATTTCGGCAAAATTTCGCTCAATGTTTTAGACAATATTAGTAATATACTTATGTACTACACCGACTAGCATGCATATTTTTTCTAATTCTACGTAAATCTAAAGCACTGGTTTCAATATTGGAATTAGCTAACTTATAGAGAATCATTTTTACTATGCACCAATGAAATATTTCTTAAAATATTACTTAATTTCTGTCTGTTAAGTTTTTTACTATCATATTTTTTCTGATCGTGTATCAGGTTTTATGTTTATTTTAGAAAATTATAAGAATAGTATTGTTGATTGTCCAGTGTTGTGTTTGCTTGTAGTTTGTTCAAATCAAGTTATGAATATAAGTATAGTAAAATAAATCCTCAATACTAAAATGAGCTGATACTGATACTGTTGTAGGTGAGAAGTTTGGAAGATAAAATACATAAAATTATTTCATTTATATCTGTAAGCAACCATAAACCATTGCTTAACGAAAGACGATTGCGAGCGTAGTTCGGTAATACATAATTTGAAGTGCCGTAATTTTGTTTGCGATTTTCGTTTAAATTTTATTTCAAAACACTTAATAGAAGAAAAAAAGTCGTCCGATGATTTTGGAAATTTTACCACGTCTAGGTAAGTCTAATACAAGTATTATTACCAAGTTTCAAGTCTCTATGTGTATTTATAACCGAATTACAGCAAAAAAACTCCCAAAAATTAAAATTAAAGCTCAAAAGTTTTGAGCAATGACACTGTAAGAAAGTAAATAAAAAAGGCAACAAAGAAGGTACCTTGTAATTTTTCGATTAAATCATTTTTTCTGGCGAAAAACGTTGTCAGTGTTTTTATAAAAAAATGAAATCGTGAAATTATACGTTTTTCCCACTTAAGTGCTTTTATTTAAAAAGTGGCGCCGAAAATCAATAAATGACCTTTTTAAAGTACAATCTAGATAACTTGAGCTTTCAGAAAAGTTGCGGTTCGTAAAGATGGCGCATGTTTACTAGGAAAGTAATAATGCATAAGCTAAAAAAAAAACCGCAAAAGAGGAGTAAAAAATTAAACGAATTTCTGAATGTAAAGCAGCAGGAAGTGATCAGAAGAAAGAAAAAGAAACAGAAGAAATTACAATTTGGTTTAACCATTAAGTATGAATATTGCACCGAAAAATTCGCGTGTCGTATTTCTTCCAAATAGGTACATAATATTGCCTTCTGAATTCTGGGAGAGAGCTTTAGATCTGATGAGTCAGACGTTAAATACGTTACTACGCCACTGATTACACATACACCCAAAAAAAGCGATTAGGGATTTACAACAGAAATGGTCCAATAACGACATCAATATCTAACCAAAATTATGTATGTACCAAAGGTTATGTTAATTATAACAAATAATAACTTTGGCATAGACAGAAAATCTCGCGGAAAACTAGTATTCAAATTTTAACAGCACAGAATAATTTTTATCCCTGATGTTTATCATGGATCCAATCACAACGTTTATTCAAAATTAGAAATCTGTAAGGGGCAACTATAGACAATCATTTATTGTGTTCGACTTTGTCGTTCAAGATTTTGATGGCCACTCCTCACAGTGGAGATCGCCGACAAGGCTGCATAATCCCAAGACCGATAGCGCGTGCCTCCGCGTCCCGCTATCATTTTTCGTCGAGCTTCGGTAACGAGCGCTTCTCATGTCCGCGTATAATACGTGTCTAAATATTTTATTGTGTAATGTTTCTGTTTCGCGTGGTGTCGTAATTTTTTTTTTCCGTCGGTAGTGTGGTGTTCGTCAAGACTCAAGATTGAAAAACAGCGGTGTGTTGTGACAGAATATTATAGAAAGCACGTGACTGGTGAGCGGTAAATTCCAATTTATTGGGAAGCTCAAATTTCAAAAAAAAAAAAAAAACTCGTTTGTATGAGATTTTTTTTTTAACTCGCGCATAATTAAACAGAATTGGAGTAAATAACGAAATCTAAATTTACAGTATGTAGTAAATGCATTCTCGTAATAGGTTTTATAGTCGCCCGTGATTATTATTATTACTTACAGTTCTATGATTGAATTATTTTTTAATGATTTATTTCCGAATAAAATATTTTTAATTTTTACAAAATAATTTACAATTGAAATATACTTCAATTTTTATTTTTAACCTGCCCCCTATCACCCATATTTATAGATTAGCATCAGTGGTGAACCCAGGATTTTAGTACTGTGGGTCTGCCTCACTTACGAGAAGCCATAAGTCATAACTAATTTTTTAGTAAAATTTAAAACTTACAAACTGCGGTATTGTTAATTAATTCAAATTTAATTGTTTTTTTATTTGTTGCATTCAAATTGATAATCACTTAATAAACTTACCTGGAATATTTAAATAATTTTGATAAGATATTATACATATTTATTATTATATTTGTATACATATAGTTGCAGTATATTTATGTTATCTTAGTTTTCAATAACTGCTTTCATTTTCACAGTAAAAGGTAGTTATAAATTCTAATCCAATACAATTATATTTTTATTATAATATATAAAAAATAAAAGTAAGTATAGTATTAGAATAATTTTCTACATTTTTTCATTGATGCAAATGTACTTATTACTTTATTAAAATTTATTGTTTGAGCTATGTTGCTTTCTATGCCTAATATTGCCAAATTTGATAGCCGGTCTTCAGTCATAGTTGAGCGAAAGTATGTCTTGAGAAGTTTAAGCCTGCCAAAACTTCTTTCTGTAGTTTGCATTGCTGACTGGAAGAGTATAAAATATTTTATACAAAGTATATAAATTTGGATAAGAAGAAACCATGTCTTGGGATATCATGAACTTCAATACTACATTTAGTTTTAATGGTTCAATTTCATTATATACTTGATGTTAAACTAAACAAAATGGACAATATTCCACTTCTATATCTACTTCACTACATTAACATCATACAATTTTGATAAATTTTGAATAGAAATAATATTTTCATTTATGTTTTCTTAGGATTAAGTATTTCAAATTGTTTAACTATGTTAGAAAAATCTTTAAAACCATGTTTTAATGTATTTTTAAATGAATCCAAATAACAAAATATGTATTGCATTTAAAATTGTCATCAGCAAACTCAATAATATTTTCACCATGTATTTTCTTCTTAGTTCTTATATGTCCTTGCTCAAAGTTATTGTTGCCTCCAAACTGTCCACAGAATTCAGTAGCATTACGTTTTATTTTTAAAAAATGTTCTTTATTTTTTAAGGATGAAATATCTAAAAAAAACATGTTGAAACCATATCATGCGCAGTTATCTGATTAATTTTAGAATTTGTAAATAATCTGATAAAATATTAATTTTTCCAAGTATATTCTTCCACAAAACTAATAGAAAACTGAATTTAAAATTCATTATTTTAAAAAGTAATCCTTTTGCTTCTAAAATGGTTTTTAGTTTTATATTGAGAAGTTCTCCATCTGAAATTCGCTTTAATGAGGTAACAATTACTGGCTAGGTTGAGTCTACTGCACGTTTGTGACTTGCCAATCTTGTCTCTGAAAGTTGTTTTAATGTTAGTACTAAGCCATCAATTTTCTATTGTTTTTCTTTAAAAATGTTTAGTCTTGGTAAACTATTAGTTATAAATGTATACAATGCTTCAAGAATACCAAAAAATAGAACTTCATTGATGGACGATCTAATAGAATCTATAAGCACCAAATTTAAATTATGAGCACAACAATTAATATATAGTACTAATGGTGATATATTTTTTATTTTAGATTACAGACCAGACATCCGTCTAGTATGGTATTGACACCATCATAGGCTTGACCACCATCATAGGATTTAACATCTTTGTTACATCAGTTGGAAGAAAATTTTTTGCCGAACACATTTTCTTCAAAAACATAATCATTATTATTAAAACCAGGTTGACTTGGCCCTATTTCAACAATGTTCTGATTATTTGAGGTGTTAATACAGTATCAATAAATAAATATTAATCTGATGGATAATCATGGCGTCTATCAATTAACTTCGAATATGAAACATCATCTTGGACAAGTTCAATTTGTTTGTCTGTACCGAGAGTTGGTAAAGTGGGTGAATTATCTTCCTCTTCACTACAATTATATTCCAAAGATGGTTCTTGACTGATGTTTAAATTTAGTAATGACAGTCTAGTTCGATTGCCTTAAACTGCCTTTTCTTTTTCTTTAACTAATCGCCTTGCTCCACCAGATAGTCTAATTTTTTCATTAGGAGCTTCCATCATTAATATTAAATTTGATAAAAACACAAGTACGCAACACAACACGGTGAGACGATAGCGAACAGAACGAACAGACGCTCGTTGACAAAATGATCAAATACAAAGAATAGTAAAATAGTTATATATAAAATACTGTACATGTATACATAATATGTATTACACATCAATAACGACCAATGACCATGGCTCATATATCTATTATGGTTATTGGATAATAATACAAAACAATCGTAGATTCCACTAATAATACGATAAGTAAATCTATAAATAAAAACGGGATTTTACTTAACATGTGATGAATATATTTGTATAAACAACAATATCGACTATCGGTGGATGTTTTGTAAAGGCAATCGCGCGTACGGTATGCATGTTTTTCTATTTAGGCGTATTATTTGTTGATACGCGCTATTTATATTTCAATACCCAGTCTTCACGTCTTTCCATACATCTTAATATTTATAAATTTATAATTGTATTTTCATAAAAATGTTCTTGAGCCTGTGTACATTTTATAAACTACTTATAACATCCATATTATTATTTAATATTATTTCTATTTTGATTATTGCAGTATTGTACATATTTATGTAATTTGTGATTTTGAGGGGCCACATTTTACCGAGAAAATTAACTGTGGGTCAGCCGACCTCCTAACCCCCCTCCCCCTGGGTCCGCTTCTGAATTTAGCATGCAAATATTAAACATAGGTACTTATTTAATCATTTTATTTTTATTTCGTTTCAGATTTGATATGGTCAGTAGTAAGTCCAAACTGCAGTCACAGATGTGAGGTGAGTGGATAGATTTATTAAGTAGCTAGTTATTCATCCCAAAATTCTCATAGTATTAATAAAATACAATTAAATAATTAGATATTAACAAATACCCATAAAATATGAATCTTAGCTGTTAAGAATAATCATCTTTTTGTAAGAACCTACCTATTATAATTTTAACTGTCATTCATTTTTAGTTGAATAGACTGAATATATAAATTATTAACCGTATTGTATATATTATTTATTATAATTTCGATACAGTGATTAATCATTTTTATTTTTTTTAGTGTAAAGTAGGGGTGCCTAAAAGTAATCTTTTAATAATTTATGTAAATGTAATAATACAAAATGTTACTAAAACTTTTTATTATAATATAGTAAATCGATACTAAGTAATATCAGAAAATATTAAATTCCTGTATCCCTGGAAATTTTGAAGTTTTTATTATATTTTTTTATACAAAATCCAAAATTTTTGTTTTCAAAATTTAAAAAAAAAAAGTTTTAATTTAATTTGAATCAACATTGGTAATGTGATTTATCTTCAATTAAATTATTCAGGTGTTTCTGTCAAAGTACCTTCAATAGTCCAATTATTAAAAATAGGTAGGTCGTAGGTACATAATATTAAAGTCTTAATTAAGACAGTTAATTTACATTTAGGTAAATTCATTTTGGTAAAAATCAAATTGTTTACATAATTAACTTATTTAAAAAGACATTATTTTTTGAAATTTTAATATAAAGTATAAGATAGTTTCATTTACCGTAGCAAGACAATTTTGATTAAACTACAAAAGGTTAGAGGAGGAAACAAACAAAATCCATATGTACGTTTAGATATTTTTAATCAATTTTAACTTTAGAATTTTGAAATGTATACTTCTAAGGTAATTGATGTAATCACTACATTGAGTTTTAAAGCTCGTCTATATTTGTATCATATTATAAATCCGATTGTATCGATGATGTATATTCTGTAAATTCATTAAGTGATATAAGAAAACTAAGGCCTTAATAATGTAGGTTAGCATTTATACGTAGGCAATGTTAATGCTAGTTATCGTTTACCTATGTAATGTGTTTTTTTTTTTTATTAATTTTGGTGTTTTGAATTAATAATCAATACTATTTTAAATAATTTTAGTAAACCTAAATTTTTTTTTAGTAAAACTTAAAATTACTGATAAATTATAATCAAATTTTTGAATATTTATTTAAGGTTAGTACCAAGTGTCTTTAATTATTCAGTTTTAATAAATGTATTACTTGATATACGATTTACTCAGGCCCTGAGTGCACTGTGGTGTACCATAATTATAAAAAATTATTACGCCCGATTTAACAAATATAAATAGGTCATGGTCATAGTATTTTTTTTAAGAAAAACATGTGTAGAAATCATGAGATATAACAAGAAGTAACTCAATGTGATACAAATATTATTTACAATAGCATTTAAAAAAAAAAATTGAAAAAAATTGATATAATAGATTTTAATTTGTGTTATTAATTGTTACGTTTTTGTGGTAGGCGGTATGTAGGTACGTTGTTGCGGTGATTTTTGTCATGGTTGAAGATATTATAAACATTGTAAAAACATAATTTCCATCTCCAACTATAGTGGTTAGTACTTAGGTTATAACCGTTGAAAAAAAAGTCCATCCCAGCATAATTGTTTATCGATAATAATATTATGAATCTATATTAGCGAAGAATGTATTGAATTAAAATTTTACTATGATGTTTATTTTAGATTCTGAGCGGATTGAGGAATGTATTGGTTTAACAATTATGTTTATTTTTCTTTTTTTGCTGTTTACTTTTCTACCAAAAATTTTGTTCCGCTTTTCTAGTGTACCTAGCACCTTTTCTAAAAGGAAATTTTCCTAAAGTTTTAACCAGGGTATTTTCGAATTCAAAATAATTGTGAAAAATTGGGAAAAATGTATGTACATGTATAAAAGAAACTTTGATCCTAATCGTTTTTCGTTAGCAGTGGTTTATCTCTGCGTACAAATATAAATTAAATTCCTTTCTATTCTACCTTTCCGCAACAAGTTTTTTTTTAATCAAATTGATTTGGATCTGATAGGATTAGTGTTGGTAATTAAAAAAGAATTATTTACAGTATTATTACATTCCATTATATATTTTTCTTTTTTCAGTAATAAGATATGTTTATATTTGATATTTAAACATCTATGCGTTTTATTTGTGCCAAATTAAAACTATCTATTTTATTTTTCGGGTCTAATCTAATTGGTAGGTACTGATGAGGTGAATGAAATCAACAATACTAATTATGTTACTATAATAATAGTTTACGAGTTCTGTTATTTGTAGTTGTAATAAAAATGTCATTTGAAAATGTATAAATACGTTGATATCCTTCACTCTTTAAGTAGTTTAAGTAGTTAGTATATACACTTTTTTTATTTCAGAGTAATGGTTTTTTTATTTTATCTAATGATGTGCACCAATATGTCAAACAAGTTTCCACAAGTCTTTCTAAATGAAGTACTTGATACTTTTTAGTTTTTGCGCTTGTAAAAAGAGTTCATATTTTATACTACTATTCATAAGAAATTTGTGTATCTAAATCCTGGATAGTTTAAAAAAAGTTGAATAAAAATAAATAACTTCATAATCAACAATTTTATAAACAAAAACGGCCATTTAGTAATGATCAAGGACTACAATTCTACTTCGTCTGCAAAATCATGTTTTTGCTGTATTACTCGTTAGTCGGACTGAGATTGCAACTCTGGGTATCACGCCCTCGTAACTAATAAATATACGCATAGGTAATTGAACTTGCAGACATTTTGTAAGATAATTTCAATAATACAAAATTATGATGATTAAAAATTGTATTCCAAGATATTTAAAAAATCAAATATTTAAAGCTGAAGGCCAATACCAAATTATCCATAAATGCCTATGTCAATTGTGTATACAAATGTATAATGGTGTGCGGTGCATTTTCCTGAATGGTGCCCTTGTTCAAAACTTTAAAATGTAAAACACTTAGGCTTGAGCATCCTCAAAAATTTGATAGTGGGTGTCAATTTTGCAATGGTAATATTTGCCTTACATATTTTTCTTATCGTATAAGATCATTTTCAATTTTCAATGTATTTATTTTCGAAAGGCCCTCTACCGGGTACCTTTGCACTTAGGCCTCGCAACACCTGGTGCCAGCGCTGACGATGTACCTAGTATTCGCAAACTCTATACGATCATATACTTAGTATATTTATAAGTAGTAGTTTTTTAGTACATATGTTAGAATTGTAGTTATCAAGCTATTGTCCATTAAATTCTATCTATTTTATCAAAAAACAAACAACACCTTAAAAACAAATGTAAAAGTTTTAAAGTTCAAATTTGTATTGAAATCGTAAAATCCACTGATTTTCGCTTAATATTTTCCGATTCATCTGTGTACTTTATTCGACCAAAAATGATCGATAAGATTCATCATAAATTGTACTTAGTGCACTAAATACAATTTATGGTTAGATCAAAAGAGTTGTAAAATACACCGAATATACATACTATTTTGTTTTATGGGGATCAAATTAGTTTGGCTTCATAAAAATGATATACAAATTTGAGACTATTTAACTCGGACAATTTTAATTTATTTTGTAGTTACAAATCAACACAATTTTCGATTTATATTCAACTGAAATTTGCTTAGAAATTCAGAAATGTTTTTTTGTTATCATTGCGTACAGATATAAATTAAATTGCCCACTAATTTTTTTTATGCTTTATAATTTCACACCATACTCTTTTTAAATGTGGATGGAAAAATAAGCATAGCATGTAGAGTATTCCAAAGAAAATCCATATATATATATATTTGCATATTTTATTGCGATATATATTATATCATATTATATAATATATGTACAACTAAATTGTTTCAACAATAAATATAGGAACGAGAAAAAAAAATTGTTGTATAAAAAAAAATATATAATAATAATAATAATAATAATAATAATAATAATAATTATAAACGTTATATCGATCTGCTAATATAAGAACACACGATAATAAGAGATTACGTAAAAAAAAAAAAAAAAACACTGCAGTCTTTCTTAAGTTCGCACTTCCGAAAATACTAAAAATAAATGAAAAAGAAAAAGACTATTGCAGTAAAAAAAAAAAAAAAAAGGAACTGTTCTATACATATTAGTATAATATAGACTTCTGGTACACTGCACATAGTAATTTGTGTTAATTGTGTGTATATATTATTATGTATAAATTCAATTCTATATATTTTCACGGGTATACAATCGTCGTCGATACGTAATTTTCTCGAAACAATTATACAAAAATCAAAAATATTATATATATATTATATTATTATATCCGGTACGTTAATCAATGCGACTGCGCGTCAATATTATGCGTGGAAATGAAATGTGCTTGCACGTTATTGAACGATATAAAATCGGACACCGTAACACGAGTGTGTGCGTGTGCATGTGCGTGCGTGTATCACGTGAAGTGTATACGAAAAAAAAAAAAAATTGTCGCGGAGGCTAAAATATTCTTAAGTATTGCGATAACACACTGGCGTACTGCTGTCGTGCGACGGATAATAATACTATTACACGTGCGAAGTGTCTTACAAAAAAAAAAATAAAAATAAAAAATAAATAAATAAATATAATATATTACAATATATAAATATTAATAGTAAATTATTAATTTAGAAAAAACCATTAAAAAAAAAAAAAAAAAAAATAGCTTACGAAAGCGTCCCTTCCGTCGTCCCGTCCCCTTTTTATTAAAATTACGATTGTTTNTATTACACGTGCGAAGTGTCTTACAAAAAAAAAAAAAAAAAAAAAAATAGCTTACGAAAGCGTCCCTTCCGTCGTCCCGTCCCCTTTTTATTAAAATTACGATTGTTTTTCGTACGTGCGATTTTGTTCCCGCTCGTACGCAATTTATTGTTTTTTTTTTTTCTACTTTGCTTTAGAATAATTTTTATCGGCCGACTCGATAGAGACGTCGTCGTGCACCCGGCGCCGCGACTACGACGACGACGACGTAACGCCGCGGCGTATTTTTTTGACGCGCTCGCGTCGCAACAAGTGCGCGTTGCGTGTGATGTCAATATAAATATTGTATTATTTGTTTCAATTTCGTTACGGCGCGGCCTAATTAAAGTCCCGTGTACTGTATTGTTTTACGATGCGTCTAGGATTTTCCTACGTCCGCCGGCAATAACGCATCGTTGCCGGCGTGAGAAACCGTGGGGTGGGTAGGGAATTAAATTAAAAAAAAAAAAAATAGGCAAAACGATCGAAAACAAAAAAATATTATATACGTATTGGGTGTTAGTATATAATATATATATATATATATATATATGTGTGTGTGTGTAGTAATAGTATAGCGGTGTATATATGGATAGATATTATTTACTTTATATATATATATAGGCTGGCGATGTGTATAATATTATAATATAATATGCGGCGTATAACGGCAAGCGGCTTTCGTTTTTGGTTTTTGCAAACACGAGGGCGTGACGTTTTTATTGTTTTTGACGGCTGCTGCTGCGCGTAATATTTTCATATTATAAAATATTTTATTGTTGCTGCTGTTGTTGTTGCGGTGGTGGTTGTTGTTGTTATTATTTATATTACGACGAGACGTTTATCAGGCCGCGATGTACGCCAAGTGGAACGCCGTGCACATCATCGTGATCACGTTGCCGATAGCCACGCACAGGTGCACCTGCCGGAACGACCGGTGGATGGCCATGTAGTGCGGACAGTCGACCAGTCGGCCCAGTTCGTAGTGGCCCACCTCGGTTCCGACGCCGGCCGACTTCTCGATGGCCGTCTTGACGGTGATGAGACGCAACAGCGGCGGCACCACGTACAAACGGATCATCAACTCCAGCAAGAAGCACAGACTCAACACGAACAGCTATAAAAAACCGATTAAAGAATATAATAATTTAATGACATTGTGCGGTATACGTATTATCATGACTTTTCTCATCTCAGCACCAGAGAAATGCGCACGTAATGGAAATATAATATTGTTTTTTTTATATTTTAATTTCGAAGTTTTTTTCGGAAGTTGTATAACGCAATGGCGCATTGTCGTGTTATTATCTCTTTTTAGATTATGAGCGCAGCAAGAATTATGACGTATTGGTTTTACTATATGACGCGTGCGACGTTCTGATAGGAATTATTGGTCAAATCGAAAAACGACTATATAGACCTTTTTTGAAGCATTTTGGATTTAATTGTGACATTTAAGAGGTAAAACGGTAAAATGTATACGGTTTCATTATTTTCGATTTCTATTTTTGTCGTAATTAGGTTGAAAATGATTGTAGAGATCTGAATTTTATTTTATCGACGTGGCAAAATTTGAAAAATATTCTGGTAACTTTTGATCCATCAATAGACATTTAAATTGTTGAATCACTGTATTTCGCGTAAAGCGACGCGACGTGTTTTGATAAAATTATAGCGGTGGTGGCCGCGGTAGAGATATAGAAAATATAGTTCGGGAGGCACTATTATTTTACTGTAGAATTCATAAATTAATATGCGTTTTGTTGTAATTTGTTTTGAAGACTTGCCTATCCGAACCCCGCTCAAAATCCTTTTTCGTTAGCAATGATTTATCGCTGTGTACAGATATGAATTAAATAACTCTATATATCCTAGTATCCTAGCTGCTTCCCACCTACAACAGCGGAACACCCATCAGCAGTATAAGCTCTTTTCAATACATACAATAGTGTGGGCTAAGATTCCATGAAAACCGGTTTCAATATAGTATACATCGAATTATTAAAGAACTACTATACATGCATAAAGGGAATGCGAGGGTTTCTTTCCCACGGAATTTTAATCGTTAAAAAAAATGTCTGGGCACGTCTCAACCAAACACCGGCTGTATTATGCGTTATACCCTCGTCAAATCTCGAAATCTCCTCGGCCTAAGAACGAAGATGACATTTCATTATTATGATATGGTGCATCATATATTATGTACTTATACCAGACAAACGTTCGCCTGGCTTTGTGGCACACGATTCGATTGCGCTTACATTATAATACGCCATTGATTTTGTAGTGTACGAATGCGTCGTTTTATAATGTTGGAAGCGGTTTTTCTAGAGCTGCCATACGAGAAAAATGTACAGACAGAGGCGTACACCTCCTATTGACGGGTCAGGTAAACCGCCTTCAAATTTTAACAATATTGGATGGCTTATCTGTGTACCGTAAAATCGACGGATTACACCGGATTAGGACGAATGTTGGTACGCGTTCACTATGTATTATATTATAATATCAAACATATTATGGTATACGTTAACTGACACGCAAGATGGTTGGTCGAAAATGCGGTCGTAGGAATTTGAACCCTCTACTCTCACCGGGACGTAAAATTATAATAATATACAAGGTACCTTTCGGTCAACTATAACAAAAAATACGTGTCGCTCGCACTATACCTATCTAGTACGTTGTGTAATTAATATAAACCAAACATTTACCTGTAAATACGTGTGTAAGTCCCACACATTGGCGGCAACGTGCATCTTGCCGAACTGGATGAGCGTTATAGCGCTCAACAGGCTGTTTAACGAAAAGTATTTGGGGAACAGGATCTTTTGAACGTCGCCGAAAGCGTGTCTAGCCAAGTTAAAGTATAAGCTCAATCCTATAGAAAAACAAAAAAAACAATAACAATCAGTCGTCTGTATTAATCATAAATATTATCTTGCACCATGCGCGTGTCAGAAGTACTCGCCAAAAGATTACACCCCGTTAGCTTCGCGTACGCGATAATTATTATTATTTTTCTCGAAAATGTGCCAAAATTATCTTTTTTTTTTTTTTTACACGGACCGACGACCGTAGTGTTAATAAATCTGTCGTGTAATAGTCTTTATATTACCTAGGGTGTAGAAGTGGCTGGCATGAGAATATTATTTCCGGTAAATTATTACGCGAATTGTGATAGTGGCTGTTAGTTCGTTAGTTGTTGATTATTAAACTGTACTCGATAGTTAATCTGAACTAGTATTGATAGTAAAAAACTATTCGGTAGTAGAAATACTGTTCGATTTAGAGATACAAAAAATAAAAAAAATAATAACCCATATGATACAGATAATACAACAACAGAAGACAATGACAATAATATTATAATTTACATAGGTAAACGAGGCCAAAAGCTATAGGTTTTTCATTGTATGAAAAACGATATTGAGATCCCTATAATATCGAACGGAGTGCAACCAGGTTCTATAATTTATTCCGATTTATTCCGGTTAGATTACGTTAGGTTATATTAGATGAGTACCAAACTATTCGATAATCATTGTTATTCGCCAAGGTATAAACTATGCCATTTTAACTATTCGATAGTATTAATTATTTGGTAGTGCCCATCACTAGTAGTTATAGTGCTGCAGGGGTCGGCTGGAACGGTAAAAAATCGTACTCGGTACATTTTTTAGGCTCTAATTATATATTATTCTGATGCCAAAATGGTAGGCTAAAATTAATGTACATTTATTCCTACATTATACTAAAATATACCTGCCAAAAACTTCAGTAAACAAGAGAAATGTACGCAGAGGACGCGCGTGACGAGTGTCCAAAAGGCGAATCGTCTTGCGGCTAAGCTCGTTCACCTTTCTAACGTGTTATTTTTAAACTGTTCAAAATAGTTCAAACGTTCTATTGGTTATTATCGAGTAGTTTTTCTTTTTCTAAACTGAGGCTCGACTACTATATTATTGCTGTTATTATGTTACACCGACGGGAGCATTGCCGACATAAAAACCCGTATTAATTATATTTGTATAGTTTATTAAATTGTGTATACGATAAAAAAAAAAAAATCCGGGGTGGCGAGTAATTGTAATAGTAGGTGCAGGTGTCCTATCTCTTTTGGTTGAGAACTGTTTGTTTAATAGTTGTCCTGGATAAATTGTCGTTCGCGACTTATGTTACCCAGCATTTAAGCCATCGATATGTTATACGGAAAAAAACCAACAGTATAGTTGCACGTTGAATGCAAACAACCGGTGTGCAGACATTTAACGGCCACTCCCTCTCTACATAAATTTACCGACAATTGTAAACTATTAAAATTGTTTACTGTTTAACCGTCCGAAAGGGGGCGAATTATTATATTGTAAACGCGGTTTTTTATTCGTCGGGTTTTTTTTTTTTTTTTTTTGTGAACGATGCGGCGAGACATGGTGATTCGAAACATGGTGCTTTTGTTTTTCGGTTGGTGTATTATTATTATTATTATTATGGCGGAACGTTACACGAGAGTGCAATAATAAAAACAATTACGACCGCGAGTGTATGTGTATAAACGCAACCGCGGGAGTTTTCGTTTGGTAAACTCACCGGAAATGAACGTCATCCAGAATTGGGCGCCCACGTGCGTACAGAACGCGGCCAGGTAAACGAAGTTGACGAACGTCCGGGGCTTGACGACTTCGCCGTTGACGGTGGTGGTTTTCTTGCCGGGGATCATCGACGCGGCGACCAGAGTGACGGCCAGCGCCATTATGACGTGAGCGGGTTGCGTGAAAAACAATACCCTGCGAGACAGAAAATAATCATTAAGTATAGCGTGTAATAGAAATGATAACCGCGCAGTAGTCGCTGGAGTAAGCCGTCAATTTAATTTATCATGTTATAATGTTTTACATCGTTCATCCGAGTAAATCATTTCCTTTCTACATGAGTAATTGTAAATACAATTATGTTTTTTTTTTTTTTTTTTTCAAAAAGGCATTTAATTATTTCATAAGGCTTGTATAATTCGGATAGAAAGTCCGGAACAACAACAATAGCAGGCGATACACTATGCAATATATTGTAACAGGTATCTACATCGTGCAATCGGATAAAAAACCCAACTTAACGTAATTCGTTTGTTTTTTGTGGTTTGGTAATCGGGATTTAAGTTTCAAATAACACCTCAAACGGATTGCTGACAAGTGTATGATGATAATATTACACCAACCCCCCACCAAAAAAAAAAAAAAAACGAATAATAACATCTCTGACTCGGTAAAATAAAATTATAAGGCAGACAGTGCGTTTATTGGTATATTTTTTTTTTTAATGATTTGAATAATGTATGCAACTGGTTCGATAATAACAGTGCAAGCATGTGACTCGGGTTAGGTATATATTATTATACAGCATTTCCTTCTCCTGCATAATATATTAATTTGTATTTTGACGATTTCCTTGTCGAAGATTATACACGCCACAGCATTATCATCTGCGCAACGTCCGATACATTATAAAAGTAATATATTTGTTATATGTTTGTGGGTACATGTTCATATTATTGCAAAGAACAGTTTTTTTCCCCGTGCCGTTATTTCGCGTCTCTCGGTTGTACTCTAGTTATAAAACTTTTTTTTTTTAAATTTCTAACCAAATTTAAATGAAATAGTTGACTAATTTTGTCAATTTGGCTCGGAGAAGATGATATGGTCATTGGATTTGACAGACGCTTTGAACTATTTTGTATATGTGTGTGTGTGTAATTGGCATTTAACAACGGTTATTATTTATAAAAGTTTAACTTTGAAGTTGGGTTAATTTTTACTCTTATGCAGGTGGTATTTTTATTGTAGTGCTTTCGAACGTATACTACGCGAGTATTTTTAAACTAAATTATTTTACATACTCATCGAAATCATCAAATTAATTAAACGATTAAAATATGACGAGTATAATATTGCAATTTAGAAAGTATACCTAACATATCTGTAGGAAGTTGTCCTCTTTCCAACAAAATATATAACGAAATCGGAGTCTCTACGAGGTAGTATAGGGTTAACTCTGTAAACCAAATTTTGAGAAAAAGATGGTCGTGCATAGTCCTCTTTAATACAAAAATTATAACTGATTGATTTTTTTTTTTTGTTTAGAATTGTTAATAATTTGTAAAACACTACGAGCAGGGCCTTCAACAAAAAATATTTATTACCCGTTTTTAACATTATATTGACTTAGCAAATCTATTTATAATTTTACTATCCGTTACTTGTATAATTCCACGATACTTAATGAATGTTAATTAATGTAATTATTTGAAAAAAAAAAAATCGCATTTAATAGCAAAACAGAATAGACATTATTATAGGTACCTAGGTGTTTTTAAATTACCAAAAATCTTCGATTAATATAGAATTTAAAAAAGTTAAAAAATTCTGTTTTTTATTTTAGGCTGTAAAACTCACAATCATCGTGATGAAGCAGGTTATATAGCGTTAACGTTATGTAAATGATGAATCGTTTGAACTCCGGTTTAAATCGATTGTCTACCCTTTGACCATTGTTATAGGTATTACGTTATGATTATTGTCGCACCTTCTTTCATTGGCGTGTGATCATATGAGAGATAGTATGTCATAAATAATCCACTCGCGTATATTAACGTTTCGATTAAATCTAAAACGCTGTACATTAAAGGACGAGTATAGGTATGCGCGATCAATGTCAGTTATAATAAACGAAATGATTTTCGTTTGGATAGGAGGATTTATTAACGTTAAATAAATTCCGTTGACGAAAAAAAAAAATTATATTAATTTTATGTCAACTACGACGTAATAGCTGGTTGGTGGTAGTTCAAGGCAAAACTGATTTATGCAGTAATTTTAAATTAATTTAAAATTGTACAATAAAATACACATTGAGACGCCAACAGATTTCAATTCGAATGGTTGTGCGCACATAAACAAAATGGCGTACAATCTAGACGGTCATAACGAAAAAAAAATGATTTTTTTGTTGACAATCGGTTTTTGCGTTAATGAAACGAATAATTCACGGTAAATCGCTATTATGCACGATTATGATTTATTTATTCGTCTGTGCCTATATAGGCACATTTTTACAAATAAAAAAACGGGGTTTTCAACTTATTTGACGTGTAATGTGAATTGAACGTTTACCTTCAAAATCTATTTTCATTGCGGTGTATGGCACGGCGAACTCGTGTTTTACACCGCCGTGCATAATACGGACAATATTATAAAATAATGTCGTGTGAGGAGGTACGCTTTCCGAGCCATAGGACGGCAAATATTTTATATTCTTGTATAGATGCAGTTTAGAGATTAAACTATCTAATGAAATATAATATACTAGACGACGGGCGGTGAGGACCTAACAAAAAATAAAACAACGGACACGCACGAGCATCGAAGCAGAATAATATTGTGTGTAAACACTAGCTAGTGCAACTTACCGTTCATTAGGTATACCAGACTCATTTACATTGTTCAGAATTATTATTCAGTCACGCGTACCTCTATACACCAACACGATATTGGATACCTACAGTACTTTCTAAGTACGTATAGTGTACACGAACCTGCAGGTACCTCGAAAAACAGATCGTTTTTTAACACATTTTATAATTTGTTGCGGAGCACGGGGCAGAAACAAATTTGCCGAGTCCAAAATTGCACATATAGAATGTATTCAGCGTAACGGTGTTATATAATTAGAGGGAGGTAATTAGGTAATCCCTTAATGCTTTTCTTTTCATAAATTTTCGGACTTATATTAACCATAAAAGCGCGGGTCCCATCCAACCGTGGTGAAAACGCGTGGCCCTGGGCGAGGGACGGTATTGAATAAGTAGTCTTGTCCCGGTTGAATGATTTATTCAACGAATTTATTTCAATGATTTATTTCATCAAGGCGAAACAGTAGAAGCTATAAGTATGAAATCTGAACAAACGTTTCATTGACACAATATATTAAATAGTATACAGTTTTCGAAAAGCGCAAATTCCCTGTAATGCATACCTATATATTTTAATCGGAGGTGGATTTAGATTTGCGAAGCACTTAGGCATTTTTTATTTTTATTTTAAGTAACAAACAACAGTATGAATTAATTCAAATTTACAATAGACAAATTCGACGTAAAGTAAACAGAGGATTTTGTTTAATAATTTTGAAATTAATATTTAACTTTTAGTAATATCCATGAAGATAATAAATATTAAATTGATATATTGTAATAATTATTTTTTACTGTAACGTTGACCCAAATCATGAAATGCTTACTTTTCAGCGAGTTTAAACATGTATACGATTTTTATATTACTTCAATTTCGGGAAATTTGATCCCAAATTTTACAAAATTTAAATTTAAAAATTCGGTTACATAGAATATCAAAACATTGTACAACTAGTTTATTCACTGATTGCTTCATGCCCAAGTATAGTATAATTTGTAATAATCGAATTTTGTTTAAGGTAGCATCAACATTTCGCTCGTATAAACAAATTAGTTGAATTTGGGTCAATGTTACTACGTTACCCACCTAATTTAAATGAAAACCCAAAAATGACACATGCCATCTGGCGAAAATATGCGTAAATTTACTATAGTTGTATGTGAAAAATTAAAATTGATTTTTTTTTCTTTATCTAAAAAATTTTAGCCAATAACTATTAAAACATCTTGATATATTATGCTCAACAGAAAAAATACATATTTATATAGGTAAGTACATAACATATTTATAAGATGTAATTTAAATATCCATTAAAACCATTCGAAATTTTGAACTAAATTAATGTTGTTGTTCGGAATATATAAATAATCGCTTTTTTCGTATTTTTTCTTTTTATGAAAAGAAAACCTACAACCCGGTAAAATAAATATAATAACATAACAATCACTCGTATGTATTGTTAAGCACTGTATATTAGGTAAACTTTTAGAAGGAAGATTTAAAATGGTTACTTTATCGCGGGAAATACGATTTTTTGAGAAAAAAAATTGTTTCCGGTTTACCGTCCGGAGATTGTAATAACATATATACGGTAATCATATATTATGTACGAATCAATTATAGACAATAATAGTATATTTACTTGTAAGCCGGCGATTTCTGCACTTCTCCGAAGAGTGAAGCGCACTTTTCCACGGTTCTTTTCGTGACGGCCGTTAGCGCGGACAACGTGTCGCTGGATTTCTTCAGTTGGACCGGCTCGTCGTCCTCTACCGGGGCCGGCGGAGGCGGCGTCGTCGCCTGTTTCGCTTCTCCGGCCAGAAACCCATAGGCCGCCGCGTCTGCGGCCGGCACCCTGAGTTGTGGCCCGTGACCGTATTCCGAATTGTGATTGGCCGTGCCGCACATCGTGACTGTTGCAAACGTGTGACGAGTGCGGTTCTCGGATGGATCAGGGAAACCCTTTCGGAAGAACTCGTCGGCGGTTTCGGGTGAACTGCAGATAGGCAAGCAAACAGTAGTTTTTGAATTCGGGCTGGCACACAATAGTCAGTCGTGTTGTACAAGTATTACAATAATGACACGGTGTACGCAGAGGAAAAACGATACGAACGCGGTTGTCGCACAAAGTGAAAAGGACCGTCCGGCGGTCCGCGGCAACGTATTTAACGGCTCGGCGGCTCTGTGGTGTACGTGACCGAAAACGGACGACGTTCACACCGCGATCGGCTAATGCGCGCGCGTGTGCGCGGCGTTCGACACCGCCGCCGCCGTGGCCGCCGCAGCCTTAGAAACAGTCGACCGGGGCTGAGGGAGTGTGGCGGCCGTACGTCGAGTTTCCGCAGTAATGCCCCGCCGCGGCCAATGACGTTACGCCGTCGTCGGATAAACCGAACTGTCCGTCGCGCGCCGCGTGCATCCGTGTCCGTCGCACGTGTCCAGAGTCGAGGTATACCCGAAAACATCTAGTAAATATTATGATTGAAAATTATAATCATAATATTATTTTAATAATATTGATGGGTTATACGGCGGCGATAGCGTCGACCGGAGGTCTCTCGTTGCCATAAATATCGGAAGCGGTTATAGGTAATAATAACACGTCGGGTGACGCAGATGAGGCGTGCCCGGTGGTATCATCTCATTTCACCGATCCCATTTGCCGACCAAAAAAATATTTTGATCGATGAACGAGTTTTTTTTTTTTAATGGACATTTTTAGTGTATTTTTATAAATTAAAACTTGTAAATTTACTTGATAATCGGTCATACTATATTAATATATAAATTGAATTACTCTATTATTAAATTTAGGAAATTCATCAATAATATTTTTAGGCCCTTGAATTTATTTTTAATTGATATCTGCGCTAAATTATGAAGACGAGTAGAAGTCACGGATGTCCGTACATCAGCTTTTGAATTCGAAAAGTGGAGCTCCTTTACCATAATTTTTTTTTCTATCGTCTCTTTACTAATTATTTCGACCAGGGATGGGTGGAGGTGAACGTATTTTTGAATAAATAATAATAGTTTACCACCAGTTAATATTTTTGTACCGAACTCATATGTATAATCTTAGATAAGTAAAGGGTATAGATCTGTTGATAAACTGTGTTGCCCTAAAAGATTACTTAAAGAAGATAATAATATGAAGTGTTATGAAGTGTGTTAAATTGCAACTAAAAAAACTGTAAATATAGTAAAACCTATACCTGTACCTATTTATACTGTTATTTTATATATGCATAATAAATCTAAGTGAGTGGTATATAGCTTTTATATATACATAAAATTCAAATACCACGGATACTGATCACTACTTCTCAAAAACGATAAAACGTATGAAGTTAAAAATTTGGAATAATGGTTACTCATTCTTCTAAAACTCTAGATGTGTAATAAGATTTTTGAACATTTCACTTCTGAGACTATGTAAACTAATAATATTAATAATTAGTGTAAATTTATAAAATATTTGTATTCTATATATTGTATTATAGTAATGAAGTGTAGTAGATTATTATTTTTTTTTTGAAAATTGGTGTGACTGGGTGATGGGGTGCACTCCTTTTTTATTTTTCCAATTTAAGCACTGCTGTATATATGTTTCGATTCTTTTTATTATAGAAAAACTTTTGTGCGATGAAGAAAAGGAACAAAAAAACGCTTGCTCGATATTACTTATGTGTACGTAACCCTATAAGGTTAAAAAAAATCAGGGTAGTCCCTGGCCTACCAGGACGCTACTTGTAGGACACACCACTGGGGCGACTATACGTCCATCGCTCCACGGTATCCGTCACTAGTCGCCACCGCCCCATTTCAGGGTCAGGTAAATGAAATGAAGGTTAGGTTGTGTAAAAAGTTGTGCAAACAGATCCCTCCCGCTGTCGGTTAAACCGTGAAAGAAAAAAAGGTTAAGTAAGGTAGGGTCATGTATTACAGATAGGTACAACAACTGGCGCCATCAATAATTATTATCGGTCTGGCGACGTATTATTTATCCTAGGTCTGAGGAATCCCATTGTATAATAATAATCGATGTGGTAACGCCAATACGATTTAACGCACAAAGAAAACGTTTTTCGAGTATATTTGTGTCGACAACACAACCAAAACGGAATTTTAAATATTAAATGCTATTATTGCTCTCGGGCACGCGTGACACGCGCATTATTTCGTATAGATGTATACGTTGCGGTAAACATTCCATATTCGTAAAGTATAATAATGTGTATCACATGTATAATATTATACACATGTATATCATATAATATGTATCTCAAACCCGAGGTTGTACGAAATATAATATTATTAATAGTAATAGTAGTAGGTAATGGTATGGAATAACCGGGAGAAATCCCGAGGAAGAATAAAATACTCCATCATCGACAAAATCCAGTTTATGTTGCTTCGGGAATTTTTTTTTTTATTGAATTACATGCCTGTACAAATAAAATATTATCTTATACATGTCAATTTTATTACGTTTCCGTGTAGTATAGGTATAATGCGAGTTGATCAGGTATAAAATCTACGGCCATTATATTATACCCTGGCACGGATCCAATATTTGTCCAAGTATAGAATAATAGAAAAAAAAAAATGTATTAACAATATAACTTACTAATAAAACGTACTGCACTACAAGCGAGTAATAATTAGAGATTTTCGAGCGCACGCTGGTGAGATTACTGAGATTTACAGATATTCGATACGAATAGAAACAAAAAAAATCTTCTAGACTAATGGCCAGGAGCAAAAACATCCGTCGTACCATATACGTATTATGACTTAATATTATAAAAGACCGGTTTTATATCAATAGCTGAAAAAATAGAATTTAAACTATCCGTTCATAGTTATAATTTCTCGGTTATATTAGAAAATGGCTGGAATATTGCGTTTAATATTCCGGATATTCGAGGTAGGTACCTGTACGTATATTTATATTATGGTGTGTTAATATTATTTTTAGATTGCCACGTATATTCTGGCATCTGGCACATATACAGACGGTACTTAAATAATATTATCGTAGCCGAAGAAATACAATTAAGAATGCATACTTTTTTATTTAAAATAAGTGTGACGAAAATCTTTAGTTATTGTTTTTCACGGTTAAAAATTAACAATCATATTATCAGGTATTATAATACAATGGTTGTAGGTATAAGCAAATTGTGTATATACATGCCGATAATATCTTTTAGAATAATGTCTAGCATTCATTTTCAAAATAAACATTGGTTGAAAATTGTTTTTCGACAGACACAAGCATGAGTATTATAATATACTCGTATAGTTTGTTCGGCGAAGTGAATATTATTATAATGTAAGTGATTGTTTCGGTGATCATTTTATAATTGTTTGTTGGCCTGTTCATAGACCAGAGTTTTTTTTAACTTGAGTCAACGATAGGTTTAAAATAAATTCTTAGTTCACAATTCACATTGTTGTTTAATGATGAATGTACTCCGTAATGTTTTTAGTAATATCTGTATAATATAAAACAATCGTTATAGAACTGTTCGTTTTTAATTTATAATGAATTAGAATAGATATAATAGAATATTTTTGTAAATTGACGAAGTTATAGCTATTTTTTTTTTTTTTGAATGAACATTATTGGTAATCAAAAATAAAAATAAAGTTCATATGTATTGATAATTTAAATTCATATATAATATTAATAAATTAAGTATAGTGTAATATTTAATTATTAAAAACCAATTAATAATCAATTGTTTTGAATTTTAAAATTATATACAATGAAACACAATTGACCGTGATTTTTTTGTTATTGTTTCGGTAGTTTATTTATTTTTTGATGCACAAAAGTAGCCTGCAGAGTGCAGTTGCAGGGACTTATTATTATATATAAAAAATGTACCGTTCAAAATGTTTTTAGAATATGCTTCTAACTTTTTATTTTTTTTCATAGTGTTATAGTAAAATATTCCAGTATATGCAAATTGCATAACACATATACAGACATAAATTATAAATGATATACTATTTGCAGTTTTTTAAAAATTGAAACAGTTAATAGAATAATTATTATGTTATAATTAAATATTTATACATAGGTACACATAATGTCGTAGTTCAAGGATCACTTTAAATCAAAGCCCTCTTTAATCGCGAGGCCTTTGGTGTTTTCTATCATTCATTTGATATATCTATAATTTATAGCGATGTTAAATTTTTATTATAGTATATACCTATCTAGTGCAATAGTATGTATGCATACTGCATATTATAATATATCACACAAACGAATAATTAAACAATTTTTTGGGTTAGTACTTAAAAAAGAATAAAAATGATATTTTGAGTTTTACAGCTCGACATTTGAAGGCAATATTATACTTTATTACTGTACGTGAAAAATAACGTACCTATTGTTCGTAATATTTTTAAGTTAACATTTTTAAAACAATCTTTTAAATACTATATATAGATTCATCGAGAACTATAATCATAGAGAAGACATATATAGACATATATTACATGCATCATTGTTTATAATTTGAACTTTATTTTTTACAATTTTATAATTCGATCCATTATAATTAATAGATTAATCGTACCTTTTTTGTAGATTAAAGAAAAACATAACATCCGTATCAATTTATAATAGTGAATTTGGTAGTTTCTAATACAGATTTACTAAAAATAAATTTGAATTATTTATATCAATGTTTCTTTAAGTTGTACAATTCATTTTATAGTATTTTAATGAACGAACGCATTTAAAGTATTTTTTGATCATTTTAAGTGGATTTACATTTAAACTTTTTCGTTGTACGAATTACGAGGGTATTTGACAATGTTATATCACCTCAATAAGTTGTCCTACATTATATACTACATTTTAAATGTTTTGTATGTTGGTTTAGGTATGGTACGTGCGATTATGTAAGTAGGGTTTATATGACGTTGAAATTATCATTATTTATATTTTTTTCAAATGTATAGTTAAAAAGGTGTTCGAATTAATTAAATAATTGTGGTATAATTTATTCAAACATTATTTTTATGGACAATTTTTTTTTTAAATATCAATGTACTTTTATCATAATTATTTAGCTGTTCATGGTTTAAAGTATTTGTATTAAGTGATAGGTAACGTTTATTAGTACCTAACATGTGCGTTATTCATGGTATGCTTGAGAGTT